ACGTTACCATCCAGACACATCGGGTCCCCGGCCCGTGTCTAACGCACCCCCTGTTGTTCCAGGGACAGGGATCGGAGCACACATTACTTGGCGTAAAGATCTGACCGTGGTCTATGTAACATTGGACGGATTACGGTCGATTGAGACTGTCGGGCCGTGCCGACGGAGATATTTGCGGTTGTAGTCTCTGTTGAACTGCTACCTTATAAGCCGTGCCACGTTGACCCTTGCCATACTAAACCAGAGGGCGTGCATGTCCCTCGCTCTGCTAACCGTATGATGTTTTAAGGCATGCCTCTTCTTAGAGTGATCAACGTGCCTATATTATGGTATATTGTTCACAGAACATGCGGTACATTGAAGCCATACTACATGCACAGCCTATGTCAATGGATTGAGCCTAAAGTCCCGTCGAAAAAGTCCCAAAGTACGCCAAGGACCGCGGGTGGAAGGAAGGGAATGCGTGAATGCTACGTGAAACGCCAAGAAGGCTACGTTCCTCTCTGGCTAATATACACTGGCTAGGATAACCACCCAGATGATTTATTAATTTATTTTTGGTGGCCGGAAGACCGACCGAGGCAGCACTAACACGTAGTGGCCCGCAGAACAAGAGCCAAAATACTGGGATCCATTGGTGGATGGCCTAGACAACATTCCGAAGCACATCGCATGCAGCACCAGCTAATCACGACGATCGCGCACTGACTCGGTCACCGCGAAGGTCCTTACCTCCCGAATGATATGGGTTTCGCTTGACTGACTCTCTGCGTCCCCGTCGGAGATCGCTCCTGACGCGGTCACTGTTGTCTCATATGTGTCCTTGACAGGGCGGACTGGAGTGAGCTCGTGAGTCTCACTGCCACGAAAAGTCGAGTGATACCGCAACGAGGATAGTCCATGTCGCTTCGTCGATGCCATATTGTAACTTGTCAATCCGTCAATGCGCATGCCCGTGGAGCGCAAACTATCCATGAACGGTTTGAACTGTGGGGAGCAGGCAGTTACGACACTCAAGCACTGAACAAGTTGTGTCGATACGGTAGCCGCCCAGGTATCGAACGTGGGATCTTTGGAAGTAATGGTTTTGTTGATATAGATCAGTTGGCCGATAATGGCGGCGATCACACTCGAGTGCTGCATCAGCGGCCCATAGTAGAACTACAATATCTTGCTCGGTATTACTCACAATATACGAAGTCCAAAGATAGTAGCTAGTGTGCCTTTCTTCGTCCAGTTTGCCTGGATCCCCACGATAATCAGAAGGGCCTGGACAATGATCCCCGACTCGGACAGGATATTCGTTGCTCCAAGATAGTTCCACCACGCGCTCTAGGTCTCGCATGTTAGTGGTGTTCTTTGGGTCTCATGGAGAAGATCATAGCGTACCATGTTGAAGCATTGTCCACTCAGATAGTCCCATGTTCGAGGCGGCGTGCACTGGAAGATGGAGGCGATAACACTTGTTACAGCCCACAGGACTGTGAAAATTTCTAACCCGATAGCAATGCGACGGTCGGACGCGGCTGGTGTCACGTTCCAGATAAAGTGGATAAGGGCTAATTTCGAAAGACACATCGTCATGATAAAGAGAATCGCTGCAGCGTATTGCGACTTATAAGCTATGAGTGATGTCTCGAAATCGAGGAACAAGTACAACTCACCTTCAAGATGTGGTCCACGGCTGCCCTTGATAACCCGCCATAATGCTCACCATATCCATGGGCCGTGGCCATCGACAAGGCTAGAGACTGCGCCGCGCACAGTACCATCGAGACTATACTGAGGTAGTCATCTGTCGTCCACCGTCGGAAGATCCAGTACTTGGTGCCCAGCCGAGTGAGAACGCAGAGGATGGCCGTCGTCATGAGAAACCAGGTCACGACATTGACCGTAGGCTTCCAGTTGTCTTTTGCAAGCCTACCCATTGCGCATGTGAAGGGGAGACAGGCAGCACATCAACGAGATGCGAGATGTTGACAAGGGACTTATTATGACGCCCACAGAGCAGAGGTAACCACGCCGCGTAACCTCATGAACCATCCCACCGGCGACACCGTACCACTGCCATGGTGAACGGATTTAATGAATGTGGAAATTACCTGGATCAGGTACAAACGATCTAAGACTGCAGTAGGCCGACCCATGGGAAGCCACTATATTTTGACCAGGGATTGTCGGAGCGGGACGGCCACAGCACCTTGTCTAGTCAGAACGTTAATTGATGAACGCTTTAGAAACACAAGCATCTAAGACCTTTCTAAGATTATCCGAGGCCGTCTGGGCAATCTAGGCAAATCCCAAGTTGCACCGCTATTACAGAGTACACGTGTGATTGGATTGACCTAGGGAACGGACATGCAGCTAAAGACGCGCTTGACTCGAATCCCTGCGATGTCGCAATAAATCAGTCCACATGTATAGGTTCCCCTCCTCCAGGGTACCAAAGTCAATCAAACCGTTTACTTAGCGTATCATCGCTTGTAACCGAAACAGAGAGTCTAGTCCCCTCTGTGTGGCGGACAGTTGTATTTGAGAGAAAGGGCGCCGAAGAAATTTCCACCCCTGTATGCACATAGTTCTTCTCTCAGTCGGCGCTGGGTCTTGACAGCTGACGCTTCAAATATCTTTTCCTATTGCAGGCCTACCTTGGTCATGCTATATACTTTCCCGTTTCAATTGTTTCTGTTCCACTTGAGACGGCTTCTGTTCTATTTTGCTGAACTCCGGCCTACTGGTTATCTCTACAATGGGTCGCCATGAGCTGAAACAGGCTCCGCCTGCAGCACTACACGAAATAGACGGCTCATCGCAGGAGAATCTGGATGATATCAACCTGGCCCGCATTGGGAAGCGCGCTGTCCTAAGGGTAAGTCTTGCCCATCTGGTCTCCAACAAAAGCTGGTCGCAGTTGATCTGATTTGTATGGCTTGGCTTAGAGAAACTTTGGTTTGATGTCAATCCTGGGCTTCAGTTGTACGATTCTTATCACCTGGGAGGGTATAACAGCGTATGTTACTGTCTTCATACACGTTCAAGATTTTGTGGTCTGTTGTGGCTAATGTCAGGAACCATAATAGGCTATTCATACAAGGCTTCCAAAAGTATGTGGCAATCCATATTTCAAGCCCGAGGATTGACTTCATACTGACATGGGCAATTGCAGTGGTGGCCCTGCTGGATCGGTTTATGCTTTCCTCTTTGTCTGGGTCGGTGTTACAGCAACCTTCGTTGTACTATCAGAGCTCGTTTCAATGTAAGACATCGATCAAGATCTCAAACTCTTGTTGACCACTTGGTAGGGCTCCAACAGCCGGTGGACAGTACCACTGGTGTTCGATGTTGGCACCTCCGTCGGCCATGAAACTCTCTAGTTATATCACGGGTGAGTCCTATTCACTGGAAAGGTTAGACGTAAGGCGAGAGGGTGGAGATACTGACAAAGCATGGTAGGCTGGCTTACTGTTATCGGATGGCAGGCTACTTATGCAACCGCCATTTACCTTAACGGAACTTATATTGCAGCAATGATCTCCCTGACGCATTCCGACTATGTCCCGCAGGCATGGCATATGACTTTGTACTCTTATGCAACCGCGTTGATCGGTCTGGCCATCAACTGCGTGGGAGGCAAGCTGTTACCACGATTCGAAGGGACAATTCTAATTCTCCACATTCTTGGGTTCTTTGCGATCCTGATTCCATTAACCTATATGGCTGACCATAAAAGTGCCAAGGAGGTGTTTACTCATTTCCTAAATGAAGGGCAATGGCCAACCCAGGGCCTCTCGTTCTTCATTGGGTTAATTGGTCCTGTATTTGCTTTTGCCGGTGGCGATGCCGCAGTTCATGTATGTCACCAGTCCCCGAGTTGGCTATTGTCAGAAGATCCCAGGCTTCTGAATGTCACACATGCCAAGAAAACTGCTAATCTATCCGCTGGTAGATGGCAGAAGAGATTTCCAACGCCCCTACCTACGTGCCCTGGTCGCTGATGCTCACTGTTTTGATCAACGGAACCCTTGGTTTTGCCATGCTTCTCGCCTTGCTCTTTTGTCTCGGCGACATCGATAAAGCACTGAATGATCCTACCGGACTGCCCTTTGTCGGCATTTTCCTGCAAGCAACAGAGTCCATCCCAGGGACAGTCGTTATGGCTTCTATAATCATTGTGCTGTGTTTCTGTACCTCAGTGGGCATGCTTGCATCCGCTTCGCGTCAATTCTGGTCCTTTTCGCGTGACCGCGGAATCCCCGGCTGGCAACTCTGGAGTCAAGTAAGTAGCTAGAGACCTATTCACACGACAGCACTAAGTATCCTAGGTCACAACGCGTACAGCAATACCAACATACACCGTCGTTTTCACCACAACCATCTCGCTCCTTCTAAACCTCATCAACATTGGCTCCGACGTAGCCTTCAACAGCTTAGTATCGATGTCGACATCCGGCCTGTATCTATCATACATGGCTGTTGCGGGTCTACTCCTGTACCGCCGTTGCACTGGCGGAATCATAACCAGAAACAACGGGACCCGCGGCTCAGAGATCAAGATTAACACAGCAGGCGCGCAGCTGGTCTGGGGCCCATTCCATGTCCAGGGTGTATGGGGGATCGTGCTGAATGCCTTCTCGTTGATCTACATGTCCATTGCCACTTTCTTCAGCTTCTGGCCTCCGAACAATCATGCAGATGTGCAGTCGATGAACTACAGCGTGGTGGGTACAGTAGGGACGATCATCCTCAGTCTTTTGTATTATTTCATTCGTGCTAGGAAGGTTTACTCTGGCCCTGTGGTGGAGATATAGCGTTGGTCACTATGTGCTGATTGATAGGCATGTGTTTCGTGGAACAGCATGTTGCATTTAGGCGTTAGATCGCGGTGGTTCATAGGCATGACCGCATAAAAGAATCTGTCCTGTCGCTGGAGGGCAGAACTGCAATTTACAAAATTTAAGAAACGTCCGATTTAGATATGGAAGGAAACATACACGACTGATTTACGTGACGCTATAGCGGCCCAACTTCCTTAATCGCTCCCCGTAGATATAGAACAATATCGGCACTGGCACCATGAGCACCGACACGAACCCCAACAGGGAGGTGGCCCAATTAATTCCCAGACGATCATACATTGGGGTAGCAAATAGTGGGAACCCTGCAGCCGCCATAGATCGGACAAAGGTGTTCGCTGAAACAGCGCTGGCAGCGTAGGGGGTGTATACATCCAGAATGTAGTTGAGGCCCATCGTATAGATGACCTGAATACCCATGCCGATCGGAATCCCAGCTAGGACCTGAGGTATCCAAGTGATGTGAGGGCTGCTGGTCCACGCAAACCAGAATAGTCCTGGTGGTAAAACGACGGCACCAACCATCATGGGGATTAGGCGCTCCTCCGGTGCGACTATACCACCCCCTTCGTGGTATTTGCGTTTAAGACGGAAGACGGTTGTTGCTGCGATGGTCAGATTGCCGCAGATGACACCTGCGCTAATGCTCAGGAAAGGCAAGGCTCCCACGCTGGCGTTCCAGCCACGCTGGTCCTGAAACGAGATGGGATACGCTTCAAAGAAGAGATATAACGTCCCGTAGACGAGGGACATATACAGGGTTGTTAACAGCAGGATAGGCTCGGTGGCCAACATAACTGCTCACCTGTTAGTAAAATGGTGGCACTCGATCACAATGTCCTTACCAAGTGGTCGTGCTAAGAACTTCGTCAGGAATTCCCTCCAGTTCATGTAGCTTACAGGCGAATTGGTATTCGATTGTCCGAGCTCTTCCCTTCCGTCAGAAGAGCACTCACGAGCCTGGAACCGGCGCAGCAATGTCGGGGCGTGAGTCTCAGGCACAAAGATCATGCCAAGGACCCAGAAAAAGACGCCTTGGATCAGAGTCAGCCACGCTGTCCATCGCCAGCCGAGATAGCTGTCCACGACGAAGCCGCCCACAATCGGGCCTAGAACCGGCCCAGAGAATGTCGCGCCGGAATATATACACGCAGCAATTCCCCGTTCCACCGGATCCCAGATATCCGCCAGAGTGGCTCCAACAATCGACAGCGGCGAGCAAGCAAACAGACCGCCAATGAAGCGGCAGATTACAATGGTTGGCACGTTCTGGGCCACGGCTACAGGCACTTGAAAGATACAGAAGACGATCACACCAAGCATCAAGGGTAATCTACGCCCATGGCTCTCGGATAGTGGCCCCCATAGCAGCGGACCAAAACAATATCCCTGCGTTGATTCATTAGCCAACCGTCCGAGCGAATTATTTGTCTTTACCGGAGTCAGATCACTGACTAACATAAACAGGCTAAGACCCAATATCATCACTTCGTGGGACACATGGAATTCCGCTGCCGTTTGCTTTTCCGCGGTGCTGAAGATACTACTCGCAAAGGTGACAGAGAATGTCATGAGTGAGGCAACCACAGTGATAGTCCATTTCTTCCCGTTCGACCATCTCTTTGGGTTTTCAGAGTCAGGAATTGTGATTCTGTCATTGAAGCTACTCTTGAAAGTCGCTGCTTGGGCTTCGGATGATCCTGAGGTCATTTTGTACACGATCCCCTCACGGCTGTGAGCCTCCTGACCTGCTACCAACGGTGCAAAGCCGGGGGTCAACCTGTGGAAGCCCATTTGTAATTAAACAGTAGCTTCCCCTTGTTGATGTGGGTCCGGCGTGGAGAGTCAACTGAAGCCAAGTCGATCTTGGCACTGAAAAACATCTGCCGAAATGAATCCCGAAGTCATTAGATTGGCCACAGCATTAGAGCCTTCGATATATACGGGTATGTCCCACATGGTGCCGGGCCATGTATCATCCGGAAAACACCGAGACATGCAATTTGAAGTAAGTATTGATCATCTACTTCGAACCTGTCCATGGGATTCGTATAATGAGCGGAGTTTACACCACCAAACGATCATTAAAAGATAGAGAAAATGAGAGAATGGGTAGATCTGTGGAAAGGAACACGGTTCACCCAAACTGTGCGACAGCAAAGACCATAGTTTCATCTAGATAAGGGACATTTTATGGAGAATACGTGGCGCGAGGCTGAGCTTTAGATCTGTGGAACTTAAATCACCAACTTGGTAAGACTTCTTTGATGGACCTAGTGAATTAAGTTAAGCCTGAATAAGATAAAAGCGTGCAGGCGATCTATAGAACAGTCTTGACGTGAAAAAAACTTTACACCTTTCCTTCGCATATTTCTGTACAGCTCCAACTCTCGCCGTTCCGCTGAGCAGATATCGAATCAACCTGGTCAGTGCACGTGTCGCTTCAAGCCAATCTTCCTTGAGGAATAAGTTATAACTTCGCGTAAAATGTAGACTAACAGGCTCTTGATCGAAATGTCCTTGGGCATATACTCTGGAGATGAGATCTTTCGTAAAGAACCCACGAGCAATATGGAGATACGGACCATAGAAACCAACTATAAAAACTTCCTGGTCTTGGAATCTGGCATCCAGGATACTAAGATTTTTAGTGAGCTGTCCCAACATGGCACTAAAGGTTTTTATCAGAAGTTCACTCCAAATCTGCCCTGGAAACCACTGAATAGTATTAGCAGACATCCTACTCAATGAAGTATTGTACAAGTACCCCAGTACAAGAGATTATTGGTAGATATTCAGCTCTTGGTCCAACAACAGCGGCGCCCTCTGGTCTGGCGGCCTATCGTTTACCGCCAATCGTATATCTTAATTCGCGTCCGCGTGTGGCAAAGCTAGGGAGATTAGGAACGCTAGATGTAAAATAAGCTAAGAGACATACCCAATTTTGGGATGCTGCTCTTTGACATTATTGAGCTTGCAATAGATAGCCCCCATTAGCAAGCTGGATCTTAGGCACTGGTCACGTATAAGATATTTAGATTGCTCTCTTCCAGATATGCGCCAACTCTTAGTGGGCAAGGTGATTGCTTGGTTCGGTACGAAGATATTCGAGATCTCTGTAGTATCGAAGGCGCTCTCTTGTAGCTCATATCGGTAGAAAACTAAATTATACAAGAATTGGTGAAATTTGCAATCTTCTTCAGGGCCACTCACTAGGCGATCCCCATCTACAATATCTGAATGCTCAAAAACCCAGGAAATGACTTTCTCTACATCCCTTTATTAGATAACATGTCAGGAGAAGATATCAGTGGAACAGGGTACATATTATATACCTTCGCATTCACGGTCCACAACTCTGGGGATCAAATTGTCTAGCTCAACCAGTTTGGAGCTAACAGTTACTGACATTGTAGATGGTGATAAAGAAAGAGGGGAAGTCAACAAGTTGGAATTTGGGAATTGCTAGTGGAAGTTACGGTTCCTGCAGGCGGTCAGGAAAAAGCCAGCCACCTTGTCTATGGCTCGTTATGGTTAGGAGAAACAGATTTGATCTCGCGCGTGTTGATATAAGTAGCCCGCGAGCAACCCTTTGTTAAAAGAGGGGAGATTGAAGATGATGTAACTGTGGACATGGCACTAAAACGCCTTGTCTAGTTATATTATAGGACAGCGCATTTGTGCGAACTTAGCAGATAGGAACTCTCCCTGGTAGTATGGGACAACTACAGGCATAGTGGAAATATTCTCCACTTGTAATAGTAGTTTTCTCTAAGTGTTCAATATTATCCAATTCAAGAAGGCTATCTGCCACAAAGTCCATTAGTTAACGCTATCTTCTTCACCCTAACATACTTACATCCCTAGAAACCGTAGAGGACCCCAGATGTGACACACTTGAGAGCAGGAATCCAATCCCAGCACGATGCTAGCGCTGTGCATCGAATGAGAAAGTATTCCTATGTGATTCCTGCACGAGTTGTTTAACCCCAGGCAAACCCAAAGAGCACGCTATGGCTTGAAAAAGTGGCGAAATAAGCGACCCGAGTGTTCCAACCGGGGGTATATTTTTTCAGGCCATCTGTGCCTAGTTGGTGAAAAATGGTTGGGACTAAGCGCTCAGTCTAGCTGGGGTGGTGATGGAAGGAATTCTCGTCTAGCTCTTGAACCTCGTTATTAATCAAGGGTTGTCCTAACTTCTGGAGTAGCAGATGTAAGATTTATAGCTGGATTGTATAAAATTACTGAAAATCCAAAACGAACCAGAAGGACGTCATAATGAATGATATCAAGCTCCGTTTTGTTACGGAAGGGAGTCGAGGATCTGAGATCGACTCTGACTCCGGAGATCAACCGGTTCGGGGCGGGCCCAGCGGGGAACCCCGTGTCATTGTACGAAAGGTTAGGACCAAGAGAAAGGCGAGAGACTCTCTATCTTACCGAGACAGGGGCAGTAGCAGGGATATTGCTCACTAGACTGAGACAGGTGAGATTCTCGCTGCCGGCGCACCTGCCTCATTTCGCCAATTGCCCGCTGCTAGTGGCGTTCGACCGGTCTGTGGAAACCGTAGCCCCCTGAGACCAAAAGCACGGAACTCCACCACGCCGCGGGGACGGGCCGCCGACAGCTCACGCGGGCCTCGATCTTGGGAAAGACTAGACTCGCAGGTCCCACCGGAAGCCGGGGTAGCGATCCTTTGGCAAAAAGGTCGGGAGGGGTTCGTTGAAGCTGGTGGCGCAGCGGTTGCAGGGCGCGTTTTGTTCTTGCTCTCGGATCACCGGGACTGCCTCTAATGTAGGGACGGAGCGCTATATGATAAGCAATGTGAACCCCAGGCCCCTCTCGTCGACTGGACGAAGTTCCATGTACTCAGCCAAGGTAGGTAGATATGGCGATAAAGCAGACATATTTCATTCCATTTCATCTTTTTTCCTCCGAGGAATATACTGGCCAGTGTGCCGCATACAAGAGCGGTGGAAACGATGGTCGCTGCACGTCCACCCCGGGAAGCGACTTGATCAAGAAGACTAAGATCAACGAATTACACGCAAAGCTTCAGAGCAGCTACAAGAATAGGACTGGGGATGCAGAGAAAGGACAGATGCTGAAGGAATTGGCCGGGCTTACTATCTGCGGGAAGCAAAAAAATAATGGAGCCATAGAAGATGCCGTGCGCCAGTGGAACTCTGAACTAAAGACGCAAGATAGCCCGGCTGTTTGTCCAGCAACACCGGCGAGAAATGTCAATGCACAGTCGAAGAAGGACAAGGGGAGTTCCAAGTTGGAATTCACACCCTATAAAATCGACGATATGGACAAATACATCGTGGGCAAACTCAATCAGGCGGCTGGTCACGATTCCAGCATGGACAGTGACAAGGAGAAGAGAGATCATCTATATATCTTTGAGTGCGAAGATGCGAAAGGCATGTGCAAGCTTGGGTACAGTTCCAGTCTCACACGAAGGGCTCGTGAACAGGAGAAGTGCTATCCTAATTTTACGGAACGTCGATCCCTCTATTGTCCAAACCCGGATATATTCGAGAAGGTGGTACATCGGGAGTTGTCTCAGGATCGATACAAACATAAATGTAGCCGATGCAACGTCACTCACAATGAATGGTTCAAAGCTGATCTCGATGAGCTATACCGGCGTGTTAAAGTTTGGTGCCAGTTTTCACAGGGCTTCCAGGACCCTGAGAAGCGAGTCGACGTGCGTATTCCGCCTCCTGAGCTCCCTTCAGGTCCAGACAGATGGTACAAATGGGCTCAAAAATGGGTTCAAGATTGGGAGAAACAGGGATTACATTTCGAGCCAAATACTTCAGACACGTCCGCTGTTCACAATGCTATCATGGATGTGGAGGCCCTGAACCTCGACGATGCAGAATCGGTGCCTGGACTTTCTCCATCAAGCTCTGTGTCTGGAATTCCCGGCGATGAATACATCGATCCTCCCACCCCAACCCCAATTGAACGCTCACGAAACGGAAAGAGTCTCTTAAAAAACAGTTTGATCATACCGACTGCATCGCCGTCCATGTCGTCGGAGGAATACTGGACCGCCGTCGAGGGTTTGTCAACACACAAAGGCTCCGTCCTCTTTCCTCAGGTACCCGGCGGATATCCTGCCTCACCAGTGAAAGTGACAACCAATGAGGACGAGAATGGATTGGTGGGTACTCTTGAGAATATGACACTTCGTTGATTGCTTGTTTCAATTCTCGTCACAACGCCTCGTTGTCTTTATGCTGTTTGGCATTCTTTGTAGCTTGGCTGTTTGCTTGGATTTATGTATTGCTATATTTCGTACTACGTTAAAGCCTGATTGTGGTATAAGAATGGAATCATTTGCTGCTGAGGTGCCGACTTTACTTAACAGGGCACGATCTAAAGCATAACTCTAAACAATCTATTCTGGGCTCACTATTCCACCACTTACAGATATATCAATGTATAACATTTATGCATATAAACGCAGCATAATGACAGTAAGATCCGTGATCAGCAGACCTCAGCAATCTAAGACCAAGAAGGAAAACTCCGCGAGACAGCCTTGTCTCACACGCTAATGGTGACCTATCTCGTCATCGCGCTGGTTCTGACTCGCTAGTGTGGCGCCATTCGAACAGGGATCTGGATCCTGCAGCGCCGCAAGCCGCGTGCCTAGTTCGAGTGAACTCGTCCTGTTCCCAGCCCCAGATCAGAGGAGGCTGGCGAGATTTCCCCTACCAGAGATCATCTCGTCCCTTAAGCCCCATTCCTGCCAGGGCCGGATGATATCCCCGAAATGGATGGCCAGGTGCCTAGGTATCTGAAAGCCCTCACGAGCATGTTGAACGTTTTCTGCCTTGATCTTCAATCTACTTGAGTCACTTCCGTCCGCCAAACAACAAAAGTATGGAATATACTTCGACTTCTACCCGTTCTGCTTTTTGCCTACCACTCTGAGTGAAGCTCATTATTGCGAAAATAATCACAGAACCATGCTTCCTTGATTGTATGCAACATTGGCGTCGGCGAAAAATATTGGGGGGTATATAATATGATCGAAGAACTAGCAGTAGTTGAACGTGGTGGGAACGATAATGATTGTGATGCAGATCGAGAAGGGTTAATCTCAGTGTCACGAACACCGCGCAAGGGATCGAGTTCTGGCTGGAAACATGTAGCATAAATAATGGATGAGAAGTTAGGATTATTCAACACTCAACAGCTGTGGTGCTTTCCTTGAGTTTCCATTTAGGTAGGTACATTAAAGCCCCGGAGACAGCGATCAATCCCATGAATCCCAGACTGGATATCGGTCGAATATCGGCAAATTACCTCATCTGTTTTCTACTGGTAGTGCTGTGATTTATACATCCCAAGTCGGATTCCCGGGTAGAATAGCTATTATCTGCTAGGATCTTGAGATAGCTTGTCGCGAGAGCAGCTATGTTGTTAGGAACCAAGCCCAAGCACAACAATATTAATATCAGAGCAACAGCTACTTCAATTAACTAGTAGTTACACCACTCAGATAATAATAGATACACCTTTGGATTGGCTGTTTATAATAGTATCAGTATGCTTCCCTTCCACACTTCCCGCCCAGTTGATTCAGTCTACAGCACTATTTCTGAAGATTCCGTTTTTTAATTCAACCGAGCACTTGTCTAGACAGATGATCTACTGTCACTGCTCAACACTTTAGTTCCACTTCTTTCGAGGCGTTTTTCGCTCGGCCGTATTCTACCTAAAAGGTTGGCGTAGATATTAAAAGCATTCCCCTAATTTTCTCTATAGAGGCCTCTGGGTGGTATAGACCACGTATAACCTCCCTAGGGTAGGGACTTAATTCGAGCTTCTTTATCCTATTTGGGTTTATCACGACTAGAGGCATTCTAGGAGCTATTTAATGAAGAAATAGATAGTGGATAGGGAAAGAAAAAGGCTTGGTCGGAGGTGACGCGTTTAATATGGAGACTTTGGGTGGGTCTAAATCTTTGCCCGCCTGGACTGTGGCGTGGTATAGAAGACATTTGGAAGCCCTTGGGAGTTCAACTTTTCATATGCCGATCAAATCGCCGTTAGAAATATCTGGCATTTTTGTGGATGTTTCCTACAGCCCCAATTGGCAATGTTGTGGTTGTGTGGCGGCATTTGGAATCCCCACTGCAGGAACGGCGGGAGTTGGTGGCTCCACTGGAGCTTGCCTGCTATAGCCTGTCATGGATAGGAATACCACAACGTGTTCAATGTAGAGACGCAAATGCGGACTCGCTTAATGAGAGTCAATATAATGTCCTACAGCACAAGCAGTGTGCCGACTTGATAGGTGAATGGCTACCAGACGGTTTGCCAACCATGTACCTGACAGTTGGGCTATATAATACCACCAAGTTCTCCCAGTCAAACCCTGAGGCTCGCATCCGAGGCGAAAAAAAATGTTTTAGGTAATAATTATGGCTCGTCATATTCTTCTGGTAGCGCTGAGCTTAGCCCTAGGTGGCTATGCACTTACTCAGGCAAACCGGAGAACAGTAACGGGGAAACGCCTTCAGTTCACAAAGAAAGGAACTTTCCAGTTATCTATCTTCGAGGACTTACACTACGGCGAAGGTAAGCTTATTCTTCGGTTTCAATGCGACAGCACCGCTAACTAGGTTTTAGCGGAGGCCACCACCTGGGGACCGACGCAAGATGCTGAGACCCAGGTTGTGATCAATACCGTTCTCGACAACGAAAACCCACAGTTGGTCATCCTCAATGGGGATCTCATCACCGGGGAGGACACCCTCTTGTCCAATGCGACCAACTATATCGATCAGCTTGTAGCGCCTCTCGTGGATCGCCAGCTCCTCTGGGCTTCTACCTATGGTAACCATGACAGCGGTTATAATTTGTCTCGCAGCGCTATCCTGGAGCGAGAGAAGACCTACCCAAATAGCCTGACAAAAAGTATGGTCTCGGGAGTGCTTGCTGGTGTATCCAACTATTACTTGCCCGTTTACGCATCGGACTCATCCAAAGACACCCCAGCCCTTATCATGTGGTTTTTTGATAGTCGTGGCGGGAATTATTACCAGCAACTAAGGAATGGGAGTGAAGTTCCACAGCCTTGTTGGGTTGACGAGTCGGTTAGTCATATGCTTTATTTTCTTGCGGTGTAATCCCCTTTAACTTGGTGATTCTAGGTGGTTGAATGGTTCATACAAACCAACACAGAGCTTAGAAAGAAGTATGGCAGAGTGATTCCTTCAATTGCATTTTACCACATTCCGGTCAACGCAATGCTTGCCTTCCAGAAGCAGGGGGTCAACACAAATTATGAGCCAGGCATCAATGACGATAATCCTTTAGCCCAGCAAGGCGAGGCAAACGGACAGAGAGAGGTCTCGGGAACTGTGTTCAGCTACTCCGGTCAGGACATTCCATTCATGGAGGCAATGCTGAACACCGAGGGTCTCCTGGCGACGTTCAGTGGCCATGATCATGGTGATGACTGGTAAGCGGCTGCCTGCTTTCTGCCTTCTCTATTAGTCCATGCTGAAACAAACGGAAAGGTGCTTTAAATGGGACTCGAAGCTTCCCGGTATGAATCTCACTGGCAACGGATTGAACCTGTGTTTCGGGCGTCATACTGGGTATGGTGGATATGGCTCGTGGACTCGGGGATCACGACAGATCCTGTTGGATGAGATGACTCTGGAAAAACAAATCTTGACATGGGTTCGGTTGGAAGACAGATCAGTCTCTGGCAAAGTCAACCTGAACTCTACTTACGGAGAGGATTGGTATCCCTCCGTCACGACGACTTATACGTGAAATATAGACATGTAGCCGAGCCTCGTTCCGGGCGCCCAGAGGCAATTCATTACTTGCCATACCTGCGTGCAATGATCCCGTCGAGCATTCCTACGGCTCCCATCACAAGGACAACTTGCACATGTTGTATTATGCATCTGTTTCAGTTTACTTGTGGGGTAATTATGGTATCTCACTCATCAAGCCAGGAGATCGAGCGACAGATTTGTAGATACCATGTGAAGAACCCAAAAATCCATCCGAAGACGGGGTCGAGGACGATGGCCTTTTGTTCCTTTTGGCCATTGAATATTCCAGTACAGGAGCTATCCGTCAAGATATATTTGGCCTCCGTCTGACCGAGAACACTCTAGATCCTTGTGACGCGCATCTGCAGATCGACAGGCACAACGACGGCTCCTGTGTGAAGAATCGCATGTAACTGTACTATAGTCCATTTGGACTTCTTCATACAGCACGGAATTGAGGATAAACCCTTGGATCAGGAGTTCACTTTACTATAAGTCAGGCCGCTATTCAATGCAGACACAGCAATTAATGCGGTCGCACGATGGCCTCCTCCTCTATGCTTTCCTGCAACAGACAGACGATGGATGGGAGAAGAATTGCTCTATAAGTGAAGCCACTGTCGACATCTGGGGCTCAGAAAGGTGATGGAGCCCAAATGTGCGATCTGATACTCTTCATGGTATGCTGGAAGAGATTGGAAACGATCTGTGCTTGGTCGGACAGAATCTAGGATGTCCGGTATTCGAGAGCAATATCGATGTGACCAAGATGCTTCTCAATCACGCAATATATCTGAATCTCCCAGAAATCAGGACTACGATGTTTGGAAATTTTTGAGCAAGGGTTAACCATGATCTGAGTTGCTTTAATCTCGTATAATGCCGTAGGAATCATTGCCCTCGGTTGCAAGACTAGAGTCATCATGCATGGGTCGAATACTAATACATGGATCGCGACTGATCGACCTGTCCTTAAAGAAAAACTATGAATGCAATACATACAAGAAGACACTACACAGCAAAAAGCTAGAGCTGCTTGGAGATCTATCAGAAACTGTTAAATCCGGGGGCCGGTTTTGAATTTCGCTGTACCTTCGACGTAGACCTTTAATGGAGGAGGTACAGTAAAGCTTAATAAACGCTAGATGAGTCCATCCCACACCGAACCCTTGCTATTCTGACTTACTATGCCTGCCAAAACGGCCATTTTATGCCCTGACATGGAGGTAAATCACCCTGATCGAACCCGGCACTCCTGATGGTTGTACACCATCCCCGAAGACCGACACAACAGCTCGTATGTGGGGGCGCGGACAAGATCGACTCCAGCCAGCCACAATCGCTGCCCACCTCCGTCCGTGACTCTCGAAAGTATAATTTAGTGGGAGGAGGATATGACTGGGAAGAGTGAATCGCTTAAGATGATCTGCATGAGCGAAGGTAAGATCGAACTCCACTCGGCTCGGTAGTCGCGAGCTGAACCATCCACGTGGTTCCACACCATGAGGGGCACTGCCCTAGAACAAGCCCTCAATGGCTACAGTACTGCAATCAATCACTGATCGTATCTTGGTCTGATCCTCTAGTCAGCGTCACCGCTGCAAAAGATCGGCAGAGCTGAAAAGACACAGCCAGCGAGTCCACCCCACAAAGGATTTAAAACCCGTCTCCGTCTCGATCGTCAACATCACAGCATCCTATCGTCTTATTACCATTTTCATTCTCGCCTTTCTCGAAATGTCTGCACTCGCGCCATTTGACGCGTCCCTGTACGCATATCGGACCAATTTTGATGGCCTAACGCCTCGGGATCCGGCCTCCGCAGCTCGTGTTGAACAGGCAGTCCAACCTTACCAAGACGCCCTTGAAAAGTTTGGAATGCAGGACGAAAGGGCACGCGAGAGATACGAACAGGACACAAACGATGGCCTCACTACCGATAAATTTGAACATTGGGTGATCAACAATGTAAGTCCCGGTCAATCATTTTGAATTTTGGAAGTTAGGTGGCCGGATCTGGTATTTCTGATCTTCTACTTATAGGTCCCACAATGGGCTCAGGCAAGGGCTGAGCTGGGGAACTACGGTGCCGCGTTAAGTCAGGCTGCCTTTCAAGCCTTTGGGGACGACTACCATAGAAAGATAAGCCAGGGCCAGCAAGACCTTATGATTGCAGCCAGGCAAGCGGGTTGTGATCCTCAGTACTTTTAGAACATGTATATATGTGACAGCGTTAAGCCAGCTCTGAAGCCACTCAGATTGTTGAACGGCATTTATACCACTCAGTACATATCCTGCACAGTAGCACAGGGAGTCCTCTTGGGTAGTGATGGCTGTCTCACAGATCGGATCTTATTCAGACAAACCTGAGGTTCCGTCTTCTTGTTCTTGTACGATTTTAATATCGATCAGATGTCGTACCCTCCGGAAGAACACACCTGTACGATCAAAATGGCGGTGCGCCGTACTTGTCTACTCCAGAATTGCTGGAGTCCATTCTGTTGCAACTAGAGGTTTGTACACTCCTGACCACCGCCTAAGCAACCCGTCGGGCATGGCGCGTTCTAATACAGGGATCTCCTTTTCCTGCCTCACAGTAGTGATTCCTACGGACGCATAATTCAGAATCCACTTTTAGTCGATGCGTTCGCATTCGTCTTTGACACGACAGGAGTCCGTGAATATCGAAGTGGCGACTTCCTGTCAACCTTCCGTCTAGCAAAACTCTCACAAATGCAAACGGCCTTTGTTTTTTTTGATGAGACCGCAGCTGGCGTCGGATGCTGGCATATTCTATGGTCGATAGACCAGCTCACGCGTCGAGATTACCAGCTGAAAATCGAACATGCTGTAATCCGGATCTATCTCAGTCGGATAAGAGCTCAAGACCTCCCTAGATGTCAGAACGGACAGGCCCTCTCTCGCAGTGATCTTTGTCCTTTACAAATCGTTCGTCTCTTAAATGATTACTTTCCCTACATATTAGGTAACGATATGCCTACCGGTACAGTATTCTTCCAGGCAAAACTACTATAAATAGGCCGAGAATGCGCTCTAATCGTGTATCCCATCACAGAGAAAACTGACTTTTTAACAAAGTCTTCTGAATGATTTCGCTAAACCTCTCATTATCATCCCATGACTGCGGTACATCATGGCCACCGTGGTGCTGGTGGAATGCGGCTAGTTCTAGATCACACATGCGACAGAACCCTCTCAAATGCGGACTGCATATGTCGCGCTCTCCCCAAAGGCGAGCGGTCGCCAATTCAAGCCGACCGTCGTATAATTCCGGATGGAAGCAGCGTGGTCTCAGATGGCCATTATCTTTTCCCATGACTGTACTGATGGTAGCCCTCCACTTCATTTCGACCTCGGGATTAATATCAAACAGTGTATGCTTTGCGACCTTTTGTAGCGGTTCTAGCTGCAATTCACATGGCGGGTCTGCCTTTCTGCCAATTTTCACCGTTCGTGTCAAGGGGGTTCTCGCCTAAGAGGAGATACGTGACGTCGTGGCCGAGCTTGGGCGTCCACGAGAATGGCAGCCAGCTGTTGATGAAGATGGCGAATTTGAACGGAGAAAGCGAAGCAGGACTCTCCTGTTGATATTTCAGAATAACTGTCGCGCAGAGGCTCGCACCCTTTTGAATCAAGGTAATCAGCCGCCGACTAGATTGGAACGTACTCATTGGAAACAATCAGGGAGAACGAACCTCGCAAATACCCATGAGGCCATCAAAAGGTCCGTGACTCTGGATAAAATCTTCGATTTTAGCCACAGCGGCCGCGGTACCTCTGGTTGTAAGATCCTCCAAATGTGATAAATATGGGCAAGGGTATACGTCCGTGAGTTCTTTTTGGGCAGGGACGTGAAACTCTCTATCCATCCATACGAATATATACTCCGGTGGTAAGAGAGACTGTAGTTGTATCGTTTTGGCCTGAAAAATGGAGCTATCCATAGTATTTTTATGTATATATAGAATACGCATGATTACACACGCGGTACTTGAGTGTCGTCTCCACAAGGCGTCCCGGGTTGTCCTAGCGAGCCATCTACACAATCGTGGCGATTTCTCCTTTTGAAGTGATGGACGTGCCGCGGGGAACACAGTGTCGAAACTGCGAAACCAGCCTTTTTACTCAGTGAGCTTCAGCGCTAGGATCAGTTCGGGCTTTAAATTCTCTAATAACCGTGATGGGTTTCCAGCTAACACCCATTTGATTGTCTCCCCAGTCCTATGCCAAGAATATACTAATCTTGGTTATATAAAGTATACTATAAATTTACGCTATATAATAAACAGATTTCCCACGGGTAGTCTATGCTGCAGCTCTAGGATAGGTTTCCAGGATCAATCCTCTTCGTCTTCTGGAACAACAACCTCGACGCCAGATAAAGCCTTTAACTTGTTAATAGCCTGCTCGGTCAATGGCCTGGTTGAAGCTCCCGCGTCAGTCCTCACAGTTTCACATCACACATCACGGCGACGGTAAAAGCTTACGCAGGCTGAATAATCGGAGGACTAGTAGGCTGTGTAATAAATTCACCTGTTCCTGTATCCTCTTTTATAATCCTATTGCAATATTTAGCCAGTTATCTCTTTTCATATGGGCCTCTGGTAAACCAACGAAATGACGTCCTGGACATGCTCCCCGAACCCTTGTATAGAGAATCGAATAATGGCTTGCTATCAGACATATATTAATCCTTGGGAAACAAAGCCTACCCCACACCTCACTTACCTTCGTGGACTCGGACATGTTCTGTTGATCTGCGGGAATGATGAGAAATAATCAAGTGTCGACCTTGTCTGTTCGGCAAAGCTATTTCAGAGTCTCAACTAACCTCTATTTATACTCGAACAATTGATCGGAAACACAGTGCCAACATACCCCTCCACACCTGAGCTGACGGTGCCACGTATCAAGTCATTGATCCGCTCAGCGAGGGCTGCGCCCAGCCACTGATACACGTCCGTGCTGAAGCCAATCTGCCGATCGGTGGGGAAAATAGGAACTATACGGCATAACAATATGATCTTTAATTCAGCTGAAGTGGCATTGCTGTACCGACTTCTAGTTCAGCCGAAGAAGGCTCCATATCGTGGATTGACAGATTAACGTAATTCAACAGTATGGTATTTGGTCTTTTATCCAGGTACTTTCATTCCATATGCTTCTGGCCTATTAATATAGTAGTATAGGTTTCACCAATCGTTCAGACACTGAGAAAGGGTCTAAGGCTGTGATAGAATAGCAAATATGGACAGGCATGTATATATACTGCCCATCAAGTAAAGGAGTCATTACTCATGTTTTTTAGTTCATGGTTACTGCAACAGTCGCAGCTTGCTTCCCAGGACCAGGGCACTTCGCCAAAGCGATCGCCGCAACCATATAGAAGCCAGTTAACACTTCGGCCGACAAGCCTTCCCCTCTGACCAGACGGCGATACATATTGTGCCCTGCCTCCTCTTGAACAGCGCATGCTTCATCACAGAGTTTACAATCTGGATGTGGCTGGTATCAACCAATCTTCAACACCATGTGCCCCTGGACAACCCTCTAGTAACGGGCAGATATACTGATTTAGGGATTACAATAAGTATTTCTGGCCACTTCGACTTCAGTATCCTTGCCTCATGCGCTGGTTGATTTGGAAACCGTCGCATATCGAGACATTGCAACAAGGAGCCATCATGCGTTTTAGATAACATTCTAGCACGACGGCTAACGAAGCTGATGGCAGAGAAATGGTAATACCCGGACCGGCAGAGGTTCTCGAGCACTGAGAGGCCAAATTGGAATTTAGCGACAACGCATGCCACTATCCTCAAATCTCTGGACTTCGTCCTGCCCTTCCCGTTGTATCTGCCAGCGTGCCCGAGGTTGTGCAACTCACAACTGAAAGGCCAGGCTTTTGCGCAACCTGTAGTTGAAGCGACAACATCTGGCTTTCCGCACTCGATAATGGGCAAATAGCAAGCATGTGGATTCAACAGGCCAAGAATGTAAGAAATGCATGAAAACCGTGCCGACTACCCTTCATGCTTGATACACCTATCAGCGGCCATTGGATACGGAGCTCAGGATCGCTCTTTGATTCTTGATCTAGTCCTGTTTCGTCGGTGAATTCCCGTTAATAAACCCATGGGATAATGCAGAATGGCCTGACATAGTCCCTGAATGGCCCTGAGCGCGACATTGACAGGCACATCGATGTATTATGATATTAATTGCCCTTTGGCCATGGAACAGAACGCTAGCGTAAATGGGTATCTTTATGTACATCTTCATCAAGGAACGACCTGTCTCTGTTCATTTCCCTGCATCCTTGCCCATCAGCTCAGATACCGGTTGATGGTGTTCCAACTCCACTGGGGGGCGCCCAGCCATGTCGGTGGTATTCATATATGGAGCAGCAGGAGCGTGCCCAAAAGCACCGTGACCCGCTTCAAATGCCACAGGCTGCATCTGCTGCAAGGCTCGGCTTGCCCTCCTCCGCTCATACAATGCCCAGATCAGCAACAGTATAGCGATCACACCAAGTGGGACCCCCACCCCTGCTCCGATCGCGGTATCATGAGACGATGGACAGGTGGCCGGCGTGGCCGTAGAGGAATTCGAGTTGGAGTTGGAGTCCGAGGAAGACGAGTTGGTGGCGTCTAGGGTAGTGATGTTTTGGAGCATTCCAGCGCTCAGGATGGGATTGCCGTCTTGGATAGAGAATGGGACGTCGCTATTATTATCCGACTCACTGGCGAGACAAATGACCGTGGATCCATTTGTCCTTGGGCTACCGCAGCAATATGTCGCCTTACCGGAGGAGAACCCGACGTTGGTAATGGAGGCGCCCATAGAGGGTGTGGCCTTTGCTACAAGAATCATACCCGTCAACCAACATGAAGTCGGCCATGGAGGAAGTAACTACTTACTGCAAATGGGGCTACACCCGTTCCATTTATCATTCGTGCAGGCTCCTCGAGAAAGCACGTAGGCTGGTGGCCCACATTGAGGCACAGCCCGTTGTCTAGACAGATGTCTGATTGTCCACAGCAGTGGGTGTTGGTGTCTGCTTTGCAGGGAACATTCCCGGGCGCTTTGTTTCCGTTGGGGAAGTAACATTGCCTTGTATCGGAAGTCATGGTGGAGAGTCTGTGGGGTCTTCGAACGGATGGATCTCGCTTTTGTGTTGCGGGAGTTTGTTAGCGAATTGACAGGACAACGACCAAGAGCGGGACTGCAGCTTACAAGTATCAGCCAGAGGAGAGGCTGAAGCTGGAATTGGGGGCCAAAATTAGTACTGTTTAAGGCAGGCAATGGAGTGGACCCTGAGGGATCAATGCTCACCCTATGAGGCTCTGAGATTGACCGTTGTCTATGATGCCATGCTGGAAAAGGTAAGGAACAGCGACGGAATGGCCAAGTGTGAGTTATCCTACTCTGGATATAGTTAGATCGGCGGTGATCTCAAATAAGTGGGCCCACCGTGATGGGGTTGCAATTCGAAGGGTTTCGCAAGGCTTAGTAAATGATCGAGGGAAGTCTAGACTGATGCAACTAAGGGCTGATACTGTCTGTCGACGGTTATCCGTCGATCTACACCAAGGGATGTTGGACCCGGCAATGAGCACCCACGCGCCCAGCGCAGGTGCTCCTTGGAATACGATTCTGGAAGCCTTGGGCAACGGTCTAGCAGCGTTTTACATGGTCATTTTCACTATTATGGCATCAATACGATGGTCTTCAGGTTCAAGGAAGGTGAATATAACTGACCTTTCGGTGGAGAGTAGGAATGTCGTTCGTACAAAGGAAGACCATTGAGCATTGAGGCTTGGAACGGTCATCCTGTTATGTAACTATCAGGTACTTAGCAGCCAGCTAAATTACTGCTTCAATAATGTAATCACTTATGGGGACCTCGGGGTGGTATATGTATAGCAACCTCACATATCCGGACTTTGGCTTTTCATTTATAAAGTAGACCATGATTACATTATCACGGGTTTATTCGGAGTTTCTAATGGGGCCCTAAAGGGATATAAGTACACTCCAATTCACAAGATAATGCGTTCCAGTAGACGTGGACAAAAGTCTGGTATAGCCATGAGAACTCAGCGCCCACTTCCTTCGGCTCAGCTCCGCCAGTTGAGAATACTCCTGAGCTGCCTCATCCTTACGACCACCATCCACTACGCCCACAACTACATTCGTGCCGAAGACTACCCTCCCGTGCCGGGTATCTATCCCACACCCGACGCATATCGCATCGGCATCGCAATTCTCTTCCCCGTCCAGACTCTCTGCGGCATCCGGGGCTACTACTTGTATCAAGCTGGTCACGTTCGCAGCTCTATTCCATACTTAACCTGCCATGCAACACTTGGCATTCGCACACCAGGTCACTTCTTTGGTGGCGTGCCCCAGATTCCATGGTTCTGGTTTATAACAATTATCACGGATTTCTTCGCCGGGGTGGCCTTGGCTGTTTTCTGTTACCAGGCATATACTGCTAGCAGGTCGGAGGGGGCATTGTGAATGGGAGGGAAACGGACAGTATGCAGCTCTCGTCATGGGCCTATTAGTCTCTTGAAGGAGGACAAAGTCTACTCGACTTCTGTGGCCAAGGCACTCTTGCTGAGGTCGTCAAACGTTGAATTTGATCTAGTAAAAACCTATGCCACAGTGAAACGCGTTGGTGCTGTTACATTATCTTGTCTTCCACATAAATTGAAAGAAACATCACGTCATTTTCAGCATACAGTTTAATAAAAGGAATCTAGTTCGTGATCAGTCATCTGGTCGCCCCTATCTCCTCCGATATGGCACTCGGTAGTTACCTAGTCCATACATGGTAGCACTTATTTTTGATCCCGGGGTAAGATTCGGGAAGCCGAAGCTGTAATTATCGGTTCACAGGGACAGAATAAACTCCGTGTGGAATTTACACTAGCATTTGACCCTAGATTACAATATCTCGGCCACTGCCGGGTATGATGAATGCCTCACACGTGGCCTCGGGAAGAGAAGCATGACAGCGGCATATATCAGGGCTCCAACTGCACTCTCTGAAGTATAACAACATTGTATTTTCCCAGGTACATATAGTACTCACTTGTTGACCGTTGTGTTCACGAAGACAATGGCACAAATCTGTAACACTGTAGCTCCCTCATGCAATGAGTAGGATATAACCTAGCTCAGTGGTCTCTGTTTAAGATCAGAGCCAAGGCCTTATGGATCCAATTCGAGTCCTTACCTCGGTATATCAAACCTGGTCTTCACCGTGGCATTATAAACCATATGCCCGAAGCTCATAGTATAATAACCGCTCCGGATAACGTTTTCACCGGCAGAAGCCCTCCATTTCTCTCTTCATATCTTGTCCCTCAATTGTTGCCTTTGTTAACTACCAAGTGCCATCACAATTTCCAAAACGCAATGGTCACTCTAGATCGGCAAATAGCCGTCGAGCCCCTTGGGCCTGACTCGTATATGTCGGCAATGCCTCCAACGAGAATGGGCGCTCTGGCTTCATATGCGTATGGAGGAAACACACTAGCAGTAGCGGTCAATGCCGCGTATCAAACGGTGCAAGCTTCATTCCACTTGTACTCGATCTGCGGGCACTTCATCCGCGCCGCCAGGACAGATCGCAGCCTTATTTGCCAGATTGAAAGAGTCAGAGATACGCGCACCTTTCAGACTCGTGTTATCCGAGTGAGCCAGGAAGGTAACGATGCCTCGACGCAATTGTGTTTCATCGCTTCGGCGGATTTCCATATTGAAGAACCACGATCCATGGTGACCTATTCTACGCTTCCACAGACCAGCCTGCCACTTAGCAACACCGGTATCTCGACCATACCTCCACAAGCCCCAAAAGAGCATGGGTTATACCAGAATCTCGAGCGCTTTCTGGATATGCAGCCGATTGTTGTTGCCGCCAGCATGAAGGAAGAAGAGCAGAAGGTCCATCCTCTGCGCCCTCCAGATTTTCGGCGGAAAGGTTCCGTGTACAGACGCCGCTGGAGAGTGAAGCGGCACATGTATCTGCATTGGCGTTTTACATGGACAAAGGCCTGGCGTATATACCCGCGAATCACAGTGGTTATGCGCTCACCGACGCCAGTGCTTGCGCTACTCTGGACTTTTCTCTTCGATTGTTCACGCATGGAATCGATCTGCGACAGTGGCATCTGACGGAGGCAACGACATCGGTGGCTGGGAATGCTCGGGCCTTTAGCGAGGGACGCGTATGGGATGAGAATGGCCGTCTGGTTGCCAGCATGACACAGCAAACTCTTCTTCGCCCGAAGGCTGGTTTCTATCCACGCATTTGATGGTGCTCACCATCTATCATCATCTTTACAGATCTAGCTTTCGTGTATTTGGGGACTTTGTGAACTGATTCATAGAATACTCTTGCCGTACATAGATATCGCAGTTAAATAGAATGACTCTGGTTACTCGTGGGACAAAGCTGTGACCAACGATACAACACAGGTTTAGTTCCAAGATAACACCCTATACCCATCAAGCTCTCTATAGAACACTCTTCCACACCTTCCGATACCTCTCCGACCTCCCCGGGCCATCGCGTTCCTTCACGGCAGCCTTGAATCCTTTCTCTTGGCTTAGTTCCTGGAATGCGACACCTTCCGGGGAGTTACGGGTGATGCCATCGAAGATCGTAGCCAATTTCTGGCTTTGAAGAAGAGGGCCATCGATAAGACCATTAATAACCTGCTTTTGCATCCAGAGCTGATTTTGCGGGACCGACGCAATGCGGTTTGCCAGCAACAGAACGGTTTCCTCCAACTGCTCCTGAGGCACAGCTTTCAAGACAAGGCCCATCTTCGCCGCTTCAGCGCCGCTGATCAAGTCACCAGTGAAGAGCATCCGTTTAGCCTTCTCGACTCCGACGCGGTACGCCCACATGGCGGTCGTCGGACAACCCCAGACGCGACTCGGCGGATAGCCGATGCGCGCATCTGTCGCCATGATGACCAAGTCACAGCACAGGGCGATATCACTCCCGCCCGCCACGGCTGCACCATGCACCTGTGCGATGGTCGGCTTGTGGCTGTGGAACAGTTCCGAGAAACATTCAGTGTTCGCCTTCATCATCGTGTAGTCGACTAATGGGTCGTATCCCTTCGACAGATCCTGTGATCCATGCGTTTCGCCGCGCTGCGCGTTCTGCGCGTAGATATCCAGATCATAGCCGCCGCAGAATCCGGGCCCGTTTCCTTTCAGGATGATGCAGTGTACCGTAGGGTCTGCGTTCGCTAGTTGGACTGCGTCCCGGAGATCTCTTGGCAGGTGCGCGTCAATCGCATTGAAGCGGTCCGGACGGTTCAGGGTTATATATGCGATCTTCCCGTCCGGGGACTTTTGGTAGAGGATCGTCTTGAAGGATTTGGCTGTCATTGTCAGGGAAGGTTGGTCGCAGGGCTATCCAGGTCTAGCTATTTGGAATATAGGCGGAAGATTATAATATAAGCCGGCATGTAGATTCCTTCAACCTCGGCCCGTTGGCGATCACCCCGCAGGTCAACGTCAGGATGCAGCGCAGTGAAGTGGAAACATGCAAGAACAAGTCTATTGAGGTTATTATATCATGATGTTTCATTGGACCCTGTTGGTTCAATTCTATAGTTAAGACGGGGATCGACAGGTTAGATAGCATAAAGATCAGCGTAATTCATTCCATCCTACTTTTGTACAGCCTCTGCCTACCATTACCGCCACTCAACTCAATGTACACTCAACATTTGCAGAAACTGGTCTCCTAGAGCATTCGCAGCCGTAGGGTTAGCGCCTGTAACAGCTCACGATCCACCGTAACGCTGCCAATCTTCTCCTTCACTCCTTCGACCATAATGGCGCCTTCATTCCGAAGATCGGATTCCACCTTCTCGATCTCCCCACCCATGATGGTCTCCATCATCTTCTCCTCGGCGTCACTCCAGCAGGTGATCCGATAATCCTTATACACAAAATCACCCTCCCCAGCAAGCTTAGTACTCAAGAACGCAAACGGCCCATGACAAATAGCAGCCGTGGGCCGACTCTTGGCATGGAAGAATCGCAAGATGCGACCGAGATGCGGATCCGCACCCAGATCTCTCAACGGCGCGTGTCCACCGGGGATGAACACGCCAGCAAAGGAATCCAACTCGGCATCGCTGATGGAGCTGAAGGTCCGCGGGTGACTGAACCCGTTCTCGCGCTTCATGCGATCAATCAACTCGTGCTCGCGCCGGCGTTCGTAGAAGTTGCCCGCGAAAGCGAGCAGCGATTCACTGTTGGGGTCGGGCGTGGGCTCTTGGCCCTTGGGTGACGCGAAGGTGACTTCGTATCCGGCGTCGAGCAGTTTCTGGAGTGGTTTGGCTAGTTCCATGAGGAAGAAGCCGGAGGGTTGGTCGACTATCTTGCCGGCTTCTTGGCCGCTGGTTTTCTTGAGCGGGAAGGAGTCGGCGTCGCTCAGGATTATGAGGACTTTTTTGGCGGGCATGTTTGGTTGCTGTGTTCTCTGGAGTTAGACAAAAATAAATACGTAGGTGGAATTGTGCTATTCGTCTTTGCTGGACACTGATCTGCATTTTTATATCCTGCTATCGAAATGACATCGCAATGACGTACCCGATCTGGCTGAACAAGACAACACGTAATAAATAATCCCTGGCATTCGTCCTGTTAGTTATTCTATGCAGGAAGTAATCTATTTTTATCCTACATGATATATTCGTGTTGTTCCTGTGAGCTACCGGTTCATCCGGTTATGTAGGGCTTCCCAGACGTGGAAACTATCAGTTGAGACACTCACCCACACATAAACACGGTGGCAAAGAAAGGAATATATGTGGCTCAACATGGCTATGTACATACAAGAGATATCCTTCCTGGGGCTGTGTCTCGCGACAACGAATTTATACACAATTAAAAAAGATTATGTTCACAGTTTGTAAGGCTATTGCCTGACTGTCAAAGCGATGTTGCAGTCAAGATGACGAACAATAGAAAGGTATAGAAAGAAGACAATTCAGGGCTTGCTATAGTGAATCGAAACGCTGTGTCGAGCATAAATGTTGGTCTGAGTCAAGTACGGGTCATAGTTGCTGCTTTGCATCGACAGATCCTGGGACGGGTTGAGTGGCTGCTTGGAATGGCCCGTGCCAGATCGCAGCTGGGACCAGAAACTGCCGCGACTGAGTTTGAAGAGCGGTCTCATGTTAGGGAGGCAGGCGGCGATAATCCCGACCGTTGCTTCGATGCAGGTCCAGACCACGACAGGTACTTGGTTGTCTAGGTCGAGCGATTAACAGGGGTCCAGCTAGACAACACCGCGACAGATATGATGGTGAATACTTACAGGTAACGTCAGGACCAGAGCGTGTGAGGTTGATCATGGCAACAAGACGCACGATATCAAAAATCAGGGTTCTGCGCAATGGGAGTTAGGTTGATTCCAGGATAGAGGCAAAGAGTACTTACAACCCGCCAGTGACAAACACTCCCGAGAGCAGCAGCCTCTGGGTCTTGGAGATCGGAAGTGCCCACACGAATTTCAAGGGCATCACGAGAAGAACGGCATCGGTCAAGATGTTGGGGATTTGCTGGCCATAGTAATACTGGGCGGAGTCGAGGCAGGATCCTGGCACCGTTGGGTCCCAAAACTTGTTGACCGGAAGGCACAATAAGATCCCCACCACGCACACACTCAATCCCCATAGGATAACAAACCCGGCGACAATATTGGCGGCGAGGATCATACGCGGAGTGGAGAATAAACGCTTGTACAGTGCGAGGATGGATAGCTTAATAAAGGCGATGCAAGTCGTATAAACCAAGGGATTGGACCATCCAATCTGATTGAATGAGTAAGTGGATCACCATGCAAACAAAACTGGAGCCGCAAACCTTCAGATAGACGGTGAGATTCTTCTGGGGAATCATTGTGATATGGGAGCCCAGTCCGTTGAACAGCACTGGTATCAGATTATTAGCCACCTGAACACGTGCGTATCGAGGAAGGGATGGCATCAATGGGCCACCTACGGATCGCAACTCCGATTGAGCATCCATATTTGAAAAGCTACAAGAGGAATTAGTGAGGAGCGTAAAGAAACTTCTAGAATGTGATTCTGCATACAAGAGCGAGGAGGATCAGATAATCATCCAAGTACAACCGGGTGCCATTCATCCTCCTCGCTAGCAGCCGGAGAGCCACAGCGGTTGTGGACAGGATGAAGGCAAAGTAGAGCGTGATGATGATGGACCGGCGTAGATTCTGATTGGGGTGTTCGAAATCCCCTGGGATGCCATCGTCGGATCTTGGTTGCTGTGACATGACAGGTAATCTGCCCAAGACTGCAATAGAAGCTTAAGAAAAGCATACGCTGGAAGCAATCCCAACGGCAGAAGGATGAAGGTTGTGGCTTCGAGTATTTGGAATCACTGTCTCGCGCGGCCAGCCGAAGGGTTAATAAATACTACCTACGTTCGAGGTGGGACAGGGAGTTCGCGCATCGACTCCCGGTATGTGTCAGGTTCTTCACGTCCAGGGCGTCCAAAAATAAAAAGTCAAAAGACCAATGTGGGGAGCAACGCCGATTCATCACATTGGACGCCGAATAAATAGCGTGAACAATAGATAGCCCAAGTCCAGAAGGATCCGTTTACGTGCATCGATCAACATCGTTTACTAGCCATGTGGTTCTCATGAGGGGTATCCATGTCCAGACATCCCTCACCAGGACGAGCGCGGTGGGGCGGCCAACGCAACGTAGGGAATCAGAGACAAGGATCAAAGGTGCCGAGTGCCTTCCCAGTCCCTTCCACCCTTGACAGGTATCAACCTTGCGTTGGATGGAGTTATATCCCCGATAAGCTTTGACCAAAGAACGGCGGCGGTTGGATACATCAACTTTGTCCCACCAGATACATCCCGTTCTTATCCTCGGTGTCCACTAACACGCGTAAAGTCGGCGGGGAGCGTTGTGAAACGGTGGACTCTATCCAAAGCTGCCACAGACGTAGGTTGATGTTCGCTCCATAGATCCGTTGATGTGCGCGGTCAGCGACAGATCGCAATTCACAATGTGCTGAAGGTCGTTTCAGAAGGGATGAGATTAGGGTTGGGGGTCAGACCTCAGAATCCCCTTACATCAGGTACGAGTACTGGCCAATCATAGCGCCGCAGAAAGGCGGACGGTAACCTAATTCCGAAATGGCAAAACAATGTCCTTTTGTTTTTGGTCGGGAAATTTGTGTCCAACTGACAGATCGCATCTCTCGCATGCACATACGAATCTTTGGCCTTCCCCCTTGCGTCCCTTAGGCTTGACACTAGGAATAATAGAACATCTTCTCACTTCCCCCAGCCTTGTTTCCCCCTTAAGATAATGGTCTATCTCACACGATGTCATTGTGGATAAGGATTATCGAGTCCGGTACACATCCCTTTGAACTTCGCTCAACTATAGCACAATTGCGATCGCATTCATTCCTGATTCCATTCTCCATTTGTTGTGTTGGTCTCGGGTACCATGGTGTTCTCAAGACATCCAGAATATCATGCGTTCACGATACGTTAATCTGGCGTCAAATTGAAGACGCGGTGCTGGGATGCGCCAAGCCCCACTACGGGAAACAAGTCGACATGGGCTCGGCAATCGCTCAAGGGGTCAGAGACTGAACCGAACTATCAAGAAAACAGAGCTAGTTGTGGAGGCTGCCCCCTGCGCCGTTGATGTGCAGGTTCCCGCTCAAACACATTGGATTGCAGGGCCACCGGGCACCATTGGTTTCACTGCCAATAATGGCTGCCATTGGATGAGATATCGTCCCTTGCCACCTTATTTGTTGCCAGCCTCTGCGATGAAATCATAATCGCTACCAAAACTGGCAAGGGCTTGCCCTGAGACACTTGTGTGTCTCCTTTCTACTCATATTCGCATCGGCTAGACCTCTAAGGGGCAGTGCTGGCAAGGAGGTTATCCCTTGCCACCAGGGCTAGTCTTCATGTCGCATGTCACTCGGAACTTCTTGCACAACTTCAGGCATATACTGCGTGACACCAGCGTGGTACATGTCCAAGGACGGGAATACATCTTTGTTTTCCTCGTTCTACCTCCAGATTGCTAGGCTATTCCCGACTCATGCTTTCCTCCACTGGGAATTTATCTTGCCCCTCACTCTCGTGACTTCCATTGTTAATATCAGTAACTACTAATAGGTATGTCTTTCCCATGACTTCCGCGAATTCCAAATACCGCTTTAGATAGCGCTGTCGTTGAGCCACGGTCCGCTAACATAGAAGGTGATCAGTACCGAAACGGTGTGATTGTGCGCGTGAGATGAAGACATTGTGACGCGTGACTTCGCCAGTCGACTGATGAGATACACCATACAGGATCTCATTCCTCGTATGTCCAATTATGTCACCTCTATAACGTGTAATAGTGATTGGTGTTAACCCTGAATGAGTCTATTGCCTGGGGAAGATCTGCGACCGACCCAGCTCAGGTGGCGTTATTAATATTAACAGATAGAAGCATAAATACAGGTCAATCTAGATCTCTTTTAGAGTTCATTCCCAAAATATCACATCTATTTATCGTTCCAACTCGGTGATATTGTGGAGGTAAGTGCTCAATGTATCACCTAAGGGAGATCAAGCCACAACTTCAACATCTTCGGATAGTTAGGTGTTCCCAGGCCGGTGGCAGGATCCCATCTGAACGTTCTGTGTCAGCCAGCTGGCGATAGAAACAAAGCCAAGAATGGAACTACTCACCCAGGCGCAGTTGCGAAACCGTCTGTTCCACATCCGGGATTAGTACCATTGGTGATATCATTCAGGACAGAGGGATTCTTGTAGAGGACAGGGTTGATAAACCCGACCGGACCCTTGCCGACGGCAAGGCGCTCGTCAATAATGCGGTTGATGATGGCAGCAAAGATTGGAGTGCCTAGGAGAACGGACGTCTGTTTAGTAGCTGCAGGAGCGAGGGGATAAGGTGAACATACTAGCACTGGTTCCACCCGACAAGCCGAACTCGCCGCCATTGAAGACGGCAATGTTGTCGCCATTCGCGGCTACATCCGGATAGCCTCGACCCAACCGATTGTAGAGGCCGCCATTCTTGCCGAGATTTTCGGCGCCTTCGTAGTACGGATAGGGAGGGTTATGGTCCTTGAAGTATCTGCATTCAGCGTCAGTGGAAGGCATGCTATCATGGTTCAGACGACGCACGTGGCTACAGCATCCGCTTGGTAGTCAGGGATGGGATAGATGTTGCTGAAGCCACCACCTGACGCATAACTGTACAAGCCAGCCGGATCATACACGGCGCTCTCGGGCTGGGAAACGGTGTATCCCGGGTAGACCTTGGTGGCGCCAACGTTGGTGATATAAGGGCAGCTGGACTCGTTAGCGCACGAAGTTCACGAGCGGCAGTGGATGTCTCTTTACCTGTTAGGGAATGCAGGACTAAAAACTGTGCCATTGTTCAGGCAGCCATTCACACTGCCCCCATCTCCTGGGGGTCCTGCAACCCCGTTATCACCAGAGGCAAAGAGCACCGAGACTCCTTGCAGACCCAGCTTCAGAAACCTTAAGGATGTTTAGCGGTGAATAGAACAGCTGCGCTGAAGAGTAGCAGTATGACCTACTCCGTGCATTGCCTCTGCTGATAATTTGCAGGAAGGTCATTCTCCTGTTCGCCGTACGAGACACTAATGACATTAGTAGGCTTGAACACGCCACACATGAGCTGTCCATCGTAGCCACCGGCATCAGGGTAAATTGGATCCAGCGATGGGTCATTGCCACATTCACCATACGCACAATAGGTGCAGTAAGACTATATATTCCGTCACATTAGCAGTGTGTTCGGGTAATATGGTGACTCAGGTTCAACTCACGCCATCAAGTGCGTCCAAGAAAGTATTGAGAAACCCGGTGGTATTACTAGCCCAGTTTGCATCATCGGTCTGGTACAATGTGATGCTTTGGGGATGCACGATTGGATACGCCAGCTCAAAGTCGAGATCAGACTCCCCACCGGCCTGCCGACGGGGACCGGAGCCTCGGCGCCGTCGATGAAGGCGGGAATTGGGTGTGTGCCTCCAGGAATATTTTTGGCAAATGTCTTGAAGAACAGGTCCAGGTCCTCCTGGGCATAGTAGTCCCCTTCCTCGAAGATGCCCAAAGAGTTATTTGGGTGAGGCGCCGCACGCGCTGAGGGAATCTTATACAATGCCCGAATGCAGTCTGGCGTGATTGAATGATCGCAGTTAGTGACATTGAGGCCTTTGAGATCGCCTTGGTGAATAGGGCGTCCTCCAAGCTTCGTCTTTCCGCTAGCCGAGCCCCTTCTCCGGATACTAGAGGCTTTTCCCGAGGATGGGTTCAGATTGACTCCAGGATGCACATAGTCGATGTGCTTTTGCACTGAATCTGGGACATGGTACCTGCAGAGTGTATCAGTTACGGATTGTTGAAAAGGGTTTATGAAGTGTGAATCTCACTGTTCGCAGGCAATTGCTTTCTTTCCAGTTTTCTTATTGTGGTACTCATAGTAGGTGGTGTCGAACAAGTCCTCGATCTCCTTGGACGTTGCGTGGAATACAAGCCAGCCGTGGTTCTTGGTTTGAGCGACGCGGCTGGCATTGATTCCCTTTTCGGTGAGCCAGTTCTGGACCTCGTTGACTGTTTCTGTCGACGGCGCGAACTTGGCAGCGACTTCATCTGCCGAGTAGAACTTGGCATAGTTGGGAGAGCTTGGGTTTGAGCTATAACCGGTGCATTAGAGAGGAGTATAGCATTGACAAGCGAGACCACAGCTATTCACTTACACATCCATGAGCAGGTCGTGAGCCTCTTCGAGGTTACTCTGGGCTAAGCCAATGCGGACCACATGTGTGTCAGATGGGCTCACACGCGCCCGCTTGACCCAGTTCGATGATGTTACTTCACGCCTCTCATGGACTACTGAGGTCGCAGCCGAGAGGGCGGACAGGCCGAGCAGGAGCCCGCTGCAAAAAGAAAGATGAGACAAGGGCCGCATTTTGTCGACCTGATATCCGATGCTTCTACACCTAGGGAAGCCTGAAGAATCATATCCGTGATACCACGACGGGTGCATACCTTTATAGATGGCTCAGTCTCTTGTGTATAGTAATGTTACCATTATAGCCCCCGGTATATCTTACGGCTAGTTTAGTGCGATTCCCCGACGGAGCTCCGCCTAGTGGAGTCGCTGCTTGCGAGGCTTGTCTCAGTGGCAGAGGAAGATCCATGCTCCCATAGAAAGCCGAAGAGGCTGACTCACTTTCCCCCTCACAGCCAGTGACATTTTCAGTGAATCCAACAGGACATAATAACTGACAGTGGGTTGAGTTGTAGTGTACGGTTGGAAATCTAAAATAGCTTCTTTGCACCGCCCCTGACGATCCAAACGGTTTAGGGGCGAGAAAGATTGCAGAGCGAGGTATGCGTCTGTATCTGACTAACGATTCCATGATCCATGAGACGGTTGACATCCGTAGAGACTTGTGCTCGCTGTAGGCTGTGGCACAACAACATGTGCAAGACGGGAAGTCATGAATTGGCTGCTCGACCTCCCAGGCCCGTGAATGGCGACATATCATGCAAGGCCCCACTTAAATAGCATAGCTTGGACACCTGGATCTCTATCTTCAACCATTAAGAGCTTGTTTTTCTAGGCATTCCGAGCTTAACCGGCACAAGCTCCGCATGATTTCAGCCGGATAGCGTAGCCCAGTTGTAATAACCTGGCTCCGGTCGGGCCGATCACCGTTTCTAAAATATTGTTTTCCCCTGAAAGACAGACCAGCAGGTCGTCTCATGACGGCTACGGACCTAAATGTCCCAGTGTATTATACATGCCGTATTACCCAGGGATATTGTCCGATTCTGTCGGGAGAACCGCGGAGGATTCAAACCGGACGATAAACACCCATCGTTTTATGCACTCCGGAGTCCGGATGCTTGGATATTCGATGACAACAGGTTAACAAAGCCTAACGAATAGCAGTCACTATACCATTGAGATCTAAAATGATGAATTATCTACCATTACACATAGAAATCTAAACAACCTTTTAATAGAGATATTCTAGGGTATGCTCTTCACAGATCGAACAACAGGGTCTTCCTGTTCCGGAGAAGATCGACAGATTAATGTCGTTGCCCCGAATTAATGTCTCTTGCTCGATGAATCGAACTGCTGCACTTTCTTGAACGCTCTGTATATCTCCCCTACACTTTGTTTCGCGTAATCTAGACGGAATCAGCCATATCCTCTTACTCAGCGGGCCTATACTCACAGGAGCCAATGACCATCCAGATGAAGTTGAAGAAAAAGTAATAAAACCAGAAGTAGTAACCCTCGGGCCGACAGAAGCTTCCTCCGTGGAAGTAATGGTCAAACAGACTAGTGGCATAGTAGAGGACGTCGCCATAGACCTGGCCAACGGAGAGCAGAAGCTGGAGGGCATGGCGTGCAGGATGCCGAACTGCGATGCAGTAGGCAATAAAGAAGGCCAGGGGTCCCCAGCAGAACTGTTTGGTTGAATTGTTAGCATATTCTGATTACCATTGGCACAGCCAGGTCCACCTACAGCAGTCACGGCCTCCATGGTGACAAGGAATGCGTCCGATGTCAGATAGCGCGAGTCCGACAGGGAGTACTCCTTCCATAGCTGGCCGAATAGCTCCTGTGAGCCTGCCAGGGTCTCATGATGGATCACAAAGTAGGCCTCGAAGAATAAATGAATGAACCCCGCTGCATGGATTGCTTTAGTTGGACTTCTTAATAAGAGGGCCATGGAACATACTCAAGCACATCCACACAAAGGCCAATTTATCCGCCCGACTTGCCTTCGGTCGCACCCGTCGTATAATGAGAAAAGCAATCCCCAAGACAGCAGCCCATAGGAAGCCAAATTGGGCGATTAAGGAAACTACCGAAGTCTCATTGGCGACAAAGTGTGGTAGATGTATAGTGGTGGGATAATACCGGTGAGGGACCATTGTGACGCGACTAATGCAACCTTGATATAGAGAGACTAAAGACGGGTTTCAGGCACACCAATCGGATCTCCCACGTATAATACTTAGTACACTTCTTTCCTATAGGTTGTCTGCTATTACTTCTTATATGTGTGGCTGCTGGACGGGAAACCTCCCCGGACTCCGCGGATCCCGAACATAATCTCTCGGATAGTTCGATTTCCATATCGGACCATCTTGGGGATTCTTGGCTCAAGATTAAGTGAGGAACACCCCAACACTAGCTTACTAGATATGATCAGTCTAGAGTGAATGTGTTCGCAACGGTAAAGATCGTCTGAGATAATTCTAGAACAATGAGGCCAATACATCAATAGCATATTCACTGAATCAAATCGGCCGGCTACATTCTGTGCCTCAAGCAACAGCCATGGAATATCGCTGTGTCAAGTGAAGAAAAAAACAAAATGAAGCATTCAAAATTAACAAAAAATATATAAAAAACATAGCATCCGCCTACATACCCGTCGACCTAAAATGACACAACATGGCCAGGTCTTGTTTGTTCGGCCGTATATCGCACACCGTCCACCTTGAGTCCCTGCTCATTCAACAGCGTGATTGTACCGCCCTCATCGGAAAGCGCACAGTTGTGCAGCTGGAAACTCTGGCGACGCCTTCGACGCAAGACGGCACCGTCGGGCAGGTATTCGTTTTCGCCCTTGTGATTCCGGACGCTCCAGCCATTAAGTATCACGGGCGCGTCCGCGCGGTTCGTGAGAGTGACGATCGAGTCGGATTTGGTTGTCGGGTCTGAACCATGATGACGGATCATGGCCTCACTAATGGTAACTGTTCGATCATGGACATCGCGCCTTTGTCGTTGCTCCCCCGGGATTTCAGGGTTTAAGAGCTCATTCCAGCTAAGATACCCACGGGGTGGAGTAGGTTGTCCTTCGGCATCGGTATGCACGGCCTGGGATGCGAACCCGATGAATACCCCCTTCCAGTGATCCCCAAAGTCCAGCAGGATACCCCCGTCCTGATAGATGCCGTTGTCACTTTTCCACTTCTTAGGGCTTCCTTGGTTCATGTGAACATTGTGGATCCCGTTGCCAGTGTTGAAATGCGATCCAAAAATGTAAATCACGCTGTCGTGGTCGACTGCGCCATCCAGCACCGGGATAAGTTCATCCAGTATATCATTATCTGGTCCAGGAATGTCATGGGGCAGAAGTCTGCCTGTTTCTCGATGGAACAGATTGCCTCTAATGTAGTCCAGGGCGAGGCCGTTGGGGGCTTGCTCCATAGTGCCTTCCAGCAGATGAAATCCTGGTTTCAATTCCCGGAGTCGTTCATTTTGAAAGTTCTCGAAGTTCTTCACCAACCAAAACACTAACCTCGAGTCACTTTTGTCTCCAGACTTGATGTTGATTGCTGCGCGGCCTTCCCCCTGACTATTGTCACTGGTAGTGAAGAAGAGCGAGAGATGGGGAGACACATGGTCATCTGCATCGGTTTCGTAAGTGAAGCGAACAGGCTTTGCCTTCCATACTCCGTAGCTCTCAACAGGCATTGTCAGAGTCGGTTGTTTTAGATAGGTTATTGAATGAGAAAGTTTGTTAGGTCATAGATCCAAGATACGTCGGGAAAGAGGAACCTTGTCGGAAAGGATGGGAAAGTCATATTTACTTATATCTCTCGATGTTAGTCTAGACCCATAAGGTGTCCGTTACCTGTGGAGATTTGGCCCGATGCTGATTGCCTCTGGATCACAAGCGTAGATGTGTGATCTAAATTCATGTCGACTGATTCATTATCGACACATCTTAGAGGTCACAGCAGGATGTTCTATCTTTGGTACCGATGGCCTGATCAAATGGACCTTCAATCCAGGCCTTGCAGACCTGCTTAGGTTCGATCGTCACGAAAGAGTGTTTGATCCGGAGTGTGTCCCGCAAATCGCGTGGACGGACAAGCAAAAGTAAGTTGGCCGTGTCCATGGAATCGAGTGAGAATCAGAACGCAGTTACTATGGTATACGACGCTGAGAAATGTATAGGGCGTATCTCAGCTCGTAAGGGAATATTTTCCCGTTTCCCCTAGCGGAATAACTCTGGCGAAGTTTAAGCGATTTTGGGGATATACCTTATAACAAATGATCGCTTCCATTCGAACTATATATCTGTTCATGACGTCCTTGACAGCCACCACTGGTTCTTTCGACGTGGACAAAGTACGCAGAATAGAACAACTTTGTTTGTTTAAGAAAATTATCATATGCTTCAACCAACAGGGTATCAGATAAGAAACCCTCACAGTCCATCGAAATTGTGCTCAAAAGAGGTCTCTGCCAGAGTTGAAGAGTGATCAAGTTCAATCCTGGCGATAACTGTGTTCATTCTGCCGGACAATCAATCGTAGAGGAAGGCGGAATGAAGAGGCGGTCAATGGAGTGGAGGTTTTTGGCGTCTCCACCGCCAAGCACCGAGAGCCGAGAATCTCGCCTCCGAACACCGAATTGCTGCATGCCGTAATGCGACGGACGCGATTCCTCGTTTTGACTCCAAGAATATCTCGGTGATTCTTCAGTATAGCACCGAATAGTGTCTATTACCTCTGGTCAAAAAGCCGAGCAAGTGAACCGACTAGCAGACGATGATGTATCAGAGCCGGGTCTGCAAGTCCTGCGAACCATGCAGGGCTCGTAAAGTACGGTGCATTGGTGAGCCTTCCATCTGGTTCTACGACACTTAGACCTAGAGCTGACGCGGTAGAAGTCTCCCCGGAGGACCCTTCCAGATGCACGCATTGTATTGTAGGCAGGATCCTAGCCGTTGTATACCGGCTAAGACATACTAACCGGATCACGTGGCTTCTAGAAGCGTGATGAGCATTGCGAGTTCAAACAAGCTAGGCGCAGGTTCAAGCCTCACATACAGAGAGCAACCAGTAGGTTCTGTAAAAGGTTGGGCGCGTGTTAGTCTGTCTAATGAATCATGGAGTAGGCGAGCTGTCGCTCCTAAGTCTGGGTCATGGTACCAGGGAACACAATGATGGACAGATTAAACCAGTCTTCGCACCATTATTTGTGGACCGGTTATTGGATAGCCAACCCATCCAAGGTGTGTCTCAAGATGAAATTCATGTGCTAAGGGTAAGCGATCTTCACTCAAGATATCAGCATCGTGACTGAGCCCTAGCGTGTAGGCGCAGGAAAATGAAGGCATGAGTCGAACAACAAGCTGTTTTTCTGAAGACAAATCTGACCGAAATTTATAGTGTGCAGCTCGAATCTCGCTTTCTTTTCAGATATGAAGATTCAATCGCTGACACAGAAACTGGGGAATTCTCGGTTGAAAGAACTGGTCGATGGTATTGAAGCAATCATTGAGGGCCGCGTTACCGCACAGGGAGCGACAACCATTTCCCCGGTTACGTTCAAAAAACCACTCAGCTCCACGCGTATCTCCGGGGGATTGACGCGGGTCTATGTAGATGGTTGTGATCCAGGAATTTGTTCGTGTCCAGGCACAGTCTAACATCTTGATAGTCTACTTCAAGCGTATCCATCCGATGTACCCGTTCCTGGACCAACAAAGCTTCGAGGAGACGGCATTCTCGACAAACCTCGCGCAGACGTTGGAAACAACCCCCGCATTCTCTGCTCTTTATCATGCAGTACTTGCATTGGGGTGTCAGTACCATGATGGTGGATCCTTTGACCCCGGAAAGGGTAAAGCATGGAAGTTCTTCCAAATGTCACTAGGCCTGATGGCCGACATCCTCGTGCCACGAGAATCGCTGCTTAACCTGCAAGCTTTGACTGCTATGTCCATCTTTGCTATGAACACCTGTTGCTTGCAGATTGACGAAATCCTAATCATGGAAGCGGCGCGGATGGCGCAGGCCCTCCGATACCACCGAGCAATCTGCAGTGGAGAGCAGCAAGTGTGGTGTCTACGCACATTCTGGGTCATCTACGGCATGGAAAAGCAGTTAGCATTTCAGAACAGGGAGAACTCAGTGAGCCTACGATTATCTAGAAAGGAACCAGCGCTAACGCTGTGATAGTTGATCGCAGATTATAACGTAGGGTGTCCAATCCCAGAAACACCTGAGGCCAGCTTTGAGGACTATAACTGGTTTTTGTCCAGCATCCGGTTTGCCAGGATAACGTCACAAGCATTTGAGCTTCTGTTCTCTATTAGTGCCACTCAGAATGTCACAGAAGCATACTACACAACGATTGATTATGTCCAGGAGCGCCTGGAGAAATGGCGACTGACCGTGCCTGCAGGATTTCGACCGGGAGAGTATTGTCCTCCACAGACCTTCATCGATCCTGTGTCTAAAATGGTCGCTCTCCAGACACACTACTCCTACTACAGCATGGCCATTGCTTTGGCGCGTCTCACTTTGCAGATCGGCTCTGACGACGGTGCGCGACAAGAACACAGCAGACGAAATCTGATGGCTTCTGCCCGACGTATAATTGAGCTGACCCAGTATATTGACAAGGCACCGCATACACCACTTTCGTGAGTGAATAACCTCTGTCACTCGATGGTCTTCTGCAAAATCTGACAATCGATACAGTATCCTTGCCATAATGCCGCTTGTAGCCCTCTTCATACTTTTCGACTTTGTCGTCCACAATCCCACACACTCGGAGACAAAGACCAATTTGGCAATGCTTGATATTGTTTCAGGGCACTTCGCTCTTCTCGAGCATGCATCCAATGGCTCATTGCCCTGTTCATTGGTCTCGGAGTTTGCCCATATAGCGCGACAGCACGTCAAAGATGTCAACGGTGGACGTGGCCCCGGAGATATGACGGAGGCCCCGCTTACCTCGACGCAAACGCCTTGCCGTGGCCATATCAGCACAGGAGCAGGCGCCGCGAGTAACACGCAGATGCCAGTAACAATGGAAGGGAACATTTTGGTAAGACCCGACCTTGCTCATCAATGTGATCTAATCTGGTGACCATTGGTCCCATATAGGATGATCATCGACCTAATGTTGAACTCGGCGGAGAGTTCGAACCGTACAAGCACACAGATGGCGTCAGTGAGCCAGCAGACCAACTATACTATGCTGCAATGGATGCCAGTTTCGACTTCGGGAGCGACCTCTGTTGCCCGGTTTTGATCTGCGGACGCTGTTCGGGTCGGTTATCTCGACCGGTTTTGATTCGCCTGAAGATGCCTCCGGTTTTGGTGGGATCATGCCGACACCTCCAACATAATATCGGTGACGTGACAGATGTCCCAAGAATACGTCTCATCACGAAGCTCCGCTGCGACATGGCGTAGAATTGCCTATTGCAATGGATTTCGAAATATTTGATGTGTATTAGTTGACCTAGCCCATTCCGAGTTGTCAAGATATAATGGATATTTTAGGGGTAGAAAGTGTAAGGCAGACATCATAACTGTGGATTCGTGTAGATTTTAAAAATGCCGTTTCGACTGTTCCATGCTGTTGCCTCAGGTGTCCACTTTCTTTTCGGGGTTCGGCAATGGCGAAACCTACAAATCCTCACCGTCTCTGACCCCGCCTTCCTGTTATGGTATTACACAGGCAGAAACCCGCCAGTCAGCATGCATTCTTAATGCCTTAGGCGTCAACTTCCCGCTCCTGCGCCACAATCCGCCTTGAGCGTCGAATATCAACCACCAACATTGGCTGTGATGATGTGTCTGGATGTGTTAGGTACCGATCTACGGTCTTCTGGCCCCACCTTTTAAGATCACAGCCAGTCATTTAATGCCTATAATTCCCAAAGGAAGTAATCCTGGAGATTCTGACTTGGCTTTTCATGGTCAAAAACCCTTCGGAGGTCGGGGGTAAGCGTCTCCTTTAATACGTACGAGAATGTGAGTTGTGCCAAACAAAGGCCCCCACGGGGAGCTTATCTCAGCACGTAAGCCATCGTCGATATATAATTCTGGTGCCTCTCTTGCTTCCAGGCAACCCAGGTCCAAAAGTGCGACCCAAATTTACAGAAACCGGGAGACTCACCATGGCCGTTCCCCTGGGTTTTGTTACATATCTCTTCCTATTACTTGCGGGCTTCTATCTTGCCCGCAAGATAGCTAGGCTCGTCCAAGGTGTGTGCAGCCCCGCTGACCATGTAAGAGTTAAGGCCCCGCTAATGCCAGCACTGCCATAGTCCGACGATTCAAACAACTACACGGTTGCTTGCCCCCACCAAGAGAATATCATAAAGATCCGGTGCTGGGTCTGGATGAAGTGCGGTCGATGCTTCGAGTATTTCGGGAAGACCGCTTTCTGGAATGGGCGTTAGAGAAATATCGACGTTATGGAAACACCTTCGCGACCTCAGTTCTGGGTGACGATAATATATGCACCGTTGAACCGGAAAACATCAAAACCATCCTGGCGGTGAAGTTCAAACAGTTTGACCTGGGAGAGAAAAGACGGAGAACGTTCCATCCGCTATTGGGCGATGGTATTTTCGCATCCGATGGGCCGCAGTGGGAACATTCGCGGACTCTGCTGAGGCCGAGTTTCACTCGGACGCAGATCGCGGCGACCGATCTATATGAGAGGCACATTCAGAGGCTGATCAGCCAGATTCCGCGAGATGGCTCAACGGTGGACCTTCAGGACCTCTTTTTCAAGCTGGTATGGAAGAATACCCGTTGTAAAATGACCCGGTGCCATACCTAACAGTACATCCTCTAGACACTTGATACAGCGACCGAGTTTCTGTTCGGAGAGTCTGTTGAGTCTTTGCGCCCTGGATCTTCCGCCGAATCTACTAGTTTTGCCCACCACTTTAACGTTGCCCAGGATGGAATAGCCTTCAGCGTGGCCGTCGCGCCATTCGACCGACTGATTTTCAGACCCAAGCTCAGGGAGTCTGTCAGAGAGGCAAGAGGATATGTCGGGAACTTCGTGAAAAAGGCTATCGAATACCGACGCTCGCTTGATGCCGAGAAACATGCGGGCGATGTATCAAACTCACAGTCGCGATATGTATTTCTCGAGGAGCTCGCCAAGGAAACAGATAATCCAACCGACATCACCGACCAGGTTTTGAACATCCTCCTCGCAGGAAGAGACACGACCGCCAGTCTGCTAAGCATGGTATTCTATCATCTCGCACGGCGTCCAGATATCTGGGGAACCCTGCGGAGCGAGGTTGCGACACTCGACGGGAAATACCCATCGTTTGAGGAGCTAAAACAGTTGAAATACCTCTCTTGGATTATTAATGAGAGTATGTAATCCTATGCAGTACCCCCAGACCCTGGCAATACTGACTACCCGCAGCTTTACGCCTGTACCCCGTGGTCCCATCCAACAGCCGCACAGCAAACGAGGACACCTTCCTCCCCGTCGGCGGCGGACCAGACGGCAAATCACCCGTGTTTGTCGCTAAAGGCCAAAGAGTTGCGTACGATGTGTACGTGATGCATCGACGCCATGATATATTCGGCCCCGACGCGGAAGAGTTCCGACCGGAACGATGGGAGACCATACGACCCGGCTGGGCTTTTGTCCCTTTTAATGGAGGCCCTCGCATTTGCCTCGGACAGCAGTTCGCCTTGACCGAGGCGTCTTATACGATCGTAAGAATTGTGCAGTCGTTCAAGGAGATCACCAATCGGGACCCGGAGCCTTGGCAGGAACGACTCGCACTTACGTTGGCGAGTAGGCATGGGACGAAGGTGGCGATGGTGCCTGTCTAGATTATTGTCTGTTCTTTACTTTAACCGTAGCTAATACTTCAAAAAGGTTGACTGGGTAGTTAATCAATCAATCAAGATTCTATTTCGGGTTCAAGTCTAATTTTTGAAATTTAGCAATACTGATACTTCGAAGACCAAATGAATGCTGTAACAAACTATAGAAGGAACATATAGAGGGTTGTAACCTACTCGATGCGAGGATCCCGACTCTCAGATCGCTTGGTGAGACTACCTGACCTGGCTGACGAGAATCAAGGATACGAGAACTAATAATGATATAAAATGGAGGAAATAACAGGGAGATCAGAACAAAATATCAGGATTCCATTAGCCTTTCACTGTCCACATTAAAAAGCACCCGTTAGCTCCGTTCAACAGCCGTCCAGATTAACGGATAGGAAACGATTGAGAAGGCTCGATCTAATATGGGAAAGTGGGCTAGGAGATAAAAACATACGCAATATAACATATAGATTATAAGCTATAAATGCGAAATATGCCGGTGAAATGTTTCTCACTGCAGACGGTCTACAAAGTTGATAACTTTCCCCGCTGTAGAGCTCCGCTCAAACCCATCAAGATCCTTCACAAATACAATGCGGAATACATGTTCAGTCTCAGGTAAAACAAAGAAGAACGTGCGTAAGCGCTTGACCAACTGCTCTTCTAATAGAACATCTGCTCGGGATGGAGCCCGTAACAAGCGGACTTCCAGAGTTGCCTGTGGCGAGGAGTCGAGCTGGCCAAGTATCACCTGCCACTGCAGGATACCACATTCCTCCGCCTGCAGCAGGGCTTTCAGTTTTTCAAACTCGAAGTAGGCTCCATCCCACTTGAAGCTGAAGCGACGGTCACGGCCTTGCATCCGGAGCACACGCAGGTACTGCCGCTCACTCTCGGGGACTACGGCGCTGGCCATCTCGGGAAGTGGATGGAGGGATCCCAGGTCTCCAGTGATATAGCGAACGAGTGGATTGCGCAGACGCCGCAGGGAGGTCTGCACTATAATCCCCATTTCTCCTAACGGCAGGGGCTCAACATCAGAGGGAGAGTTTCCCTCATCTAAAGCCGCAGGAGAGAGAATTTCTATAACCATATCGCGGGTATCAAAGACAAAGTCCATCGTGCTGCCAGTGAGGTTCTTCTCGCCCACTAGATCTGGACTACTCAAGGCCCACGGGCCGGCCTCTGCACTCCCCATGACCGAACAAATCTTTACGTCCCCCAAAGTCGCACGAATGAATGATCGTTGCGCTCCCGTCAGCGGCTCGGATGAGTAAATAATCTTGTTGACCTGGATCTGACTTTGTCTTTCCACGGGTAGTGTGGAGATATAGCAGACCAATTGGACGATCTGACTGGCATCGCCAGTCAAGACGTTGACATGATAGTGAGCCAGAGCTTGAATGACCTCTTCAAGCTGCATATAATTCCCCGCGCTGAGCACAGTGGCCCCGGCGTTCTCCATGATCTCCGTCGTTAAGTCCAAGGACCTGTGTTTGTGGTTTAGATATATGGTTACTTTGGACATGATGCACTTCTTCACACCTGTAAAAGCTCCCTGACATGTGCACAGACAGTACCCAGTCTTTACGGCTGATCACTCTGCAATTCTGGAGAAGCTTCCCCATCTGAGCTCTTTGTTGCCGATTCTCATGGACATCGACGGCAAACATCATTGGTACACCACCGGACCCGCCACCGGTGATGCTCATGTATGAGCTCTCACGGTACACATTTTCCGGACTGGCATCATGTGTGAGCCGCTCCACTGTCTTGTAGCTGGAAGGTATTAGCTTCGAGCCGGTGTCCACCTGTCAGATCATCTTACATGTTGTTTTTATGAAGCAACGGTTGGGAGCGAAGGTCAACTTTCGTCTGGTGGTTATTTACCCAGTCACGGACCTGCTGTACTGCCTTCGCATCCGGCGGATATTGAATGTCAGGATTGTAGAAGGGATGCCGCTTAGCGACGGCAAGCACCTCTGACAACGAGAAGCTGTTCGTGGCCATATTGATATATTGATTGGAAGCTAAGCTGTAATAAGAAAAAATAAATTTGTTGCATGCGCTACGACACTTCGGGAGGTTGGTTAGACACTCCCCCGTCAGGCGCCTGCAGGTTGCTCATATACGTACACTCCACTCGGCTGGATGGTCTAATAGGTGGATTAATATTTAGCCTGTCACAAGGGGGTGCCAGTACACTGAGATCTGGGAAGTGACATGGCCTTTTTCCTTTTCCCTGATCCATCAGATTCGGAGAAGACTAGCTTCCCTCCACGGCTCAGCCTCAGGCCACTAGAGGCTAGCTGCATAAGTGATCACCGCAAGGGGTCGATTTGTCCGCGAATTTAGTCATGGCGTTCCTAATTGTTGGCATTCAACTGTATTTTTGTCCTTCTTCTCGTTGTGTTTGTTTTGGTATGAGGTGAGGGGACCATACCCTAATTCACCACAAATAGTCCAACGCACGTGATGCAGACAGCACGACGTATGGATGGAATTCTTTGCTACGAGGAAGATACAGGACCTATTTGATGAAGATATTGGGCCAGCTAGTATCTAAATCGCGGTACGGAACATCCAAAGGCCATCCAGACTCATCTTGCCTACTCTGAATAGGAAGCGTCGGCATCCCTTTAGATAGGTCGTTGACAAGCTCGTCCACAAACATACGAGCAAGTAGTAACTGTCAAGAGAGCAGCGGTGAAATACAACTTGGATGTGAACTTCCTCGAGGGCCCGGAGTCATTCATCAGAGCTGTTTAGCAGTTTTTGCTGTGGCTGGAGCGGGGGTGAAGAGTACAGACCAGCACTTCTCAAGCAGGACGTAGGGAGAGAGGATCATCGAGAAAGTGGAGAGCACACATATTCTCTCCAAGGACCTGCGATCGAATTGTGAAGGAAGTTGTCAAGGATGGCGAAGTCAAGGTTAGTGATTGGTTGATATATAGGGGGATTGAATGTGGGTCTTTTAACTTTTACTTTTACTTTTATTTCCAAACTCCATATGGCAGAGAGCATGTCGATGCTAGTGGCGTCTTCAGCCGAGATAATGTCGGCATCATCCCGGTTTAATGAATTTCCGAATAGCTACCGTGTAATTCACCGAGATCTACGGTTTCTGACCTACTAAGACTAATATGCAGTCTTGTAAGAAAGCAGCTGCCTAGATCTGACGAGTCTATACTTTGTAATCATCGGTTGCCTGGCATGGTCAGCAACCCGCGGGTATCAAAAAGAGCCGGTGTGGGTTTGTTGACCCACTTAGCACCATCTTGACGCAGCTTTCAGCCGTACCACAACCAGGAGAAGCTGAAGTCCGACTCATCCGGGCATGGAATTGCACAGCCAGCAGCTTTGCAGTAGGGGAGACATAGCGCCATGTAGCTCTCCACCAATGATACACCGTGGGAAAAGATCGTCGAGACACTCAAAGACTTGCCCAAGACGGACCAAGGGATCAACGCCGGGACGAACAGGATCTGCGGTCTCGCACAGATGTTCCTGCGGCAGTGGATGTTTAGGCAGGCTGGACGCTGGATCTTTCGCGCGGGATCTTGTGGTTTGTTTTCCTACTCTCGCTTCTTTCTCTTGGCCGCGAGCCAAGACTCGCTCTCGAAGATGTCACGATGTGGCCCTTGCTTCCTCGGAGAAAGTGAATGCCTGACGTTCATTGTGAAAGTGGACCATAAGGTTCATCCTGCCAGGGAACCTGACCGATCTTTTCCCCTACTCGATCTATGGGTTCGTGGAAATACCCGAACTCACTTCAGCTTCCATGAACCCCCACTGTCGATCATTGTCTCGGCATATTGGTCATTGGAATTACTCTTGCTTATCCTATCTCATGTAGATACAACCTCATTCCACGAGTGTCCCCGACTAAACATGTATTTCCCAATTAAAATCTGCAGTAATAAGAAAATTTGATCCGGACTGATGGTGCGATTATTTTTCATGGTAGAGGCTGAACCCGTGCATTAAGCACACCACCAAGACGACAATTGAAATAAATAATAAATAAATAAATAAAGACCAAGTTCGAAGAGGAGGAAAAGAGAGCTGTTAAGAGACTCATAGCATGTTCTTGGTTCAGGAGACAACACTATTAGCAAACGGAATGGCATTCCATCTCACCCGACGTAAATGCCTCGCTGGATCCTTGATGCTGTTCCGCGCATGCAGCCACCGATAATTATCGAGGAGAATGATTGATCTTGCAGGGAGGTCAACTGGAGTAAGGTGCAACGTGGATTGCGCCAGTGCCTCCAGGTCCTGCAACGCCTCTCTCAGCTCCTTCAGCGCCGCAGCCGCCCTGGCGCTCAAAGGCATCACAATCTCGTCACGGTATCGCATCATGAGGGAATGACCCTGATCTTGTGTGTCAAGGGCAAATAGGCTACCCACGATATGACGTTGATCGGGGTTCTTGATAAATTCCGGTGGGATGGTGATCTGGTATTCCGGTTCATGGAGAGCTGCTTTGGCGGCCGAGGAGAGAAATTGGCTCAGTCGATCAATTTTCATGACGGAGAGAGTGCCCCCACCGTAGCGATCGGGCTGGAGAACTTGAAGCGCAAAGAACCGCGGTGGGGCGTGCTCGTAGCTGCAGTCTGTGTGCCAGGGAAATTCCTGCATTGTTTCCGATCGAGCCTGGTGATTCTCGGTTTGAAAGGTGGTCTCGCTGGGGCGGACGTCCCAGAACCAGCCACGGGATGCGCTGTGGGTGATGGGGAGGCCATGGCCATGGTTTTTTGACAGACTGACAATAAGGCTTTCCAAGTACTGGCTGTTGTCGTCAGGAAAGCTCAGGCTGATTTTGAGGATCCCTTCATGCTTGAGGTGGTTATGTACATGGCGAACATGGTGCAGGTGTTGAGAGTCAATGAGATCTTGTGCCACTAGATGAGGTACTCTGGGCACAGCGTCTGTAGCGAATTGGCGAGTCGGTCTTTGTATCCCTGGCAGATATTGCACAGGGCTTTTGCTTTTGTTGAGAAATCGAGCATATCTGCTCGTTGATCGAGCGGCGCGGAAATGACGTCCTATATGTTGCATGAGGGGCAACTGGATTCTTGCAGTGAACAGCACAGTAATCCGGCTTGGGAGAGGCGAGCCTCATAATCTAGCCGGCCGTCTTTGCACGAGGAATGGCACTAGATCGCAAAGGCAGGGTGCAGGGTAGAATGGGGCGAATTGAGTCTCCTGACGCAGGACGTGTAGGTCACAGTGTAGGTCTTGCAGGCGAGAAATCAGATTAAAGTTACGTAAATAAAGCTAAGACAAGGGATACGCGATGTGACTGTCGAAATGATCTCTTGGATACAACAATTACCTTACTGAAGACCAGCTAGCTGGCTGTAGCTGAAGTATTACGCCGAAGCTCCACTACCCAGTCGTACAGCTGTGTTGCCTCGCCCTCGAGGTCACCATACGATAGCCTCATTCGGCATGGTACATGGTGCTAGCACGATCGATGAAAAGTCTATATTTAAGTGGAACCCCACATGCAGATGACGTGAAAGCTGAAAGCTCTGTGTAATGTGAGTTGTGATTGAGACGGGCCAAATGAAAGATTCCAGCACGCACGGTCAGCTGTCCATGATTCACGCCGAGTGGAATAGTATGTCTCGATTATACGCTTTCATAGATAGTAGATTATTATAGTCAACACATATAGTACACGTAGATCTTCAGTTATGTGGTTGGAGAGCGATCCCATTGCATTGTTATGCCATCGACTAATATCATCGCGGCATTTGAACGTCTTGTAAGAATGGAGCCTATACCTTCCTTCTTCCACCGTTTAGGCAATCACTAGATGCAGGAATAACCAAGCATATCCCTTAGCTCTCTGAGTACTCATCCAATACTGAGCAAATCCACGCGCCTCCATGACTGACAGCACAGATCCTGTCAGGACTACTTCTCCACGTTCCCAGCCCTAGAAGCTGGCCATTTGTTGTGTGATAGGTCCCGATAAGTGGATAATGACCTCTGTCACCCGATGACTTGAGGATGACTTCATACAGTCGCGGCCAGATGCGACGCTGCACGACATACATAGTGTTTCCTGAAACAAAGTGAGGGTTGCGGAGACGCTCAAGAGTCGATAGCCACTCGTCGGCTCCGACTTCATCTCCAAATAGAATCCCCGCCCCCTTACCTCCGCGAATCGGCTTGAGCAAGTATTCCTTTCTTAAATCCGGGGATTTTGCCGAAGTCTGAATGAGTTCATTCAGTTCTGGGCTTCCAGGGATAAAAGAATCTGCGATGCCTGCATCAAGGGCTTCTCCCTGGGCCGGTGTTAATACCTCCCGTGCTACCAGAGACGGAATCTCTTGCTTGATAATACCAAGCATTCGTTTATCATGAACAAGGAGAATAGTACGCATGTCATTAAAGCAGCGTAGGCTAACTTCATGCAGTATCTCAGGTGAGAGACCGAATAATTCGTGCTGGTGAAGCTCTAGACCAACCTGATGTATCTCTTCCACAACCTCACCATTACTGGTGAGAAGGAGAGGAGACTCATTAATAAGCCTAGTATGGCCTTGGTCTCTTACCAAGCAACATAGCCTACCCCTATCTGGGCTTTTGGGATCAGGAATTAACCTAAGATCTGCTGGTGTGATCAGCCGTGGCCTGATTCCAATGTGGCGGTGCACGAAGTCGATAAACATGTGGATATCTATCCCCGGCTCTTCGCCCTTAAGCAGGTGCAATGGGCGGCTTGGATTGAAAAGACTGAGCAGGCCGTTCAAGATCTATTGTATATGTAGTAAAGGATTAGCCTGATGAATATCGCAATACAGTGGTAGCGCGTGATACAGGAAAGTTCTACCTTTGAAGAATCAGTAGCATGGATGAGACCATTTCTTCCTGCACCGAGATCGCTCAGCCCTTCTTGTCCGTATGCCAGGTGCATAAACCCGTTGAAAGAAAACCGTGCATTAATTTCTGTGAGACGGTAGGTTTCCGTTGAAGGTCCATCGCTGTAGCTCCCGACCAGAAAGTCCGGTCTCCAAGAGCCCAACCTAGCCTCGTAAGGAACCCCGTTGTGTGAATTCTGACTCTCCAGCCACTATAATACAAAGTTAGATCGGGCAAATAGGGCATCTCCCTGAAGTTAATCAGCGTACCCGCAGGAGGTCTTCTTCATTTTTCATTAGAGGCATGCGCTCTGGGAAGCGAGCATCCAGGTCCGTCCACCATCGTTTTACAATATCCACGATGGCGGTGGTTAAAGCGTTGTGCAGTTGTTCGAGCTGTCGTTGATGCTCGTTTGTGATTAGGATGGGACGGGGACATAAAGCCGCGTTGGACCCATGATACCACAGATGTTCGGGGCAGAGGCCCAGTATACTGGACTGCAGGATTTCATGTTCATGGGTGTACAATGTTTTGTTTCCTTGATACGAAGCCACAGGCTCATACCTCTTAGAGCCGATCCCTAGATGGACTTGTTGGAGCTGGCCGGTAGTAGGGAACTTCATTAGGGCGTAATATATGTGGGTTATGTGGGTAAACCTGGGTCAGAGTAGGGGAACGATGGTCTAGGTTATTTAAGTCCGAGACATAGGAGGCTAGCTTCTAATGTGGATAGTACATTCAAGTCAAAACAAGTTCCAGGCACATTTGCCCAGTGTCCGATTGACCCACTCAGAGTGAGGTGAGGAGGCAGCCTTTGGAGCAATTGTAGAGCGTGGCAATACGAGGAAGCGGAGAGCCACTTTGAATATGGCCTAGAACACTAGGGCTTTAGTGTGTGCATATAAAGTACGGTGTCTATTTTAAACATCGTGATGTGACCTATTCTTTAAAGTAAACTACACCCAAGCTGTGAATTTTCCTAAGCTTATGAATTATTAGCAAGTCCACTGATCTTCTGGAAAACAGGTCAGTCAACGAAACCCAACTAGGACAATAATCAACCCGAGCTGAAGGTAGGTTCGCTGATCGCCATCATTAGCTCCCTAGCATGTTTTCAGCTCCGACCCGGGACAAGTCGCGCGCGCCACGTAGCCTTTATGCACGGTGACTGCGGCGGCTAACAACGCTGATCTGAGAGGTCCGAAAGAGAACTAATGTTCTCAGCTACGAAGATGAACTTGCCGCTAAGCCGAGGATCCACTCTGCATACCTATCCTTGCTTCGGGGCCGAGGTTCAGTCCTTGTGGAAGGAAAGCAATAAGAAAACAACATGGCGAAAACGCTGGGCAGGGAGCGGTGGTGCATCTGCTCAGCACGGGAAACTGTTTGCTATTTAATTGCCTCACTGCTATCGCTTTAGCTCGAAGAGTGCTGTGCCAAGATTTTGGTCCACTGTACTCAGTGACCTGTTTTCATCGCACGTTTTCTAGTTGGCTGCAGGGCCACAGCGAATAGCCCTGCTGCTTTCACCAAAGTCTGAATAGTCTCCAAGTATGGTTGTTCTAGAATCGAGTTAAAATAGATGTCTTGAGAAGCACTCTATGCGTGGTAGTAGTCTCGTCTCCTGTGAACATATCGCTTCATTCCCCCTGGTTGATGAAATCTGGGGCTCAGTATATGGTGCGGATATGATAAGGAGGGCTTTATGTGGTGAGGGCAATGTGCCTTGAAGGACACAAGGATATGCGCTTTTGTCTTTATGTACTACCCTCTCCAATTTGCAATAAAACCGTAATTAGAATCGGAAAGATGTTGCTATGTAAGCTTGCATGTGCTAAGTCTGTAAGTATTACTAGCTCGTCCAGAATTGCACCCACCTTGTCTCTATACAACGCTCAATGAGGCCGGGTTCTTGCTACAAGGCCTTTCAGTGGGGAAATTTGAATTTGAAAGAAAGAAAAGTTGGAAAGGCCAGGCTCATAATCCACACACAGGGTTGAAAGAATGGAGCAAATGCAGTATACCCTTGTTTCCTGCAGGTAGTATTCCTATCAAAGTCAGAACCCGCTTATTTGTATACTAGAAACCAAGCAGTCTACTCTAAAGGGTTAACAATATCCTGCAAGCCACGTGGTACTGGGCTACAACATCTCCGGCACTGTAATAGGGTCGTGATAGAAGCAAATCGGTCGCGGCCCAACCCGTAGATTTTCAACACATGGTTTGTGCGACGACTGAAATTCCATGGTGGTTAAAACACCCTTTTGATTCCCATGGAACACGGTAAGTTCATATTCGACGAGACCGTGGAGGGTCGATTGTGAAGAAGTCCATCCGCGATAGCTTGAGCGTGGTCAGCATCGTATGAATGCAGCCAGCTGTGACAGCGCACAGAGACGACTGAAGATCTCTACCCCATGAAGCGTCCCTGCCCTGTTATCTATCCCCGTGAGAGTCCTGTACTGTCACGAATCATGTTTTCAATTTTCAGCCTTATAGTATAGTAAAATAAAACTCTAGCAAGATAGTGATGCTTTAAACAGTGAACCGTGGAGGTGGGTATCCTTATGTATGCGAAGAGAAAAGGAATCTACTTTCTCATGTCAGGGCATTATGTTCAGTAGGTAACAAGCAAGCCAGATTCGAGTATTGGATTATTCCGTCGTTGGAAGCAGAGATAGGGAAGCTGCTCTGAGTAGATACACATATTGAGAATGTGTCATTCCAAGGCACACGGTAAAGCTGCATCTGAGGTTTGGCCGAAGACCTTCTCTTGATATACCAGAGTTCACTCGGTGCGTATGACTACAGAGGTGTGGACTCCTAGAGTTCCGTCGAGTCCAATCGTTCTACTAGTACAGACAATGTTGCCAGAGATCAATGTACCCTTCAAACCCTCATGAACCACCAAGCACTGAAGACCCCAACTACTGTAAAGGCGACTGCCCAACGCGCCAGCCCTCTCTTGATGTGATACTCGGCCACGCGATCGATCGCCTTGGAATCATTGATCCGAGGAAAAGGAATATCCTTCGGGACCTCCTTTCCCAATGCCTCACACAACGGACCCCAGCCATCCTTCACACTGAAGAAAACCAGCCGATCTGCAGGAACGACATCTTTCAACCACTCGAGATGGCGCTCGTAGATGTACGCATTATCCCTTGAGCCATCATAGATCTTATCCCACTGCGCCTGTAGCAGGGAGATATAAGTCACGAAATGTCGCATCCCTAATCGATCGACGTTAGTATTCCTTTCTCTGCCCTCTTTTCCTTTTTTGTCTTCTTGTGGCCGTGACCGACTGGCCACATAGAATGTTGGTATATTACGTTACCTGGGAGTGGGAGCAGCACCGCCCCTAGAAACCAAAGTTTAGCCAGCGAGCTGATCTGCTGCATGCTCTTAACCCAAGCATCCGGGTCGCGGACCGTGACGATGATCTTGCTGTCGGGGTAGAGGGCGAGGAGTTCAGGCACCAATTGCGAGGCGGGCGCATCAGTGATAGCTGCGTATCCAGTAGTCCGTCGTTGGAGGAGGGATAGGGTAGTGGCACGGTCGCCAGCAAGCCAAGTCCGGAGAATTTGAATCCAGGATTTGATCTCAACGGGACGGCCCATAGTGTTTTGCGTGCCGCCGTGATAGATGGGTCCGTCCAGGAGGATCCCCAACGCTGCACTGAACGATGCGGTCCCTGTACGCGAGAGACCCGCTCCAATTACTTGGAGCTGGGTGCCCGGTTTGGGGACGGATGCTTGCTGGCCCATTGTTGTAGCTAAAGTATAGGTGGAGGTGGATGCGATGAACTATCCCTAGACGGCAATGGTGAATGGCTTTGTAGGAGGGATGAAGCAACGAAACAATGAATGGGTTCATGCGGGAATTAAATATTGGTCTACAATCGTCGTACCCACAGACCGATAAAGGTGTTTAGTACGGGTACTACTACTAGTGTTGAGTAGTGCTGACATGAGGCCATTAACGCGTGTTATAGAGCAGGCATACATTTGTATGTAAGACACCGGTAACAATGGTAATATATCAACCGTCCAACTAGCATGCTCGAGCGAGTTGGGCCGGGGCAAGGTAGAGGGAAACGGTGCACTCGCTAAGCTATTCGCTAAGCCATATGTAGCTGCCAGAGTGGAGACCTCTGCAATTGCCTGTAATTTGGGCAGCATGGCTGCCCCAGTATCAACGGTTGAAGTGCGGCCTCCTTCCCTTGGTGGATATCGAACACAATTGTAAGAGCTTGGAATCCTAGCGATGATACTGCGGAGCCCCAATGACGCCAGAGTAAGTACAAGCCGTCACTGACTTTGTCAATACAGTGGTCTTGGACAACTTCCCCTTGATTTCTCGTTCCTGGAAGTTCAAAGCTTCGAGCTCAATGGCCATGTGAATTCTCTCTCCGACTTCCAAGCTCCATGGACAAGACGCAATGCGCTCCAATCCAAAAGGCGCATAGCGGGTGACCTCCGCAGAATTTCTTAGTAGTCTACGTCCGCATCCTGCACCTTAAGCAATTGGACCAATATCTCCAGAACATCGGGGATGCCATAGCTGGCCATGACATGAAGGCCGGTCTCGCTCAAAATACTGTGAAACACCATTTTAGGACCAAAATCAGGGCTTCTGTGAACGGCATCACTGAATATTTGGGGGGTAGGGGGACGCACGACTCGTGAGACTGACAACGTCTATATTTATAATGCGACAAGGAAAGAAAGAGCTAGAAAGAGGTCGACAATAGTAAAATGTATGAAGGAAAGGAGCAATAAGTCCTAGGAGAGTGTTGACTTGGTCCGAAAGCTGGCATGTATTATACTCTAACATTGTTCCATGCGTCATGTAACGGGGAGGATTGTCAATATTGACTACTATTAACCTCAATCTGTTTAAATCCTTGCTGGGGCTGGTATTTGTGGAAACCTCCCAGTCCACGCCCCTGTATAGCGTTGCTATATAAATACCCAGCAGAGCGGTTATTGTAGTCCTCCCACTCCTGATCTCCTCACCCTTCTTAAAATTTTTCGTTATCATTTCCTCAGACATACTCTGTCCGGTCAGTGGTCTTGTTGGCCTCTCTAGCACTATGTCGGAGTCCGACAAGCAGCTGCCGTCAAGATCACCAGTCAGCCCGATGAAAAGGCAAGGGCAGAAGCCCCGTACCCTAGGGGTCTGCGGCTAGTTGTCATCATGTTCTCCCTTTCTTTGGGAACGTTTTTGATTGCATTGGAGAGGACCGTCAACTCAGTGCCTAGTTCTCGAACTTCTACCGACTCTCACGCACTAGATGAGGTTGGTACGGTGCTGGCTACGGCATGACCTATGCGCTTTCAGTCCGGTGCTTTCCAGTTGCCATAAACCGCCCGCTATTTATGGCCATCATTGATAGTTTGTTTGGCTTGGTGTCGCCTAATTTGGCAAATACCTATCTCAAACCCCACCCTGCAGATTGTAACTTCCGTTCCCCGACAATAATCAGTGCAGGAATTAGCGCATAGCAACCCATGGAGACAATATCTTTATAGCCCCAATGTCCCCGCAGGCTAGCGATTCCTGCGAGATGAGCACATCTCCTTCGAACGGCGTTTCCTGACAGCCGATTAGCAGCTGGCAATCAATAGATGTATGCACTAGGTTACGTACAAGGTATACACTCCTACTTCGTCCCAGAATGGACAGGATCACCATTATTCGTTTGGCTGACTCGCCAATTTTAGATATAGTATTATTTCTGGACGAAGTAGCATGCATCACGAGCAACGCCTTAGTTTCAGGCGGCGCTGGGAGATCAGCGAATATGCAAGTTCTTTTTCAATAGCCCCGAGGCAGCACCATATATGCGTCGCGATTTGCTAGCGAGCCGTTGTCTAAATGACCGCAGCTGGTTGCACAAACAGCGCAAATCTTTATATTATTGGGTTGTTTCCAGAACCCCAAGTCGAACCACTCCCATCTACTAAAATCCTCCGAAAGTCGTTGCCACGGAAGACGGGCTTCAAAGTATTATGGTCTAAAGAATTGGGAGTTCCACTATACACAGCTTTGGTGGCAACAAAGTGTATGGTAGTATGTATGTTTCCCGATAACGGGGCTATTTGTGGATAGAGAAGATCATTTCCCCAAAAATAAGAAACCACTAAGGGGTTAATTGCAGATTACACTTAGGGACGGCCAAAGTCTTTGAGCTTGAGATTAGGTCACATAATACATAGTCTCTGGAATAGGAAATCTCAAGTCCAGACCGTAAGAATTTGAAATTTAAAGCCTTCGGGATCCGCGGGTCCGAGTAGCCATCTGCTGGTGGATCGCCCAACCCTAATTCAATTTAACATTAGAAATATGCCGCCACGACAGAATGGGAAGCTCCGATTGTGTGGGACGCCAAGTCCAGCCCTTATCTGCAGCCGCGATTATCGTGAAAGATAAATATTATACTCTGGCCAACGACGTCATGGTCGTCAGGCAGTGCCTCGACCATTTGTCTATAAGACCACTATGGCCCGCCTCGGTTTATAGGGCTCCAATCTCACACTTGACATCGCCCATTTGTCTCTCAAATCGACTAGGACAATCCTCAAACAGCTTGTCTCGTCTCGCACTATGCCTCGGGGAAATCGTGCAGAAGTGATTGTTATTGGCGCTGGCCTGGCAGGTCTCACCGCAGCAACAGAATTAAATCGTCAAGGCATCGATGTCATTGTACTGGAGGCATCATCTCGGATAGGTGGAAGAGTGAATTCCGCCACTACCAGCCTCGGGTCACACCTGGATCTTGGGGGGCAATGGATTGGCCACGGACATCATCGCATCGCTGCTCTGGTAAACAAGGCGAAGGGGACACAATTCCAGACCTTCACACGCGGTCTACCGACGGTTGCTCGCGACGGTCGCACCGTGTCTCTCTTTTCACCCTCTATAATTCTTTCGATGATTTACCTCGCCTTGTTCGAGCTGGCCAGTCGGATGTACGTTCCTCAAAGTTGGATCGATGTCACTGTGGACAAAGCGATTCAAACTTTGGTCCCCTTGGAAATTGCCCGACAATTCCTTCGTCTCCTCATTGCAGTGTCTTCTACCGCTGAATTGGGTGAGGTGTCGGTCTACAACTTTGCAAAGGCGATACCTCTATCGGGAGGGCTCTCGACGATGTTAGGGACACGGGGTGGGGCTCAGGACACGTTGGTGGTGGAATCTATGAGCATCACTACATCTATGTTGGCCAGCGAGCTCTCTGCCAACATTCTAACCGATATGCCGATCACCAGTGTATCCCAAAATCACAGCGATAACGTGATGGTGCGTACAGCGTCAGGCAGAGAATTTCACGCGAGGAAGGTCATCATCACGGTTCCCCCACCAATGTTGAAGAACATTACATTCGACCCACCGATGCCCCTCGAACGTAAGGCATTGCAGGAGAATACCCGCATGGGCGTTGTCTACAAAGCGATCGCGGTCTTTGAGCAGCCCTTTTGGCGCGACGGATTGGGCGGAGAATTCTTGATACTGGATGACCCGGCATGCGGCGTCTTTGACACTTCATCGCCGGGAGGCCCTGGTCACTTGTGCTTCCTTGTAGCCGGCACCCCGGCACGCCAGCTTGACATGCTGGATTCCAATGCACGCCGTGAGTTGCTGTTGAGTCGACTTGCGCCACATCTCGGGCATCGAGTCCTCCAGCCTGTGGATTGGCACGAAAAAGCCTGGCATTCGGACGAGTACTGCGGTGGCGGGTATCTAGGATATGCGATTGTTGGCACCACGGAGGGTATTCTGCCCATGCCTCATGAGCCAACGAACAATCTGCACTGGGCGGGAACAGAGACGGCGGAAGAGCATCCTGGATATCTCGAAGGAGCGCTGCAGTCCGGCGAGCGTGCCGCCGGTGAAGTCGCTCGCGCGCTTGGTAAAGTGCACGGTATCAAATAGGAAGTTTCAGGTTCTGCCCAGCCTTAGAGAGAGTGTGGCAGGCATATATATGAAGGGGGCATACCACCTTCGAGATTTCACATTCGCGCTATGTTCTCCCGATCGACAGGGCCATGCAACTCAAAATCGTTGTTCTATTCCTTCGCTAATTTTAATATGGTGTATTCTATCTCCTTCGTCTTATTCTGAACACCTATGGAGTCTAAAATAATTTCATTTGTACATGCAGTCCCCTTTTCATTGTTTCCACCGAGGTTCTGAAAGTAACTTCCGCGAACCATTCTATCCACCCTCGCATAAACTCTAGCCATCTACTCCATAGTTCCCGCCCTAATTTTGTGTTATGTCCTAAACTTCAATTATTCTCCTGGAATCTGACCAGCTACGGTCCCCATTGCTCATCAACACAGGGGCGTTATGATCTAGAGGAGAGACAACGAGTCGGGAATAGGGCTTAGAGCCTAGACTTGACCGGGTTCGGGGCGGGTGTTAGATCTTGAACCCCAACCCGACCCGATACCAACTCTAAATTCATATAGAGAGTAATGTGTGTAGATGCCAGTGTCAATATGAATATTTCGTGATTTGGCTGACGACAAGTCAGTTCTTCGGAACGCGTCGCCAAACAACCACTTGTTCCCCATCGGAACTGATTAACGAGCTTTTTTCCCATGCGAAATGCCCCAACTTGGGCAGCAACATCCGCCAAATATACCAATAAACACCACCGAGGCAAAATAGCAATGTTCCAGTGAGCGGCGTAAGCCACACTGGTAAGCTGGTGCGACCATTCACTGGGGCCACAAACGGTGACACAATAAGGAATACCTGCGACGCTAAAAAGACAAAAGCCACGCTGGTCCAGACTTTGAAGGCACGAGGGGGGTATGTCACACGTTTCCGGATAATGAATAGGCCACACACGACGAAGAACTGAATCACCGCAACAGCCCACTGTCCTACGTCAAGTAGGAAGTTATATGCCTCCCCTGCAGTATAAAGTGAGTTAACCCGGGCTTTGCCATCCACCAGGACAGGGACTTACCAAAAGGAACAGCGATGATCATGACACACGATGAGAGAAACACCAGTGCAAATGCCCCAGCAGGTGAGCCTGAGCTGGATCTGCCGGAGAAAAACTGAGAAAATGGCAACAGGCCCTCCTGCGCAAAACTGCGTATGACTCGGGACATTGAGAAAGACGCTGTCATGATATTTCCCAGTGATGATAAAGCAGCAAGAATGGCAGTAAAGCGTTGCATGTGCTGACCAAAGACCTTACCAATGAATAATGCAACCACCGTGATACCGGTGTCGCTCAGCTCCTTGGGTGTTGCCGCAACGAAAAAAACTGCATTCACCAAGACATACAGAATCCCTACCGAGCCGACTCCCAAGACGCCTGCTACCTTAAGTGTGCGGCGTGGGTCTTTCACCTCGTCCAGGACATACATTGCATTGGACCAACCCTGAAAGGTGGCCAGCACTTTAAATAGGGCGACTGTGTAGTCCGAGACATCGGTAGATGACCCGGCAAACGGGCGTACATAGCTGATGCCGGGGTGAGCTACATTTGGTGACCCAAAAATGACGAGCCCAAGACCAGTTACAACTATCAAAGCCAGGATAAGCAATTTAAGTGAAGCAAGAATATTCTGGCGCCTGGTGTAAGCCATGTTGACAGTGGAGAGTATCAAATGATGTGAACGGCTCCTTACCATTAGTTTAACATTCCAGGTTTTCGCACAGATATGCATCGCTGCGACGCTTGTCATAAGAGTGACTGCCATACAGCGTTTCACCCAGTCATTCGCTGTTGCTTGGGTAGCTAAGAGTAAGTTCTCTGCAATGGCAATAGTTCCAATACCTGTGTATTGTATTAGAAAATTGATGACAACAAGGGCAGAGAAGAGATACTGTACATACCGGTGAAGCCAAGAAAGATAACATGCGTTGCGAATATCACGGTCGCAAATAAGCGCGGATGTGGATAGGCAGCTTCGAGGTAGTTCTTCTCCCCGCCATTGTGTGGTAGAAGACTGCCTAGCTCAAGGTATATAAAGAAGCCACAAAATGCTAGAAAATAACCCGCAACCCAGACAACCAGGGATGCACCGGCGCTTCCGGTACTATGTGCTATAGCAGACGGTACAGAGAATATTGCCGTACCGATCATGCGGTTGGTTCTGTGTATTCTTCAGTGAGATGAACAGTTCAAAGCCAGTGGTTGCATTGCTGAGTAGGATGCATGGTTGCTTACTGACATCAGAAATGTTGTAGAGAGCAAACCGAGGCGGCGATAAGGCTGCGCCTGACCAGGAGGAGCAACAGTCTCATGATCAGACGGAAGGATTAGAGGCGCGGCCTCCGTAGAAACTTCGTCATCCGGAACGCTCTCATCATTTTGGTCCGGATGCATATCTTACACGAGAGATCGTCTGGGGCTTCTTGCGCGAGTGATATATCAAAGTCTCCAAGAGACCACCTTGCATGGAGCGACCCGATGACTGAATCACGTGTGGGCAGGTGACATGATCTATATCAACCCGTGACTGGAATGTAGTCTGTGTACCCTAAGCAGCACTTTAGAAATAATCTTATGAATTTTATAGTTCCATGATGTACTTCGTACATTAATGTCATGCAGCATATATGAAGAAGGTTAATTCCTCCCACCCCACCCGAACTGAACAGAACTGCGCCCCTAGGATCTTAATTCATGCCTGAACGCACGTTATCATCCATGCGGGACTCTGGAGCCTCATATACGAACATTGTATACATGTGATGCGTATGAAAGTCGGGATGGGATTGTGAATCATATTGTGTATTGAAGTGGGCAGAATTAGTTGGCTAGCTGCAGGTGAAGAAGCGATCGGCTTGACAAAACAGTGTTAGCAGCCAAGGTAAATACTGAAGGGCCGTAAGAAAACGAATGGATGTGATTGCAAACTATCTAAGCCTTTGAATGACTGATATAACAACACTGAATACGCTCTTCGAGCCAAAGTCCAACCTATAATGTTTCAAAGGAAATCAAAGGCCTATATGTAGTGCGAATAAGCCGACCATGCCAACTGCACTTGGTCACGAGCTATTTCCCCAATTGGGCGATAGGAGCAGGATGCCTCTATATTTCTAGTTCGCACTAGCAGTCCATTTGGAAACAGTGAAGGTTGCCGGGCCGCCAGTGAACGGCTCAGTTCCGAACTGCAGGTCTATAATTCCCTTATTAGTCACTTAGCTTACACGCGTTTTAGGTTTGTGTGTACTTACTGATCAAATACTGGGAAGAAGCAGGGAAATTTTGCTTGGATGTGAGATAGTCGAAAAATGCCTTGAGGTCTCCGCTGAAGGAGTTTATCGGGGTTGCCGAGACGAAGCTGTACGTCTTTTGCTCGGCGCCAGCCTGGGTAGTAGTGCCGTACCACAGTTCCCAAGTATGGCCTTCGACTGTGATGCTATCGATCTTTGTGCCAATGGGCTGGATAGATCCGTAGCGTGCGAGCCTTGAATGTGGGAATCCCCGACTGGGTCAGCCTACTGAACTTTTTCTACTGCACGCGCAAGGAAGAATAGATCGCTTCAGTGATCGGTTGATACTCACCAAATCATCAGTTCGTAATCACCACTGTATGTGACGTGGTTCTTGTCGGCGGCGGTAAACAGGTCGTACGCCACATCGGCGTTGACATTGGTGTTATCCTGTTTCCATTCCACGTCGGTGCGGATACTGCTGACATCGCTCACAAGCTTCTTCTCGATGTCGACTCCGGAGTTGGAATAACTTTTCACGCTGTTATCACCACCACTCCAGGTCCAAGTAGTGTGCCATGCAACACCGGAGCTAGAGATGCTGTCGACGTAGACGCACTGGGAGCCAGTTCCCGAGTCCTTTCCCCAAAGATTGGTGTTCACTGTGTACGGAGGGCTCGAGACAGAGTCGTATTGAGAGCATAGCTCCTGTTGACTGAATGCTGTGGCCACGAGGGTGGCAAGTGCCAAGGAGAGCTTCATAGTAAAAGTATAAGCGGGAGAGCAATCTGTCGTGACTAGTAATGTTGCAGGACTGATCGATAATACAGGACGTGAGCAGCGGGCAACGCTGTTTAAAAGGTACAGAGTTAGCAGGCTGCTGATACCATCAACTCCTTCCACTCTAGGAGTGTGGCATATACACGAGTGTTTCATTGGGGATTGATCTTATGATCCACAGGGTTCCGTGTCTGCCGAGCCATCATTCCCATGAGTGAGAATCGTCGAGTATCAGTGATTCTTCTCAGGATCTACAGCCGACGAACTATTCGGACACGGTGTACAGGTCCGATCTACCGGCTAATAAAACTACTCCTTGACTATAATCTGGCACATTTCTCGTCATATTCCTAGCAGCTTGACGGCAGGGTCTGTCTACCCACATCGGCCGGCAGGCAGGTTTATTTTTACTCGGGCATCGGCTTCGCCTTCGGATATAGTCCTTCGGCTTGTGATCTCACATCTATGTCCGAATATCTCTGCACTTTTATGTCCGTTAAGTTTTCTTCTAGTGCTTCCCAGGCATGACACTATGCAAGATGGGTCTTCAGAGGATGGACGGACGGCTGTGGTGTTCTAATTGATAATGCAGATCATTGGGGACCTGTTTCTTCCGACTATAGGCTATCAACAAACTCTCAGTTGGCTACAATATAGTCCATTGTCAAATCATGCTCTATTCATACCCGGGTACAGGGCTTGAATCGTCAAGGACATTCGGCCTGGGTCCACAAAGCCTTAGCCTGGCCCGCCGTACCTTACGCACTCCTTACTAATGCGCAGGCCCGCACAGTCCATGCAGATCTCTATCGAACTAAACTCAATGGCGACCACTCCGTACCATATACGGTTAGTGTTGGTGCGTTTCAGGCATAACAGGAGATCATAGCTCGTGTTCGGCGATACAATTGATGTTCTAATAGCCGATGGAGGCCAACCCACCTGGCTTGAATTATATCTCAAGACGTTACATCAATTGGTAGCTCATGCAATCGGAGGCTCCCGGCTAAATCCCATTATATCCTGTCACAGAGGTTGTCGCGGGGTGTATGAACTAGTGCGAGGCAAATAGCCTAATTCAAGGTCCTTTACCTAAACTTGGCTTCTGCGAAGTAGACCCACCGGAAACAATGACTGAGCCACGACAATATGCCGTTTTGGTACAAGCCGATGCCGACTTATCCCTAGCATCCTCCGACTTAACCGTCAAATGGTCTGATGGGTTAAGCTTACGTGTCTTGACAACGGCTTTCTTTTTACGGTGTCATGCTGCGACAGCCCCATACCGTCCCGTTGCATATACAGTAATGGCAAAAGGAGGGCCGTGAATAGACTAGAGTTTCAAGTGATTTCTGGCGGCCGCCGAGATTCCCAGGTTTGTACATAGTGATGAAGTGGGGACCATAGAACCTTCCTAAGAAGATATAGTCCAGTGTTCTGGCTTTTATGTAGGCGGGAATCTCCATAGCCATAGGAAACAGTTGAGCTATTGAATCCTACATCTGGACAGCCGCCCATGGATCCAAGGTGTTAATTTTAGAGTTGCTGATGGCTATTCAGGTTCCCCGGCTCACTATTAATTCGGCTCCTGACCACTCTGTCTTAGCAGATTTCCCCCTCTGATACCATTCGATCAGTGACCATGTTTCAGTCTGTTTTCCTCCATGTCCGCCTCACCCTTAGTGCCATTGGTACTTACCTCAGCGGCTCGGCCTACAGCACTAATTCTCCGGGCTGCGGTAGGAAACGTACCATTCTCACTATAACTCATTGAATACATAGCTACCATTATCTCCAAGATTTCCCGATGCCTATAAGTTCAACAATATACTATCTTGCCTTGAGACTCTACTGAAGCAGCAGAGTATAAAAGTATCAACAGGAATAGTCTGCAGCCGTGCTATATTATCCGATAATAACCTTGTTCTTCCTTCTAATAAACGCGTGGCACCGGTGAATACATTAAAGGCACTAACTACTACTAGCTAAGAAGCACCAACGAGCCTTAGTTCTAAAGTCTTGGGTGTGTCTAACCAAGCTTTGGTGACTAGTCCAAACCGGCTTTGCGATTGCTTATGATGGCGCCGCTCAGCATAGAAGCTCGGTAGTTTCGGATACCACTTGGAGGTCTTCATGGTGGCTTTAGCTTTGGTTCGAACTCCTATCGCTGTGATGGTCCTATATCATACGACGTATATCGTTGTAGTAATACATAGTACATAAATACACTCTTTAGTCTCGTATAAAAAAAATGCCTACGTAGACAGCACGGCATTCAACGGCAGTCTCCCCATCTAGGTAGGTAATCAACAACGTAATTGTGCTTATCATTAGGAAGTTGGACCTTTAGAGTATTGTCAGGAATAACCATCCGTAAAACCCGGTAGAGTACCCAGTAAGGTGATTCGATTACGTATTGCTCATGGAGTGCCTTTCCTGGCATGAGATACAGTATTGCATAACGGGGGCTGAATACTCCGCAGTTGGCCACATTTCGAAGGGGCTTTGACTCGAATATGGTGGCTCTCTGGTGACTGGAGCCGATTACAGCTGACCTCATAATTGATAAGCCTGTTACGCTTGTAACGTCGAAACCCCTGATGGTGTAGTTGGATATCACGTTTGACTGTAATGGAATTTCCTTTGTAATCAAAAGGTCGCTGGCTCGATTCCGGCTCGGGGGAGACAACTTTTTTTTGTTGTCGGGTGTCGTTAGTTAGTGGTCATGACTTATCTATAGAACGTGTACTCCGTGGTTCGAATCTTGTAAATGTCGCTATCTATCTAATCTTATCGGTTTATCCGCCCAAGTGGCTGAATTCTCGTTTTGCCCTGGACACTAGCCTGAGATCCAATACTAGTAGTAATAATGTGAAAGGCTGGCCTTATATTCAACCTATCGCCTTTACGCCCTGTACGAAGGGCCATGGATGCGTCTGCTAAAGGTATTTGGCTGGAAAGATAGCTACCCTAGTTGATGTTCTATGTGCTCGCTCTGCCACCAGGAGATTGTTACGAGACGGAGGTATCAAGTAGAACTAATGACCAGATACCTACTTAAGGGTAGCATCATTATGATACGGCGTCCCAACGTCATGTGGAAGGGATCTCGACGGTCCAGACTAATTACCAATGATAATTAGTAAGTGTGAACATGAATAAGTCGCACCTGTTGGCTGATTGTGACACGTTCATGGATCATCATTGCATTAGCGTCGGTACAGATATGACCATTGACGATGGTACCAGGAGGACTATCCAGAAACCATACGAGAGAGCTCGAGCCATAACGGGCTGCAACGGGTCTTATCGCAGGAAGTCATCAGAATAAGAGAGCAGCTGAAAGGGCCGAAGGTTAAAAATACCTGGGACACCATTCTGATTCTCGTGTGAGTTGCCTGCCGAGATATGGGGAGCAACGAAGCTTAATCATATGGGCGAACATCATATTATGTAGAATGTTTTCATGTAAACAAACTACAGGAAAGATGTCAGTCTAGATATCCGGGTTTATAAGAGATGCAAAGGTGTGAGCTGAATATCAATTTATTGCAAGCAACTTAGGCAGAGTTTAAAAGTACAGCAATCTCATCAACACGTCGATTTATCTTGTATCTAGGAAGCTACCAATAGTCGCAATAGCTCACCTAATGAGCAAAGATGACGCATCACGAACCCAGGCCTCACAGATACGTTCATCTGCATATAATGGTTTGGAAAATATCTCACAGTTCAGGCCCGCGCCAGGGGATATATCCTCCCAGGATAAAAGATAAGCTGCCACGTATGGACGTGACGGTGGAACCTTTCTTGTCTGGTTCTTTTTGTTGGCAATCGGGAAATCCGATTGGTTCGGCTTATTCAGATATGTCTCATGAAAGGTGGGGAATCTGTTAGTTGTTGGCTTTAAATAATTTATTTTGTTGCTGGGACTTCTGTATAGCAGGACGCAATTGTACATTTTGCATACAATGCCAATGTGACTGGTTTTCTTTGTTCCTCTTCACATTCCGGGCCAGCCTTCGAAGCACTACTGGCAAACCTTTTGATCGAAATTGCTTTATGGCTTTCATGATTGTTTCAAAGTTGAGCGAGGTGCTTGGCTTCTCATCATGTTAAGCTCTCTCACAAATCGGCCTACGCAGTTAGTTGGAAAGCATCCATCCCACGGGTTCACTGACCTGCAATTGTCCAACGTTTGCTAGCGCGTTCTAGGGACCCTATGACTGGTTCTAGAACGTCCGTATCAATTTTATGCTCAATATTAAGGTCTATTGCCACTGCACCCGCTTTTGCGAGCAACAGTACGGCTGCCAAAGGCATCCTTTCGACATTGAGGATGTCGTCCATACAAACAATGTCACGGGTAAAATTGAGAGCCGTTTCCATAGCAGCAATTGACGAATCAGGGAACATTGGAGGGATGTTTTCGTGACGGATGGATGCAGACGCGGCTTCGTGTAGTTCGAGTAGAGCCCTGTAGCATTCAGTAAATAGTCATGAGTATCTTGTAAGAAACCCACAGCAGAAGAATAACAATGGCTCTGTAACGAGGCTCCCAGTCGGCCCCAGAAAAGTTCAGGGTGTCCTGTAGTGCCTTCTGGATCGCTTTATCAAGCTCCCAGGCATCTTCGTTTAACGATCTCCCAGTCCTGTTGGGCCAATCTCGTGTCAGGGTTACGACTCTGTCCAAAAGAGACATTGCCTGAATTTGCTGCGCAAAACATCCAAGCATCTCCGTTTGTGTAACGGAAAGTCTAGGGACATCTGTTAGGCAGTTCGCGGTATCTGTATGCTCGCCCCACATATCATCGTTGATAGGGAGTGCATCACCAACACGAGCGGAATGAGTGAGCGGTATACGGTCTGCCGTCTTGTCTGAGTAATACACAAGCCGATCAAGCAGATAAGTCGCCCACCACACGCACTTGCTTTCTTCCCCATGGCTTGTGCTGGTATCTGGTAGTTTGTTCAAGCCAATGGCGTAGCCTAAGCTAGCGCAAGTCGCAAGCGTTAAATACGCGTTGGAAAGATGGCCACTACCCTGTTCGTATACCGCTAACATTAGGCCCGACTGCAAGGTGCAGAGTGAGTCGCGACGAGAAGTTTGAATAAGGGAGAATAAAAATCTACAGCTTTCATATAGGTCTTGCACTACTGTGTAATTAAGCATGAGAGCAGTGATTGGCGGGTTCGAAAGCAAGATATTGAGCACAAGAGATGCCAGTTCGGCAGACGGACGCTGGCGTAGAGATGGAACCCGTTGTGTCAGAGATCTGGGATGAATAATAGGTAACCAGGGATGGATACACTCGACATGGCAGCCCACAATATCTTCTAGTTCACAACTGAACCTATCAAGAATGTGGAACAGATGCGAGGTACAATACCGATCAATGGCGGGTGTATCGGTCCCAGGCAGATGAGACCAGCAAAGTGGTTCCAAGGACAGTCGACTTGATTCTCCACCGCCAAGCCTAGAATTGCTCCGATCATATCCCACATGCATTCCACCATCACAGGATCTATACTGGCATGGAACGTTGTTTCTTGTTTTGCATCAGTATCGCTGTCTTGTGGCATGCGGGGTGAACACTACTTAGCACAACGCCCACACGCTGGATTCAACCTGTCACATTTGCGCTTTTGGGAGGCACATGAAATACAGGCATTTGAAGCAAGAGTCATTGTCTGCATCCCCGGTGAATATCCATTGAAAGTAATGTAGTGAGGAGCTAAGAGTGAACGATGCAGGCCCAGCCCAAGCCCAATCACTGAGGTCAAGCAGACTGACCGCCTGGCAGAATTAACATTCTGGCGCTAGTCCGCTAGCGTCGGAGTAGCGCCTTGGCATCTCTGTCCCGATCGGGAAATCGAAGAAATAATATATACCTTATGCATCGTAGTAATCCACATTGCCCAAACAATTTGCCGGCATTCACACGAAACCTCTCCGAGGATGACCAGTTGCTTCATAGTCTGATCCACAGTGAGTTCTCTAGCGAGGGTAGTCTCGGACCTCTCAAGCGCGACCGCCGTCGTTGGCGAAGATATATAAACACGGCCTCCACGGTAGGCCAACGTGAGAAAGAAATGAAGTGCTTTCTATTCCCATGACTTGGATCTACTCCCTTGCCTACTGATATGGGCTCACCAACCATTTTTCGCGCTCCATCACTCTTCCTGTCCCACGGGACTGGTCCCTTCCCTCTCCTGGATCCGGGACAAGAGCCCTATCGACAACTGGTTCGCAAACATGCGAGCAAGCTCCATGGTGTGAAGGGTATCCTGCTCTTTTCCGCTCACTGGGAAACAGAGGAGCCTCAAATCACCGCCTCCAACAATCCCGGGATCTATTACGATTACGAGGATATGCGTGACATGCTCCCACCAGCTGCATTTGAGTTCCAATATGCAGCATCTGGCAACGCAAAGCTGGCCGCCGAGGTTGCGAACCGTCTCCGGGATTGCGGGTTCAAACCGATCTTGAATTACCAACGCGGGTTTGATCACTCTGTTTACGTGCCGATGACTCTGCTACGGCCTCAGGGTGATATTCCCATCGTCCAGATGTCGATCCTCAAAGGGCAAGATGAGGAAGACTCGACCCGGAAGAACATCAAGCTGGGACAGGCGGTCGAATGCTTCCGGGATGCGGGATATGCTGTGATCGGGAGTGGGGGCTCCTACCATGATTTCCGTGCAATAGCTAACGCATTTTTCTCCAATGCGCCCATTCCCGAAGGGCCTGACAAATTCGAGGACTTCTTGCTCTCGGCGGCAACCATTGCCGATCCAGTGCAGAGAGAGAGGGAACTGCTTGGGTGGAGGAGACACTCCGCCAGTACCATTGCCCATCCAGTGGGCGAGGCGGAACATTTGATGCCGTTCATGATTGTAGCTGGGAGTGGTGGGGATACAGCAGGAGTTCGATTCGACATGTTTGTATATCGGGGTGCGCCGATGACCTTCTACAGTTGGTGAACAGTGCTATAAGTTGTGTCCTAGGTTAGGCTGTGAGTTGATTCCGTTGGCCTAGAACAAGATCGCTTCAGAGTAAGGAATATCAGTAAAGCGCTATGAGTGAGACACTAGTCATGGGGTGTTGCCAACAATGGTCTGTAGGACCGACAGAACAGCCTGGATAATTGTACAAGCATTGCCATGGCACACACTTGCTATCGATATGTAGTATACTCAGGGATTTATTTAGATAGGCTGTGCTTTACGGGCTAGCGTAATTTATCAATAAGACACGATTGTGAATCGAATGTAACTCTTAAGAACTGTTAGTCCCAATAGTTAACAAAGGGGACGGCGCGAAACCCGGCAGAAACCAAATTCGTTACGTATTAGTGCTTCGGCACTGCGTACAACGGCCACTCAGCATGGTGACAAAGGGATCTTGTTGGTATATAGGCGGCCACAATTATACTGTGGCTTAGACGTTAAGACTTGCCCCGCAGTGATAACAAGGCATAGGATCTTACCTCTACTTTCGCCCCCAACTTCTGATGCGACCACTCTCATTCCAATGAAAACAACCCTTTCTCATAAATCTGGCTGCGACGCGAGGATCTTTATTATCAAAAGCTTGGTCACTGTGTTACTTTAGCCATGAAACCAACTGTGGTGCTCGTGCCGGGTGCATGGCTTGTTCCCGAGTTCTACAAGCCCTTCCTAGAAGCAGTTCAGGCAGCGGGGTTTCCAACATGTACAGCTGAGCTGCCATCTCTGAACCCAGTTGATCCGAGCGCGGCGGATTGTACGATGGACGCTGAGAGTATCCGACGCCTGGTGTGCTCCCTTGTGGAAGACGAGTGTCGTGATGTGGTGCTAGTGATGCATTCATACGCAAGTATGCCGGGAGGTGCCCGCTGCCACAGGGCTCTCGAAGTCCGAGAGAGTCAAACAGGGGCAGAAAGGAGGGGTGTTGGGATTGGTGTGTATGGGCGCATTTTTGGTTCCCGAGGGCGTCAGTTGTGCTGGGACGCAAGGTGGCAATCTACCATCGTGGATTCTATTGGATCAGGTTTGTTCGCAGTTCGACGATAGTGATTATGCAGGATCTAACCTGAGAAATATAGCCTTCTGTTGGCCTCAATGTGCCTGATCAGCCAGAGAAGACCTTCGCTGCAGATGTCAGTGAGGAGCAGGCGCTAGCGATAAGCAGTGTGATCAAGCCGCATGCCAGCCTCGCCTTTTTCTCAGCCCAGCCCAGCCCTGCATGGGTGGACCCCACATTTACCGGGAGGCTGGCATATGTAGTGACCACCGACGATTTGGCGGTTCCCAAGGTCGCCCAGTATGGCATGATATCGGGCACCGGCCAGCAATGGCATGTGCGCGAAATCGAGAGCAGCCATTGCGCGCCGTTCATCACCAAAGTGGCGGAAAGTGTGGAGATCTTGCAGGACTTCATTCGTGCATTTGAGACCGTTTGATCTAGGTCACCCAGCCTCCGATATAACCTGTCAACGCGAACATGTAACCTATGCTACGTCAATGTCACATTGCATACAACCCAATCGTATAGTCACGGTTTTGGTTTATTCACATGTTTATGGCACTGCGCAATCCAATTAAATACTACTACTGAGTTTCTTAGCTCTTATACTATACTCTTAGTATAAGATTCCAGCTGCAGTGTGATAACTTGAGCTTGGACCAACGTAGTTGAGTACCTAGATCTGAAGGCAATGTGAATGTCGCTTGCTTTCAAACATCCACAAGACATCATCAAGACATAACCAATAGCAATGGCGAACAGGTCCATCTAGAACCAAATGTGTGTGATTCCGTGGTAGGTTACGCCAATGCCAATTCAGGGCTCACTAGCAGAACAGGTATCCCGGCGCACGAAGCAAGACAAAGAAAGACACTCAACATGAACGGTAGCAGTGCGGGACTAATAACATAAAGGAAATGGGTAACAAAAACATATGTTGGCCAGGGGATAAGGAAGAGGAGCGTAGCGCAACTGAGATATAAAGACTGCCCTTCTCCCTACTGGGCACATTACAGATCAAATACCAGAACCCTCAACTCTAGCTTGTTCTATGCCTCCTGAATATATTCCAAGATGCATTTCTCAATCGGCACCCATATCCTCATGGTCTTTTTGTTATACCTTGCGCAGCTGGCTTCTGGCCAAGGCACTGACGGCTGCGACGTCCCGCCCGCTGTTATCACCAACTTTATCTGGCACAATAGTACTCACAATTGTGGGTGCGATGATGGTGGTTGCCTGCCAACGGGTATTCATGGCGGTCCCGGCTGTGGTCCACCAGATACGGTGAAAGCAACATTCTCTCAGCAATCTCCAACATACAATGACACGTTGACCTGCGGCGCATCCGACCCTGGTAGTGTTCCTGCTCGACCGATCCCCGGGGGGCCCTTCAACTGTCGATCACTTGGACGACGCTTTTTCCTAACAGTGGATGGCACCGAAGGAACACTTACCTATGTGGAGCCTAATTTTATTTGGTAAGTTTGGGTAGAAAGCACGCTGTGCCATACACTGTCTCTGCTGCATCTTTACCACAATAGCTAACGCTCTACATATCATCAGCCCGAAAGGCAGGACACAGGTTACTTACGTCGGATCATTCGAGATGGACTGCGTATATGACAGGTTTCGGAATTCGACTTGTGTACAGAGTGAGCCCACATTTCAACTTCAACCGGACGAAGTCGTGGGTATCCATTGAGCATCTTACACCTTTACGAGGTAATGAGAGTCTGCCATTGGTTTTTGTACTATCGTACATAGATTATGCGCATACTACAGTGTCTATGAAGCGATAGGGGGAATAAACAAGGATTAATGTCAGAAAAGGTCCACCTACGATACTTCACCTTCCCAAATCCGTAAGTGAATGGAACGTCCATACACGGTTTTGTTAGACACTCTTTGGCTTGCTTAGTTCTTTCGCTTTTAAAACCTTTGGGCCTTCTCGATGGTGGAGTCTAAGCAGTTTCTCAAGTTTCGCGGTATACTACAGACCCTCCCCTACGCAGGAGACTATCACCTTCAACTCCGATCAATACACTGCCGACACTATCCAACATCTTCTCTAAAAGTTATAACAAATCGCAAGGTCTTTTGGGGGGGGGGGGAAGATAAATATCATAAGTTCCAGATTCCTTTTAGAAGACGATCCTAGTATGTCCCAAGTGACGTTTCCGCTCGCATGGTTGCTCTCAATATAGAATCTCCAGACCATAGCTGACCAGGCCAAGAAGTCAAACAAGAATTATGCACTAGAAGCTAATTGTTACCTATTGTTAAGGTATGTAGCTCGCTTACATTTCATCACGGTGGTTCAACCATAACGGGATATAGACTCGGGGATCAAGTCTGGTAAGGTGTGATTGAAGGTCATCTTTTGTGCATAGTATCGTGAAAGCAGCTAAATATCTTCATTACAGCATAATGATGATATTACCGTTTATTTTAACCTGGGATGGCGCAGATGTCTGTCACACCACTTGAGCCGGTGGGTGGAACCAAGAGGCGGATCGCTGAGAGCACTATGCACGAGATATCGCTCCGTGAAATTCTGATAAATCACAACCCTATAAGGTTACGGCCGACAGCATGAGCTGCAAAGCATATGTAAAGGGTGCTAGTATTAAACTATTTTTGGTTTGGCGATATTCAGCATCAGCATGGTACCAAGGGTCTCATTGTGCGTAACCATAGAAATTCCGACATGTAGTCTCCTGACCTTCAACGGCATGGCCAAAGAATGTCAAGCCTCACACTACATGATATACGCAAGCATTCATTAGAGGCTATTTCTTCCAATGTGCTCTAGCCTACTATGTCACAATGGATGTATCGGCTCTCAGGCCTGGTTGTCATATGACAGCTCCCCAGGGGTATATAGTCTTCGTGCCACGTAATGTTCATACAATAGCTGCACCGACTCAGCTCTTAATGCTACAATGAATACAGCCGTTCAAGGAAGAAATCCACTCAAAATGCCCCACAAAGAGAGTTTCGCTCGACGAGACCCTGGCAATGTACAGGCCTGGCTGATTGGCGGCGGCATCGCGTCGCTCGCAGCCGCTGCTCACTTGATCATAGATGCCAAGGTTCCAGCGAAGAATATCCATCTACTGGACGAGCATAAACACGCTGGCGGGGCGATGCAGAGCTCCGGTGATGCAGAAAATGGCTATCTGCTACGTACTGCCTGTCTTCCATATTTCCATGACATCTGTGTCCAGGACCTTCTATCGTACGTGCCCGATCCCGCGAGCCCTGATCGATCCATCATGGATGCGGTGCAAGCCTCTGAGAAGACGGAACAGTTTAAGCCCGCTGCGCCAACTCGGCTTCTAGAAAACCCCGCGACGGGCCCCGAAAGGGTTGATGACCGACAGTTCCATTTGGGTATCAAACACCGATGGGATCTCATTAAGCTCATGGTTGAAGGTGAGAAAGCGGTCGCCGACAAGACTATCAAAGATCTTTTTGATGGGACCTTCTTTAACTCAAAGTTCTGGGCGCTGTGGTCTACAACGTGAGCCGGCCCTACCTTTCTCGTTTCACTGACTTAGCTATATTAACTCCTGATAGCTTCGCATTGAAGCCCGAACATGGAGCCGTCGAGTTCCAGAGGCACATGCGCAAATACCTTGAAAAGATCAAAGACTTCAATAATGTCAGCGCTTTGGACCGGTCCCAGTACACTCTCCATGAATCCGTCATTCTACCTTTGGTTTCGTATCTCGAGAAGGAGGGCGTCGACTTCCGCTTCAACGCTAAAGTAACTGATCTGGTCATGTACCCGGAGGCGACCCCACGACCATTTCCGAAATCAAACTCGTACACGATGATAACAGCCCGTCGCTCGTGACGATTGACCCCATGGACATTGTCATCGTTACGCTTGGCTCAGTCAGTTCGGGATCCGCGGTCGGATCCAACAATGCACCACCCACATGGGAGACATCTCCAGAGCTTACCGTCATGGAGGACTGGGCCTTATGGAACAAGGTTTCTAAGATGTCTACCAGAAAGTTCGGTGATCCCGAGCCCTTCCGATCTTATATTAAAGATTCCAAGGTCGAAACATTCACTATCACTTTGAAAGATTCCCCATTCCTCGATGTCTATCAAGATATAACTCATAACCCACCTGGCTCTGCTGCCTTGGTATCCTTCGTTGGCAGCAACTGGAACTTGAGTCTCAGCGTGCCTAGTCAGCCCGTCTTCGCAAACCAGCCGGACAACGTTCACGTTGTCTGGGGATACGGCACAGAGCCTGAGAGGCCGGGAAATTTCGTGCAGAAGGCGATGCAGGATTGCAGCGGGGCAGAGATACTGACAGAGCTACTTGGCCACTTGGGTAACCCTTCGGAACACATTCACTCCACCGCCACTACTATCCCCTGCATCTTCCCACTGGCCACGGCATCATTGCTTAAACGATCTCACTTTGACCGTCCGGAGGTAATTCCCCATAATACTACGAACATGGCGTTCGTGGGTCAGTTCGTGGAGATCCCGCACGATACGACTTTCAGCATGGAATATAGCGTGCGTGGTGCTCAGATGGCGGTGTATCATCTGATGGGACTTTCGAAGAGGCCCCCGCCGGTGAAGACTAACGTGTTGTTGGAGGTGTTTGGTTTGCTGGCTTAATTGTCGGTCTTTCTAGTCGTTCTAGGCACTTCTTGGCTATGGCTGCCTATGTTTTCTGTCATATCACATAATTATTAATATCCTTGGCGTACGAATAGTGTCAGGCGTGTCTTTCTTGTCTGTTCTCCCTCTTCTTTCCTCCTGTATTTTCCGTGATGCAGGTGCTTTTCATGTAAGCGTCAAGAATGGAACATTGTTTAAGTTGTATGAGGGCAGATTCCGACGGGCCGATTAGAAAACCACGACTGTCAGATGACCTCTAACTACATCCTCCTGTAAGAAACAGAGCAGGGTTCCACTCCTCCCATACGAACTAGCAATATAATAACCCACATGCTACCATGGACATTACCTTGACTCCATTTTTACTATGGTTTAGATCATAAGAATGCATGTTTGGCCGAGCTACCCATACTATGCCCCGCACTAGGAGTACTCTACCTCAGCCCACATACAATAAATAACCACAATCCACCCTTTATTTCTAAGATATCGGACAATATATCCCCTTCTTCTTCTTCCTCTTAATCCCCATACAAATATCACCATGCTATCCACATTCTGGCCACACCCAGAATACGCCGAAGACCAACCCTTCCCCAAACTCATCCTCATCGGCCACGTCCTCGACCGCAGCTTCCAAGCCGGCGCATTGCTAGGAAGCACTACTGGGCTCGCCCGTGTATGGCTGCTAGCCTACCAACCAACCTTAAATAACAAGTTCTACACCAGATTTATTGTGCCCCCAGGATCCACCCCGGCTACTCTTCTGATGCGGTCGACCGGGACTGGCGCCGTCATCGGTCTGGGAGCCATGGCCGCTATGCTACTGTACTACCTGGCCAAATGGGAGCCGATCGAATGGCAGGATCGCAGTTGGCGACTGCTTGAGAACCGGGGGCAGGTGGAAGTGGATAGCTGGGGGTTCGCGGGGGCGGTGCTGGGGTTGACGGGGTTGGTGGTTATGGCGCGGCGGAACGGGAGGATGTTTCAATTGACAGGCCATGAGGAGGTTTCTCCCCTGGTTCTGCTTCGGGCTCTGGGGTGGAGGAATGCGTTCGCTAGTGCTGGCATGGGGAGTTTGTCGGGGGTCTGGGGTATTTGGGCTGGAGGTATGGGATTATGGGTGGGAAGCGATGATTCTGCCTATGCTGTTACTTTCTTCTGTTTGTCTGTTGAGGTTTCTTGTTTGACTATGAAATGCAAATATATTTCTGTCGTGTAAGCAGTCTATCATTGCGAGATTGAGATCGCTCTACTGCCTAAGGCATCCGATATATCAGTGACGTCACCGTTATCTCGAAACAGGAAAATAGACTAGCCGAGTTCAGCTTAGTGCTAGTGCACTTCCCGAGCCAATGGGCGCTGTTCATTATAGTATTTCCCCCCGTCAACTTGACAACCTCAGAGTACCAACCCTCTACACTTTCACCGATCGACGATCAGCTAAGAGCAGCTCAAGAATGGGTCCCACAATTGCCTCGTCATACCCCAGCGCAGTCAAGCGTCCAATCGTCACATTGAGAGGCCGGTCCTGAAACCCTCCACCACATCCCACAACATGTTCTTCATCCGGAACTCGATCTGATAGTCCCTAATCAATTCCTCGAGACGTGGAATGTGGTCTATCACGCCGACTTGGGGGTCAGGCCCCAGTTCGATAGTGATATCGTAAGTTTCATTGGGCACGGACGGACACTTGACATGTAAGCCGGGTCTTGCGGATAACATTCGAGCCATACAGTGGCATCATCGGTTCGGTCAACTCCATCGATTAGTACCTTTAGGCTTTTTGGTACAGAGGTAAAGGCAAGGAAGTTGAAAGTCCACAGTCTTCCAGTGACCTCGGCAGTAAGTCTACCATCTGTCTGTATATACCGGACGGTGGAGACCTGCCTTTCGACCGCACCAGCACTCTCTTGCTGTCTATTGTCACGGTTATCTTCGAGCACCTCCGTATAAGCATCTTTTCCAACCAGGATAAGAACTTCGAAGGCATCCGGGTTGAGGCAGCCATTCAGTGAGGAAGCGTCCAGGGGGATAATTGATCCCTCGTGGGCCAGAACAGGGTAGTCCTCCAATTTGCGATATAAGGTTAATGCGCGATCCCCGTCGTAGACTGTACCAGTGAAGATATCAACGTGTAGTCCACGGGGTGGCAGCCAGGCTTTCACTGATGCCAGATTAGTCCGCTTGTCCCGTGGCTGCACAATTGGAGCGACTACCAGCTCAGACCCGAAAAAGAATTGGTTTGTCACGGAGTAGGCTTCTTCACGCCCTGGGTACTCCCAGTACATGGGCTGTACAAGGGGCTCGTCCTCGTCTGCGCCGATTAGGTTCCGTGTATAGAGGAATGGCACGAGTCTGTGCCGGAAGTTCAAAAATTTCGACATAACAGACCCGCACTCGGTGCGATAGAGCCATGGCTCTTTAGACATCCACCGTGATGATGTTGAATGTAGCCGCATGATGGGTGAAAAGACTCCCAGCTGCACCCATCGGGTGACAAGCTCGTCGTCACGGCCACCGTGAATGTGGCCGCCAATATCGTGGCTCCACCACCCGTACCCAATATTCGATGCAGTCGCCGTAAACTCTGGTTGAAATTCGAGTGAGGCCCAGGTCACCACCGTGTCTCCGGAGAACCCAAGGGGATATCGGTGACTTCCGGGGCCAGCATATCGGGAGAGGATGAGCGGGATCTTGCCATCCCGTCCATGATCGAGATAAGCGAAATGATTCAGCATCCACAAGGGGTCAATTCCAGGGATTTTTGAGTACGGCCCCTGTTGCCAATCAATCCACCAAAAGTCGCATGCTACAGCTTCAAGGTTTCGGTGAAGAATATTGAGGTAAGCATCCATGAACTTCGGGTCGGTTGAATCAAACAGTATCGGGGTTTTGTGTTTCGTGTCATGACCCAGGAACTTTGCCATCTCCTCGTAAGCATCCTCGTGAGAGTGAATCCCATCGTGGGGATGGTCATTCAACGTTATCTTCAGGTTGCGCTTGTGGACTTCACGGGCGAACAATGCCGGGTCGGGAAACAGCTCTTTATTCCATGTATAACCCGTCCAGCCAGCGTGTGGTACTCGCTCGTCTGACACTAAATGCCAATCCATGTCGAGAACGGCTACAGACATCGGGATCTCCAGGTCGTGGAACCTATCCATGAGCTGGAGATACTCCTCCTGTCGATATGGATAATACCGACTCCACCAGTTGCCTAAAGCGTATCGAGGTACGACTGGCTGTTTGCCAGATACAGCATAAAATGCTTTTATCGCTGCCTTATAATCGCGACCGTAGGCGAAGAGGTATCCATCTACCCGGTCTCCGGCTGGCCGGCTCGCGACAAAGCCCTGTCCATCAAAGAGCATGGACTCGGAGTCATCGATCACAGCGAAGCCTGCTTTCGACAGGACTCCATCTCCCATATCACATCGGCCATCGCATAGATCTAATGTCCTTGCTGTTCCTCCTAAGTTGAGCGTAGACGGAGTTCCAAATCGCCATTCGGTTCCGTACTTGGTCGTTTTCGCGCTCAGATGAGCAACCATCCCATTGGGGCTGAATCTCTTCTTATCATAGCTCAAGTGAAAGTGCTCCGTGATGATTTCCAACCCGCCGTTGTCAATTATCCTAAACTCTGGTACTGGAAGGTCGCGGTTGATGGCAAAAGTGGAAGCTCGATCTTCAAACTGGCCATCTTCGGCCCATTCAAAACGCAGCAAACGATCTGTAAGAACAGTAAATCGATAGTTGGGACCAGAGATTATCGCTTTCAGGTTAGCCTTGGGCTTTGTGGGAAACACGTATTTTTCCATTACGAACTACTTCGAGAGTCTATGAGAAACCCTTGTTCTGTTGGTGAGGAGCTCTCTGATTCTGCATGGCTTTAACTGGGTTTATATCCTGCATAGCACGTGAGACTCCCCGCATTTTGTGCAGCCAGTTTGACGTGTCACTGCGAATTGACCCTCCAACGATTCCGCTACTCTTTGCTCGCTTTGGTTACACTTCGAAATTTGTACGTTGCAATATTACACAAGATCGTCTCTGGTTGGCGGGCAGTTCATTGCTTTCTCTAGGTGTCAGACCCTCTACCTGAACAGAACTATATGTCTGTTGTTTGTTGATCACAAATATTCTTTTATGACTTGATGGTCGTACCTGTGTGCTACTCTCCTGCCACTGAACTATGGTCCATATGCCTTCATGGCAAAAAAGGATCTAATTCGAATCTATACAATATGGAGGCATCTTCCTAGGTACCTAATTGACTACCAACTCACCACGTCATGGAATGGGTAAAGTCAACTTTGTTCTCTGTCGTGTGGATATTCTCCATCTCAAGGTGTCACATAAGGACAAAGAATCGGCTATAATGAAAGTCAGAGTACTGTTCATTGACTATTCTCATCAAGGCATTCTTATGGGTATACTTTGGTATTTTATTCAACTGTTCCTGTCGACTTGGCACCACAATAAATTAACAAACGATATGAAACACTTTGAGTCCTTTCAGACCAAGAGGTACAGGACAAAGGGCTAGTTGTAATTCAATGCAAATCAGCAAACATACAATGAGCGCATAGAGCGTTTTAAAACAGACCATGTGTTTTCTCTTTTAACGTACATGTCTTTCTCCAAACAAAGATTCCAGTACCCGAATATACCTCGCTCATCTTAAATCCGGGGAATGTTTCCCTGTCAAAGGTCGGTATTCCCTAGTCTCAGCCCTAAGCATATACCGCTAATCTACCGTATCCTTGAAACAATGCCTGGGGTATTGTCTAGCTGGCTCTTTATGTGTGTCATCTTCTCGGCGTATCTAACATAATGCCAGGACGGCTCCACACCAAAGTTTCGAATTATAAGAAAGAGAGTTAGCAGTATAAAGGAGTCAGACAGAGAGACATAATGTGAAATAATGACATTCCCCAAGGATAGTATGATTGCCAAAAGAAAGACGTAACATCGAGGTCAACTGTTGAAATACTCCTGGCAGTTTCAATCACGCAAACAACGTCTGGGCAGCAGAGTAAACGGGTGTCGCGCTGGACTATATAACATTCCGTGGATCTGCGGAGCTGTCATTCTATACAAATCTCCTGTGCCTCATTTACAACGTTCTCTTTTGATCCTTCCCCAGGTAGTTCCCCGCTTTAATAGCTATCTTTTATACAGACACATGCGACATGGATCCAGACTTCGTTAGAGAGGTGATCCAAAATCAAGCACCAATGCCAAAGGAACGTATCTATACTATCGAGGACATCCGGGCGGCTAATGGTGAGTTGAGAGGTGGCGTATCAGCAGTCCTAATGAATAGCCATACACCGGAACAAGAAGTGGTCACGGTCCGAGTCGTCTCTCGTGGTGCAGGGGATAAAGTGTGCAATCACGAAGAGATCAACCTCGATACAGATGGTATTTATATTTCTTGGGTCCTTACTGTCAATTCCTGTCGCGTTTCTGTCCCTAATCCCTTGATTATCAGTATTATCAGAGAGTAACAAATGCGCAGAACAGGCAAATCTGAGAGCAGCTTCCCGGGAGACCAACCGTACGTATACAACATGCACATATGACTGGGAGGTCTTAAGATCTGGGGTCGATTGGTCCAGTGCACTAGACAAAATAACCCTGACTAAGAGCGGAAATATTGTGAGAGTAGAAGACTGCAAATCGCGGCTTGGTGGATCAAAAAGTACAGTTTATTTCATGAAACTCCTTGAGTACATTATAAAGACATCAGGTCACGACAGCCAGTATGTATATGGTGAGTTGCTTAAATGATTAGTAAAGCTCCAATATATCACTCACTACTCTCTTCAATAGTGCTTCCATATATATACATTCGCCCTTCATCATCCAATATCACCCTGACGGTCGACAATGGTCCAATGGAAGAGTTGCATCAAACAATGAAATGGATTTGCTTGACATTCCGACCACCGACTGACCTACCTGGCTTCTCATATGGAGTCGACGAACCAGGGAGGAATACGTTCAAATTAAAGCATTTGATGCCCACGACACATGAGAATAGTCGTGAGCTCTGCCAGGAGCTCTTTGGTAATGCCGTGATAGCTTGTGAGCACTCCAAAAGCTATCCACGTGTGAGCAGCTTTCACTTGGACATGTCCTTTTGTGATCTGAAAGCGCGCACAGGATGCAACCGTCTCAGAGATTTCCACGGTGGCATTCTTTTTGAGGGCACCCATGGCACGCTGATCCCGATGCAGTATACAGCGGATGAGAAAATCCTCTGGTGCTTTGAGAAAGGTCAAGTCGAGCAGTGCGAGAATCGAGTTCTGAATCGTATTGCAGAGCTACCGGATTGGCCGGGTCGAGACCTCAAAGATCCAAACCGACAAGCCACAGAACTTATAGACGAAAAACGCGTATTGGTGTGTAAATACCGCCCTCACACATCATAATCTCTACCGAGAACAAATTTTGTGCAGTTACCAATGCTCTTATGACTTTTTCCCTACTTTTAGAATTGGACCTACAGACAATGTATCTTCCACGATTTGCACTATAGATGGGGGCTTCTCTAACTTCAGTTCTTTGCTCGTTTCATCTAGGTCGCTTTTGTTTGAGTGGTTAAGTATTGGTCTTGCAAACCTTGTCGAGTCATTTATTATCAGTTAGTGATAAGGAACCTTAGCACTAGTGATGGCAGTAGCCAAAGGGGTAGAAATTTCGACATGGTCTCTTCGTATGAGTCAGGTTATATCCGAACAATGCTGTGGCCACGTTGAATAGTATTGTGGCTGTAGTTACCTCCATTCGTAGATATATTATGGATCTTCAAGATAGAAGAAATACAGGGAAGAGGGCTTTCGCCGGTCAAATGCATAGTCCAGGATGTGCCGTGGGATATGTCCGATCATACCACTAGCCAAGTTCCACAAATCGCCACTTATCCATGATGACTGTGCCTATTCCCGGCGTTTCGAAACTACTCGATGTATGTACCGGCGGAAAACAAAGGAAAGAGCCTTGCCGGTTAGTTCCAAAGGTATGTTCCACGATCAACAGTGGTTCATGTCGGCTCATAACAATAAGAGGATACATATGTAAGAGCAATTCCCGGTCACATACAAAGGCAGGGTGCGCTGTCCCTGGAGTATTCAAGAAGCTTGTAACTTCGTAGAGGCAATATCTCTCCTAGTACAACAATATAAAGTGTGGAATGGTAGACACCTAGGACGTTAAGAGTCCAACCTTTTCGCATCATGCAGACCAGATCCGAATCGCGGGCTCATTATTCAAAACCTCAAAGATTTGTCCCCGAACGCTACGCGTATAATACGTTCGGTTTCCCTTGTCATTATCGTTGTCATTGTCATTTTTCCTCTCTTTACTCATCTTCCCACCCCTTCTCTGACAAAGAGTAATCTGAAGGGCTCTCGAGATGAACGCCGGAAGGATGTCTCCATCAACATCAGGGTCTCCCGTGGAGGAGCACACTCCACCCACCGGTGAAACTACGCATCCTCAACAGTATGACTCGGAATCTGAAGCGCCGACGAGCGTAGACGAACTTTTTCAATTACAAGATGTTCCGTTTAGTCCCCCACCTGGCTCTCAGCAGTTGGGATGGCAAGATCTGCCAGATGTTGGAACGTCATCTCTAAGCCCTGTGGACCATAGTATGCCAGGAACACTAGCATCTGAAGAAGCTGCTGGTACTTCAGAGCCTCCCCCACCATACGAGGATAACTGCCTTGCCTACGAAAGACAGGTTGAGCTCTGCAAATTTCGTATGTTTCCTTTCATTTTTGCCCCTCTTCCCCCGACCGTGCGAATACGTCAAGTCTATATTTAGCAACGCACGGCCTTAAAGTGGAATGAGAACTAACCACGGAGCAGAGATGGCTCTCGCGAGACTTAGCCCTCCACCCGGCTGGAAGGCCTATTCTTACCGGTTGGAGGGGCCTCAGTTCGATATAGGCTGTAGATACACCTTCACTGTAACCGGGTGTTATGTGGAGGTATATAGCTGTAAAGAATATGTTTCCCAAGCATTTGGACCGACTGCGCGAGGGCTTTTGGATGTAATCGACTCAGTTATACATAACCCCTGGACTACATACGGTATGGACTCCCTGATCTTCTAAGAACGCCGTGACACCTGCAGAATCTAACGATCCCATACAGCATCCGATACCATCAGATCCATCGCAACACCGGAAGAATCGACCACGATTACGGTGGTACTCTCACAAGACATACCTGGATTCCATCCCATGATGATGTGGCTTTGCTCTGTCTTCCGCGAGCCAATCCCGGGGACGGTCTCGCTCTCATATTGCAAAGTAAGAGACGGCTATGCATTTGAACCAGCGCCTTTGCAACCGGTACCCATCCGGTCTAGCCTTTATCGCTGCTGCACGGCGCTGTTCGGTTATTCCGTTGTCATCGCCGCGAGCCCAACTACTACCTGTACCCAAGAGTTTGGATTGGATGTTGATATCCCGTTCCTCAAGTCCCGTCTCGCAAACCGCGATTTGCATATCTCCGTCATGAATACTACTGACGATGAAGAGCTCTACTGTTCACTTGAGGTGGTTTCTCTTTGGGCGCATATTTCTGCCGCCGCCGTGGAGCGAAACTGGGGAAGGTCCAAAAGGGCACGCATACACTACTGTCCGTGTTGTATGATCGAGGGATATTGGTGTCCATTATACAGGGATACATGGGATCAGGAACAGTTCACAGCATGACTGGGGTGCAGAGAAAGGGGTATCGAGAATGGTATTTTTTGGACGCTAAAATGGGGGGAAGGAAAACAGAGAATGTCACAAAGCCAAACAAACAATGAGTTTTTTCATCTTCGCCGAAGAAGAAAAAAAACCAAAAAGAGAAACCAATCAAGTCATCTAACGCCATTGGCGCTGCTGGGAATCGAACCCAGGTCGATTCGGGATTGCGGAAATTACCACAACGAAGCATGATGACCACTACACTACAGCACCTTGAATTGGTGATTGGCCGCTCCTTTTTTTGATTGAAGAATGTATGCTAGTTAGGTCTGCTTTGACTTGCGTCTCTTGCCAAGAATGAGTTATGGAAAACATATTGACGTCCAAGTCAACTGAACAAGTATCTTCGGGTCGTAGAATATGTGAAATAGAGTCTTGACTATAAAGCAACTGGGCCAGAGAGCAATTATTACTGTTTCTATTTGAATCGTGGTTATAAGATAATCGTTCGCTAAGTCTTCTGCATGGATATATATTTCCAACCCTATCCTTCTGCTTTCTACAAATGATTACCCCAATCTGGTTAGAATACTGTAGAAATCTGACGCAGATAGCTCTACAGATCATTCAGGGTGTCTTCAGAGACAGGTATGTTCCTCTAACAGGCAGCAACTTTCCTATGTGTATACAGCAGAAGTGTAGCACGCTCACAAGATGATAGAACACTGTCGGGATATCCGATGTGTCGTCATGTATGTAAATGGCTACCCTATCGGGTACAGCCGATGACGGTATTGTATGAAAGGATCAAATATAGTTTCGCACCGGCTTGGCGTCACGGAAAGCCGGCACCGTGCCCGTTAGCCCTACCTAACTCAATCTTATCTAGTGGTATTAAACCGAGGATACTACGTCCTTGATGGTAATGACGGGCACTTAAAATACGATATGTCAAAAAAAGGAAGAAACTGACTTCATAGCTGCAACTAAGTCACCTCCTAAGTGAGCTGGGCATGCACCACTGGCAAGTATCACTCCAACATAATACTCTTAGTGAATTTCTGCAGAGTCTTTCGCGACGCCCAGTAGTGTATTTTGTAGCCCTCGTGGAATGATACCTGTCAGCTACGTAGGGCAGTGACCAGGCACGAGAACCACTACGTGCCAGGGCGATAGAATAGTAACGCCCGCCGGAACGTATTTCAATCTTGAAGAGTGATGTAAACTCGAACTAATTGTCCCATCAAATAGTATATATACACCAGTATAATCATCGAAACCGACGCGAAGTTCTAACCACACTCAATCCCAGAGCCCCAACAAGTGCCAATACTATTATCCACCGATTCCCCCAAACAAACTCCTGCAAACGATTCTGAACGAAGAATGTTCGATGTACTCTATGGCGGCGAATAGCAATCAACTGGGAAAACGTCGACCAGAAGGAGCCAATGAAAGACTCGGTCCTGACCATAACAGCGGCCTCGACGATAGGCCAGTATGTGGCTATACGCCATTGTGTCTCGTTGGAAGGATGAGCGTCTCGGATAGCGGTTGTACATGTCTCTGTCATCTCCATGAAATGTGCTCTGGGGCCAAGGCGGCGAACAAGATCAACTATGGCGGGATGGTCCCTGTTGTCGGTCGCGATTATGACGGGCTGCGTTTCGCTTTTCTGGACGCGTAGAACGTTGTTGTACAAGTATGATCCCGTCCAATCACATTTAGAAAAGATATGCTTGAGGACGGGGACCTGGCCGTGGTAGCAGGCGTCGTTTTGACCGAAAGACAGGTCGGACGGCCACATCCGCAAATGCATTGCTATAGCGTGTGGAACGAGGTCAGGGAGGACGCTGTCCACACACTGTTGCAGTGGGCGGGTAAGCTGAAAGCGACGGGCCGTAGAACGCCATTGATTCGGTGTCCAGGGAAGGACGAAGCCTTCGAGAACGAACCGGATGGCGCTCCACTGCCAGTAAGATTCAGTAGGCGCTCTGGCTTCGATGATTTGGCTTGGCCCCTCCACGATATCGGTATAGTAATCCACACGTTCAGTGGAAGCTGCTTTGGCGGCAGGATCTGACCACCGTTGGAGGTCTGTCTCGTAGCCCAAGGACTGGAGACCATGTTCGTCGAAAACGTCAGTGACGGGGATCACCTTTGCCTCTTGTACGCCGCGTATGGCGGGACAGGTGATGCCTGGGGAAAGGAGCTTGCGGGAGGGAAGAGGGTTATGGACGGCCGAGGCGAGGTGTAGTATGAACTGATTGTTGAAGTACGCGAAGTCTGGTGTTTCCCACTAGTTCAATGGAATGGCAGGTTAGATCAGAAAACTTGCTGAATTTCCAGGCATAAGGCTCACATACTGTGAAGTACTTCAGGTTGTGAACCTTGCTTGCAGATCGTGTAGATAGGATTGAGCGTAAATAAAAAGTCTGAAAAATAAAAAAGGCGGCGGCAAGAACTAGATAGATCTTCCTTCTTCTATTTACCAGATACATCGCGAATAGCACTTGAATTATGGAAGATGGTAACTTTAAACATAATGGTACCAGACAGCAATTAGTCGGCGAAACCTGACCTCTGCATCGCCCCTATATCTGATGAAACTACATTGTAGACTACCCGGGGCACCCATAGTGCTATGTGGGAAGCCCTTGTGCAATCATGCTTCGCTACTCGACCCCCAGAACCGTACTGATTGCTCACTACTCACTGGGATCCCCACACCAGTCGTGGACGTAGTGTTACGCTGTCCGGTATGTTTAACAAAAATGTCCATTTCAGATACTAGAACCCAACATAGTAGAATTGACGAATAACGTCTAGTATTTACTCCCACTTTGCCAACTGCCAGGCACTTGAAATGTAAAGACACCTTAGGTATTGCTATAGCGATGGAATAGAAGCCCATCAAGCGTCAATGGTCGTTCAGTGCCCTTCGCCAAGCGTCCGTCTTGACCTGTCGGGCAAATCCTTTAATGCTTCAATGTAACCTACCAGCATGCGCCCTCTCGTATTTAATTCGCGCGATGTTCTGTGTGTGGGCTACTCTTGTTCTCTATGGCTCCCGACTTCATATGACTGAGACATATCCACATGGAACCTCTGCCGTAACTGGGATACTGTAATATTCCCTATCAAACAGATCGGCAGTTACTAAAGTACGAATATCTTGATACATAAACGCCCTTTGGCCAAGACCAAGGCTGGTCTAATTGAGTGGCAGTATTCCGTATAGAATAGACATCCAGGATGTCTACGTTGATATCCCCTATACTACGCAATATCCACTTTTAAAGGGCCATCGCGTGTTGTGGCTATGTCTACTACTAGTTTACCAGGGCACGGTGATTCCTCTTCATTTTACTCTAGGGAAGGGATCTAGCTTTTATGGACCCTTAACCGGATGGACCGCCAGGCGGATAGCGTGTTCCACTTGTAGCCTTGACTTTCGTGTTGCAGCACGTTGTCCCCCTAGTTTTATTATAAGGCTCTCGAACATAAGAGCTCCGCGAAGAGATATTGCGTACGTGGGGTATATGGGAGTGGCAACAGCACCCTACCTGTCTAGGAATCGAGAAACGTACTGCGAGCAGGAGTATTGTCCGATATGCACGTAGCATGGCCTTTCTCGCGTGCCATGCAAAGCACACCGTAAGGACTTCGTGACTGGTGGGGACTTTTCTAGAGTCCACTGCCCCGATAGAAACTTACCTGCCCCCCATCCCGTGTATCCGGAAATAGGAGCAACGATTCCAAGGCACGGAGGAATACGTTTGTTGGGTGTTTCTTGTTCTTCGTTTCAGAATTCCCCTATTCCTCGCACTCTCTACTCTTCTATTTCCCATAAATGTTGATTCTGGCGGCTTTTGCTATCGAATCTACTCACCAACCCACATTATGAGGCTATTTCAGCTTTTTGTGCGATTTTCCTCGCTGTCGTTGGGGCTGTTTGGCACACCGACCACGGCTCTCTCACTAGACATCCATGATAGCGGTGAGTAGCTTCGCACTTAGCACATCCCTACCGCACTATTATCCCACTCATGCAGAAGATATAGCATCCCTGAAAGAGGCAGCGAGTACCGCAGCCCGCGGAATGCTGAAGTATTATCATGGCAACGAACCCGGCCAGACCCCAGGAACACTGGATAACACGTGGTGGGAAGCGGGCGCGATGTTCATGACACTGGTGCAATACTGGCGCGTTAGCGGCGATTCCTCTCACAACGATATTACAACGCAAGGGCTTCAATGGCAGGCCGGAGATGATCATGATTATCTACCTGCCAACAGCACTGCATACCTGGTTCGTGCCCTTCCAACTCTACCCTGGGACATACTGACCGATGCTAATGATCTCACATCGATACCACAGGGCAACGATGACCAGATGTTTTGGGGCCTCGCGGCCATGACCTGTGCAGAGACTACATACCCCGATGTCTCCGATGGCCCATCGTGGCTGTCCCTCGTGCAAGGCGTTTTCAACAACCAAATCCCGCGCTGGGAAATGGAAACCTGCCATGGTGGTCTGCGATGGCAGATCCACTCATGGCTGCCCGGGTATGACCTCAAGAACACGATTTCAAATGGCGGGTTGTTCCAGATAGCAGCCCGCTTGGCTCGGTACACAGGGGACCAGAAGTATGCCGACTGGGCAACCAAGATCTGGGACTGGATGGCTAGCAGCCCACTGCTGGACACAAAGACGTGGAATGTTGCCGATACGACGTCTGTGACTGACGAGTGTACAACGAATGGCAACGAGCAGTGGACATACAACTACGGGACGTTGCTTTGCGGGGCGGCATATATGTACAACTTTGTAAGTGGTTCCTGCTTCAAGACAATATGAGGTACGAGCCGCGCTAACACTATGTCGCAAGACAAATGGAGACCCGAAATGGCTCGACGCCGTCGATGGATTACTCAACGCCTCCCTCCGAATTTTCTTCCCGCCGATGTATAACAATGGTACCGTCCTGTCCGAGGTATCCTGCGAGACAATCGAGACCTGTGACAGGAATCAGATGTGTTTCAAAGGGTTCCTGTCCATTTGGATGGCCTACACAGCCACGCTGGTTCCATCCACCGCGGAGCGGATTACTCCCCGACTTCAAGGTCGGCAGAAGCCGCAGCGAGGCAGTGTTCCGGGGGCAAGGATGGGACCGAATGTGGGGTCCGATGGTACGAGGATAAGTGGGATGGGAAGAATAGTTTGGAGACCCAGATGAGCTCCCTGAGCATTTTTACTGCGAATCTTATGCTTCAGTCGAATGAGCAGCCTGTGACTTCTACCACTGGAGGCGAGAGCAAAAGTGACCCAAATGCAGGGACCGGAGGAAGATCGAGGCAGGCTGAGCCGCCTCGCAAGATTACAAGCGGTGATCGAGCGGGCGCTTGGATTATAACTTTACTGGTGGGCGTTGCATGGATTTCTATCATTGTATGGTTGGTTTGGTAGTGATCCTTCTCACTGCAGATATGTACGCATACACTTGTTTTTGATCCTAGGATATACTACGTTTGGAACTCACATAGACCACAGACTAAACATAATATCTACCGAAAGCATGTACTCAAGAAACCATAGAATGATTACTGATCCCAACGAAACGTTGATGCAATATGTGCATTGCAGGATTAATGATCAGGTTAATAACTAGATTCTAGAATATGACACGAAATAAGCCTAATAGCCTAATGAGTAAGTGAAAATCTCAATTGCTATCTCATGCGACCGTTATTTGACTAAATGGATCTATTAGCTAACCAAACGTTAGCCAATGTTCTATGGATCGCGTGGCTAAGAACAGGTTTGATAAAGTATCGTAAGATCATTGACTCGAAGTCTTGGCCAGTTTACACTCAAATAAGAAGGAGGAAAATAATCTGCTACCGAAATTCCGCCTTATGGGCAGAATATGTCTGCCTGGCGAGGCTTATTTCCCTGAGGCTAAGGCATTATTGTGGATCTGTTATCTTCGGAGGCGAGGATAGCCCGTGCTTGGCAGGGCTCCCCAAACCCCACAGAATGGCAGTGCATAAGAAAACAAACATCAGAGTTGGTTTGTTTCAGGAAGTTTGAGTTTTCCAGATACAGACGACGGTTGAGATCCCGAAGGCTTAGCACTGTATTTTATCACTGTTGTGAATGCTGGTGATATGGGCAGGTCAGCGATAGATTGTGATGCTACGATCAGGATTGGTGAGGGTGACAGATCCAGAAGGCCAGAAAAAGCTCATGAAATTAAACCACCTTGTGTTTCATATTCTGATGCGCTGGGTTGCACCAGTTAGGGCTGTATTGTTATTGAGGCTTGGTAGGTCAAGACACTATTCTGGATTGTGTCACGGTTAGTTAGACCAGTATTGACGCGAAACTGCTATATTCTAATGGAATAACTACAACAAGGTCTACTACTGTCATGTAATACTACCTTAGTATTATATCTGACCGGAATCTTGCCGGTGGAGACTTGCTCACAGTCGAATGAGATATGTGCTATCATTTGGAGGAACTATCAGAATGCTATTCATCGTGGAAAGGATAATGATTGGTTGGCTAAAACTTGCTGGAAAATCTGGAATTACGGAATGGAGGTATTATATTCTAGAACCAGGAACATTTTAGTCAGAACTCAAAGGATAATAAGTGGGCTGCCATGTTGACACAGCCCTGTTTGATATGAGATAGAACCACGAAAATGAGCTAGTACTCATACGGAACTGGGCGTCAGAATTTAGCGCGCTCCACAGTGTTAAAATGGGGCCAGATACAACTGGAGGGAGGGAAAAGAGAACTACGTAGTGTATTCCATGTATCTAACGACTGAGTTACAATTGACTCTTATCATGCATGCCCTAGCCCCTTCGGGAAATCGAATACCGTATCTGGATCTGCGATGGCCTTGAGCGACTTCAGACGTTCTAGATTCGCACCATAGTACGCCTGCCCAAACTCATCCAGATTGGGATCAATATAATTCTGATAGGCGTGCCACTGGCCACTCGGCTTAGCTTGTTTGATAGTGTCTGCAATGTTGGTAATTCTCCGGAGTCCTTGATCACGGGCGTCTGTAACGTTGAAGCCAGGAAACTTAGCTGAGAAAATTTGGATAAGGAACAAGCTCTGGCGATGAATGAACGATGTATCGCCGAATGTCGGTCCAAGGTTGGTTTTTGAGCCTGGTCCATCCAAATCAAAGGAAACATGGCTCTCTGTAGGTTTGGCGAGTTTTGCGTCTTCAATAGCGTCAATGATGAGCTCCGCTTGGTTGGACGTATAATTGGGGGCACCATCGTCCACTAGGGACTGAGCGTAATATGGTTCGGGAAGACTGGGCTCATCCAAAGAGCCCATCAGGTCTGTGAGAGCCGCGATCCAGTCGTTGAACTCTTTGATGGAGGACATAGAATTGACTGGCTCAATTCCGCGGTCTGCAAGTTTACCCAATAATCTATCGAGGACTGGCAGAAATGAGGCGCGTTCTCCCAAATACTGCCCAGTAAATGTGCAAGTATTTGCGTCAGGTATAATAACCTGCCCGCCCAGCTCGACTGGAAGGCCCTCGGCATCGTTGGCAGAGATAGAGCCTAACTCCTGGACTGCCAATAGCACGCCTGCACAGGAAGACTTGGACGAGAAGCTGATTCCATAGTTCACAACTGCAGTGGGGGCAGCCTCCAGAACATACGTAAATGAAGTCACAATGCCGAAATTATTAGCTCCCGCTCCTCTCAATGCCCACCACAACTCTCCATCCATACCAACTGAGCTAGAGTTTAGCAGCTTGATATTGCCTTCAACATCAACGAATTCTAGCGACACGACTAACAGCAAAGTTAGCACACTGTTTCTGATTAAGGGCCCATTACGTGTCTGGCTCCTGCACATATTGTGGCACACTTACTACGATCAACAAGCCATCCCCATTTACGCGACGTGAACCCCCAGCCTCCACCTAAGGAATGGCCTGCAATTCCGACTCCAGGACACGTCCCATGTGGGAGGGCATATCCCTTCTGACCCATCGCAATCGCCAATGGACCCAAAGTTTGACCAAATTGAACCGTGACTTCCCTCCTGTCATCGTCGAAACTGATCTCTCTCATTCGGCTAGAATCAATAACTACCTCACCCGAGAAGCTGTACGCAGCATAGCTATGACCTCCTCCGCGAGTGCTGAGCTTGACGTTCCCGTTCTCAGCAGCTACACAGCGTACGCTAGCTGCTACTTCTTCGGACGACGTGGGCATCACGATCACCCCTGGATGTGGCTGATAGTTGGCATTCTGCGGGCGTGATAGTACCTCGTAGTCTAAGTCGCTGGGGTATACCGCCGTCACTCCAGTATTATTTAGGCATTGTTTCAGCGAAACCGAGGGTGCCAGAATGTCCGTCCCTGCAGTCGCATGTGCGGAAAGCAGGCTGAGCGCGCATGTCAGTGTCAGCGCTAGCTGCTTGGTCGACATGTCTATTTAACCTTCCTGGGCAAAGGAGATACATGTGCTAATATGGAAACCAGTGATACGCATGTATGGGTTTGCCGCCAGCGCCACCCGGTATGCAACAATGACTAGTATTATCCAAATGTTATTCTTTCTTCTAGACAGAGACAGGGGAAAACAGGGAACTTAACAGATTCGAGAAACTTTGCAACTCAGGAGATGTGCAGAACGGGCCCGAACAACTCCGGCTCCCAGGAGCTGTATGCAAGGGGCGCATACCAAAGCAAGCCTCGAAAATGCAATGTGACCAGTCATTGTTTGCCAGTGTTTACATACATAGAATGGAAAAGGAATATCGAGTAAAGATTTGAATGTTATTGGTAGCCCAAAACGAATGTTGAATGCTTTCAGACCTATATGGTGTCCCAGCTAGATCGACTCATCTCAATGAATCTTCTTGACTGCTTGGAATTGGTCCTCCCTTCATGCCACCCTTTTCTTCTTGGTAAACGCTATTTTATATTATGGAGTCCTACAGCTTGCTCTCTACCTAAAATCCCCTTTCTGTGGAACGGCATTGGAAGTATTATTATCGTTGATGTGCCAGACTCTGGCTACTGACCTAAGGTTTAGAAGAACATCAGTGTACAAGGTTATTTTAGTATATGCAACCTGTAATGGGTGGATATGGGTCTGGAACAATCTTCGGGGAATATTTGACGTGCATAATCTATAAGCCAAGTTCGAAACGTCAAATTCGCCTGTCACGACTGTGATGTCGAATCGACCCATCAACCACCCGCCCTCATAAACAGCCCGGTTCCTCGTACATACTCCCCGGTCTCTCTTATATTGTTAAATCAGTCTGGAGGAAAGAAGCAAGAAACAGTTATATAGTTTTCTATCATACTATTTAACCCATAATAGACACAATTTCTTTTCTCTCTGCTAACGCATCCTTACCCAGTTCACAGACTGGAGGTACACTGCTAATGCTTATCGCCTGGAAGTATAATCTCGTTGGGAACAACCCCAGTGATATGGGACGTAATCTCGAAGAATCAAACGTCCAATGCAATTAAAAAAAAGGATATCTCGGTTGATGACAATAGGAGAGCTACTCTCCCATGGCATAGAGCTCATGGACGCGGTGCAATCAAGAGTAGAAGACTACTGTATGAGCGAACCATGAATGTGGTTCTGGAAATAAGCGAATTAACATAAGAACAATTGATATTGCCCCTAGCACTAGCAGAATGTAGGCCGGCTATGACTGCTCAATAGCATAGAAGTGCAATTTCTGCGACACAGAGAACATGATGGACAATCAGGTCACATCGAAGTATCGGATGGCCTTTCGATAGCTTTAGAGCCTCCACAAAACATCCATATCAACCGCGGCAACATAACCCTAATCCAGAGCCCTGCCATTGAAGATATTAAAAGCCTTTATTTCTTCCCACCAGCAGGAGTATAGGTCGATCCACCCTTGCCATCATTGTAATAGGTACTTCCGTTGGAGTTGGAGTAGTAATACGATCCGTTGCTGACGTGCGTTAGCTGGATAGTTGACGTTTTTCAAAGCATAGTGACCTGTTAGAGTAGTGGTATGCATCACCGCGACCAGAACCGTTTGAATCCGATCCAGTTCCGTAGTCGCGCGAGCAATAGTGGTTGCCCTGAGTTCAAAGGAGATTAGTCACCAGATACGAGCGTGGACTTATTATAATAACTCGTAGTGAAGAAAAGGCTGGTGAAGGGGTCAGTACCTGGCTGTTAGTGCCAGAGCCAGTGTATGAGTATCCTTTTCCAGAGCTGGACATTGTTACTTTTGACAATTTACAGACAAGAGATTGGAAAGGGCGCGAGATTGTGGAGTCGTGACCAGAAGAAGTCTGGGGAATTCCGCGGTTTAAATGCTGTCAGATTCCCCCGCTTCACGCCACTTCCCTAGATAGGCCTAGCGCTTGATGTCTTTGTTCTTCATGATATCAAGAGTCCGTTCTAGCCCTTTAGACCCTGTAATGAGGTTATATTCACTACATCATTACACTGTCGTTGTCCTATGGTGTCGGATACACGAGGAACCTGCTGTTTGCAAGGAGATCATCCCCAATTGTGACTATTGTCCTACCGAGTAGGGCTATTACCCGCTGCTGTTAGTCCAACATTGAGATCTCCGGCCGAGATGCCTGCCAATGTTACACACCAACGTGGCTCCCGGACCGAGAAGTAGTACTGTGGACGTCATTCAGGTAGGTAATTGTGTGTTATAAGGTGGAGAAGTGCCCGCACGAGCCCCTGTGTCCTTGCCGTGCTACTCTACTGACAATGAATGACAACTTGAGGTGGATCTACTATCACCGCTGCCGACTCCATGTGCTTTGGGAGCTACCTGATGTCCTATGAACAGGTAGAACTTTCGTTGTCATGGAACAATGTTCTAGAAGTCCGGATCCATCGATAACAGCCATTAGAGACCATCTTTTCGTGGTTATATTGATACTACATTCAAAAATGTTAATTGGGTTGATATGCTAAGAATAGCAAACAAAGTGACTCTACTGGCTTCCTCGACGTGGCTGTGACCTCGTATTGATAGGGACCACGCGAGGATCATAGCCGTTCGAGGTCTACAAGGTAGCATGCAGGTGAAGATCAACGGCTAGTACGATGTCTAGCGCGATGCCCACCTTAAATCCGCGAAGATAAACGGAGGACAGATGGTACGCCTGTCGATCAGCCAGTTAGACTGAACTTTTTTAAAGAGCCTGAAGTGTGGATGCAGTAGTCTCTGTGCTGCTAAGCGGAAGACAATGTCGATCACGAACCTTATCGCCGAATCTGCGTGCCTCAAGGGGCGGGCGATCTCGTGTTCAAGAAATATCGATCTTCGCGCTACTTCGTATTTGGAGCTGCATTACGGGATATTCGCGCATACACATGACGCTTCCCCCACCAGAGCAGAAGCATAAGAAGGCTTGCATGACCGTAAGTTAGACAAAACATTCAGACACGAAAACCTCCCAAATACCACTCAACATGTCTTCGTTCAAGCTCCTGGCCGCTCTCCTCCCAGCCCTCGCTGTCGCCTGCACTGGTCCTCCCGTCAACCAGAACGGTCTCAACCTGATCAAGAGCTTTGAGTCATTCCAACCCAGTGTTTACGACGATGGATTTGGCAACCCGACCATCGGTTATGGTCACCTCTGTGGCGATGCCACCTGCTCCGAGGTGACCTACCCCAAGCCATTGTCCGAGGCAGATGCCAGCGCGCTACTGGCCGGTGATCTGGTCGTAAGTTACTACCATGCAACAATTTCGCACCTTTTAAACTACACACAGACATGCTGAATCTCAACTAGTCTTATCAAGACGCCCTCACCAATGCCCTGGCGGACCCCGTCACCTTGAATGATAACCAATACGCCGCCCTCGTTTCGTGGACGTACAACGTCGGCAATGGTAATATGCAGAAGTCCGATCTTGTCGCCCGCATGAACAAGGGCGAGGACGTGGCGGCTGTCGCGCATGACGAACTGCCCCAGTGGAACAAGGCCAACGGACAAGTTGTCAACGGGCTTACTCGTCGCCGCAATGCCGAGTTGGGCCTTTTCGATGCCCCGGCTATCTATGGCGCTTTGCCTGTCCCTTGCTAAATGCATTACTGTTGCATTTGGATATCCTGAATACGGCTGATCCAGCTGGCGAATGACAATGTATGTATAGAATAGGTCAGAATTTTGTATATACTAGGCAGCGGTGGATTTGTATACAACAGTGAATTGTATCACTCAATGAAAATCTATTATAGATATGAAACAACGAGGAGCGTATGTAGCGATCTATGATGTGGCCTACTGAATGGGATTTCCTGGGGGCTACCAGCGTCAGCACTGACCGATAGCTCCCGCTGTCAAGACAGCTAGCCACTCGCTCCTGGGACACAATTGACACCAATCGACCCGGCATTGGAACATTGGTATTCTTGGCCTCCATTAGCGGACTGGACTTTCATATCAGACAGCGAAAGCCCACAGGTGCCCTTGGCCGGACAATTGATGCTGGCGACCGGCTCATCCTTATCGGTCTTGCCGCTGAACCCCTTGACAACGATGTCGGTCAACTTCGCGGTGCTAGGCCGAGACGCGCATTCCTTCTCGTCGGACCCGTAGCAGCTCTGGACCTGGAAGGCGTACGAGGTACCATCCACCATGACGTTCTCCCAGGTGACGTTGCTGACCTCGCTGTGCCGTATCCTCCCGAGTAGATCTTGATCCCAGCTGCCTTGGAGCATTTGGTCATCTTCGCGTTTTTGAAATGAATATTCTTGACGGTGTCAACTTCGCCAGCCGTTTTGCCAATGCTTCCGATACTGAGGCCGTGGGACCCTGTGCATTGAATGTTGGTCACCGTGATATCTTCCGCGCCATTCTGGATGGCAATGCAGTCGTCGCCGTTCTCAACTTTAATGTTTTCCATGCGAATACCGGTGCCGCCAAGGTCAAACCCGTCGGTGTTCTTCGGCAACGCATCGCTCTTGGACACAGCGGTGAGAATCAAATCGGAATAGGTCACGTTCGTAACGCTCTGCTTGACTGAGGAGAAAACATTTGGGGGGTTCCTCATCGTAAGTCCCGAAACGGTGACGCCGGAAGTTTTGCCGGTCAGGTAGAGTAGACACTTGACACGGGAATAATTCTTGTCTCTGTTTAGGAGGTCCCAGGCGGCTTGTCCGTTACCATCTATAACACCGGTTCCGGTTTTCGAAATAATACTGACGCCATGGACGTCTTCGAGGTTCAAGACCGCTTCTTTGCCGCTCCAGGCCTCGTATCATCTGATGCCAACAGCGTTCCCTCGACTTGTAAGGTGCAGCCAGCGCATTTGGTGAAAGAAAGTTCGGAGTTGATATGGTAGGTAGTCTTCGGTGGAATCATGATTGTGCCCGAGGGACACGCAGCCATGGCCGACTCAATGGCTGGGACATCATCCACAGTGGGCGATTCACCAGCGGTTGGCGTACAGGCGGGAGCCTGTCGTTCGGCAATGCGGGTGTGTTTATGACCAATGCGCCGGGACACAGCCGGCGTGGACAGGCAAAGAAAAAAGAGGAATAATTGCGCGTGGCTGAATTGCATGTTGAACAACAGTGGGTCAGCAATGATAGTACGATATCTGGTGAATGCAATGCAATGTTCCACCACCAAGGATGCAATACCCCGGCATGGCTACTGTTTAAATAGAGCACGTGGAACGCAACCTGTTTCTGGAAGAATAGGGGTCGTCTTGGCCAGAAGGATGGTCTTGCTAGGTGACGGATATGTGTCGCGACTAAATTAGGCGGGATGGTGTCTCAGATAACTGCGTGGGCTTGCCGATCCAACGCGGCCTATCGGTTGGATATGATTACGCGAACTCCTCCTGAACGGGTGCCGTATTAGCCCGACTTCTATTTATCTCAATTGCTCATCGTGTAGAACCTGTGTAGGTCTGTGACACTTTGGTAGGCTTGGATTACCACACACCAATTCCTACTTGCGGCATAGATGGTGAAGTCTCAAAACCTTCCTGCCGCATCCAACGCAAACGAACTGCTATGAAAGCTTCGCTCGTTCGCGGCAACGTCGGATCTCATACCCGACAACAACATTTATGGAGACGCGCAAAGCTTGGCGAAAAAAACTCCCCGCGCTCATATTGGACATGATCAGCCAGCCCCGAGGTTGGACTCTGGCAGGGGTGTGGGTACTAGCAATGGAATCTGTAACAACCGTTCAGGTGCGGCTTTCACCGAGTTGGTAGGACGAAGCAGGGGTGTTAGCCCCGACTGCCTCAGAAATTAGTGTGACAGGGTGGATCTGTGGCAATCGGAGCTTTAATGCTTCAAGTATATTTGAATTAAGCCTTCAACTGTCACGGCGGGTGCCCCAGGCACAAGCGTATATAGAGCCACAAACAATTCGTTCTGTTCCAATTCCAGTACATTCCCCCACATAATTCTAGACTTTCATATGACATGCTATTCAGTAGAGAATATTCAGTTACACCTTGAAATACAAATCAACGTGGGTGTAATTATCAGTGATAGCCTGGTGGAAGAAAAGTGTGTGCTTGGACAAGAAAACGTAGTCTCGTTGAATGTGTACAGTAATTTGCAGGACGTGAGATTAAAATCTGAAAACATTGTGAAGAGAGAATTAAGACTCTTTAAAAAGGAACTCACTACAAGCTGGGTCATCTTACTTCAATTACCAAATTCTATATACATTGTGGAGGTAGAGTATATATACAGGGCCATAATTGGAGATGCTTTTGAAGAAGTGCCCAGTGTGTGATCACGGAGGGTTGTCAGTGGCCAAAATGATAGGATCAATTCAATGGGGAATAGGCGCCTATTCATAACTCAAGCAAATATGCATTTAATCTCACTTGGGCTATAGCTACATGAGAAGTATTGGTAATAATAAAATTTCATAATGCTGTTGGACTAATGAAGATTAAGTCAGTACTAAGATACTCACCGTACAAAACAACAACCTTTATCAAAATCTAAAATGTAGGATTTTCTTTGATAGCTTTCTTTTGCATTTACATGTAAAAGCGGCAAGGACCGCAACCGTCTTGGTTGAGGTTTATAGTATTGCAACGCATTCTAGCTCCGCTAAATATTTAATCGGTTGTTTTCTGTAATAGAAATACGCTGAATACATTGACTGCGTGAAAACTAGAGTTGGATTAATCTTTTGATATCTGCAGCCCATAATGATAAGGTCTAAAAGCTTAAAACGAAGCACTCCATGGCCGTACAGTGCTTCCCGAAACACTCTCTATGATATACACAAGTTCTGGAATATTATTTCCAACCCTACATCCAAGCCTGGGCTAGTCCCTTTCTAGTTAGTCGAGTTTCAGAGGCCATATAGCCCTAAGTTGGTTTGTATTTGATGGATGCTCTTCTGTTGCCTACACGTAGAACTTCATTTCTCTGTGCTACTTTAATTTCGCCCGCCAGAATTAGGAATGCCCAAATAAAATGATTAAAATCAAGACTGCTATCAAAGCCCTTATGGAGTGTATCACGAAAACTACAAAATTCGCTCTAGCGTCAAGAACCAGCTTCACACTGAGCTTCTTCAGTCCCACATTGATAAACCATGTCAATCCCAATCACCCAAAACACCACATGGTACTAAGAAAAAATATGCGCCAGGTACCAAACCTAAATTTCCCATTCCTGATAACCCAATAAGAACACCCAACACGTGAGAAAGAAATCATTATCAATAACATCAGATCAGAACAGTATCACCAATTGGCTGGCCCATATACCACTGGACAAACACTTTAAAAGCTGCATCGTTCCCGTGGGTGAAGTCATACATCTTGGTTGGACGCACTACTAGCCTCTGGTCTTTGAAAAAAGCCTCAATTACTCGGGCTTTCAGTCCCATGAGCGAGATAATCAAGACCTGCCATATGTCAGTATTAAATATGAAATGTTCGGCTACTAACCAGAATACCCCCAAGTACTTACCGGCGAGACCATTTGGTGAACGAATTGCCTCTTCATAAGCTGAGCAAGCATAATCCGAAGGATTGGAAGTAACTCGCCGGAGAGCACTGTGTCATCCGTTGCCACCAAATTATTATATATGACGGCCATAACATGGGGGTAGGAGGGGCCATCAAGATATGTTATGCGGAAACACCCAAACTCAGGTTGCTCGTACTTAAATAAGCCGCGAAATGAGGTGTCTCCAACACTAGGTAAACTGGGTGAACAAAGGCCCGTGGATATATTGTAGGTTGCCTACCATCTTGAAATCCAAGCGGTCCTCACTCCATCGGTGAATGTTTCGCAGAAGGTCATATAAGACGAAAGTGATATATTCATCACGTATGCGCGATCGACAGGGCGAGTCAAAGAGTACTCTGTTTCATCATCTTGGCCATTGTAAGACTCTCCAAGAGTATCGGGAGTGGGATCTGCAAATATGCCTCGGTAGGGAGCGAAGTAGGACGGTTTCAGGGGTGATGCCTCATCCAAAACCATGAGATCGACTTCAATATTGTAGTTTTTTGCAGTTCTTGTTGGCTAAATTCCGTGAATCCAGAGTCTCTAATGCTTCGCGTTAACTGCTGCAATGCCGCCCGCATGTTGCGACGAGCCATGGTTTCCATTAGTTTTGACATGGTGACGGTATGCGAATGAAACAAAAGGATTAAGGCGGGATGGGAATGTGGTGTGAAGCGAATTAAGTAGTTCAAGGGGAAGGAAGGGAGAGATATCGGAGGTTATTTATGGAGTCCTGAAAAGATGGGGATTTTGTTTTCCAATTTTGGAATCAACAGACTAAATGGGTTTAGCGTTTCGTGTGGACTGACGCGCTGTGAAGGAAGTACAGTAGTTGCTAACCAATGCGATGGGGAAAGAGATAACAAGCGCCAGCCAATGGCCCCAGTCAAGCAAGTGGTCTAATTAATCCACTCATGTACTCCAACCACTCACCATCCCAGCCAAGGCGCATTCACATACGCGCTGGCGAGGCTGAACTGACCCATTAGGAGGATACGCTCATGTCCTCAGTTCGAATGGTTGGGCTGGGCTTGCTGTTGAGACACAAATAGTAACCGCTACGATTGAATTACGGCTCGAAGATGCCGCGTGTCGGGGATATAATAAGGGGCACTGGCCGGTATCAATTCTTTGACTTTTATGTATTCTCAATTCCAACTGAACTTCTCAAATTCAGGTGAACGAACCCGTCAGGTGTCCTTGTTCGGCTATATTACTGCTACTATCTGTGGAGAGACATCATGTCCGGTGTCAAGACATCGCTGCCCCGAAATATCAGGCAATGGCAGGATGAAATAGCTAGGATGAATCTCACAGGCCAGACTGTACACGGTGCGAAGCTTGCATCTGCCTCTAAAGTTGAGCAGGAGCAATTTCTGTTATTCCATGTTCTATGGGTATCTCGACGTATGGATGAGTTGCCGAGAATATCGTCCGGCATCAGCGAGTGGATCTCAGAGGCGGATACAATGCTAGGAGGTTATAAGTCATGGGAAACATATTGTCGGTCGTTTTTTAGTCCGAATATTGAAGAAGGGAATTTTGCGGTTGCCCGGCAGTATCAACTTGAGGTTACCGATACCCAAGATGACACAGATCTCCAAACCTTTGTAACTCCTATCGCACATCGAACATGTGCCCGTGCTCGTGAACGTGATAACCCGACAGCCGATGACCATATGGAGACACCTTCGAAGTCCACCAGTAATCCGAGATACTCAACCTTGAAGATATCAGGCTTGAAGATCCCTTTGTCAGTCCGAAGACCCCAGCCCAAGAGACCTCAGTTCAAGACACCCCGGTTCAAAAGATCTCAGCCCAAGAGACCCCGGTTCATGAGACCCCGAGTCCATTCCAGCCTATAACGCCTGGCCCAAAAGAACTGGAAAACGTGCTGTACCCTCCCACAAAGGATGAGCAGATAGTGAACTGTGCACTCATCCTCTTTCTGAATGCGCTGACCATGCATTTTAACCTAACCCATAAACGGACGCTACATAGAAAGGCCTTCAAAGCTAACTTTGAGAAGGCTAGTTTCGAAGCAAGGATTGACGGATATCTCGATGATCGCCGGGAAAAGCAAAAGTTATGTCGAGGTGAAACCTGTCAAACGATCAAAGAAGTCGATTCGTATCCAAATGCAGGAGGGCGCCCAAATGGTTTCTTGGATAAAAAGTGATAACGAAAAGCCTGGCGGAGTCGAAAAGATATATAATCCTCAACTTTTACTTCTTGTGCCCCAAATGCTACTCCAACGCTAATTCAAATAGGCGCATAATTGTCTCCCAAGACCGGCATTAAATATTCTTGACGGTTGCGAAGTACGGTGACGAATATATCGGATATTTGAGCGACAAGCATTATCAAGGCGGATCCAACTCTTTCATGACAATGCATCAATTTGGTCCATGGAATACATTGGATGTTGCTAGCATGAAGCTCCTCGGACCTATACTTCTGGCAATATCTCTTCGTGCAGAAGTCACAGATGGGAAGAACATAAATTGATCATATCTAACATTCGTCCTAAGCTGTCAAGGTGATCATTGGCTAGGAGCTCTTTCACCAAGAAGTGGTACTGTGCTATGTGGAAAGATTGGTTTTCCATCCACATATTTTCCACTGGAGGTCACAGGGCAAAGTGTTGATCATTCTACTCATTCTAGTTGGACTTTTCCGTATTATTATTTGGCTTAGCATAACGGTGACAGCCTGCAGTAATCAGCACAGGACTGCCGGGAATTTAAGGCACCACATTATCATACTTCAGTTCTGTGTCGATTGTGAGGCACGGTGGTTGTTAAATCGGCCACTGAATTCCTTTTCAAATACCGATAGCCGATCACAGACACCGGGAGAAAGTCAGTTCCCGCGAAAACCAGTAACCTCCAGCATCCATTACTGTTCGGTTTCTAGGGTGCCCGGGTCTACACTCCCAGTGATAACGGCTGCAATCTTCCATACCAGGTTGTATGAGTCCTGCATGGAGGTATTCATGCCCTGTCCACCCTTCGGTGCATGAGTATGGGCAGTGTCACCGGCGAAGGATATGCCACAAACGATGCTTAGAATCTTGTCATCCGAGGATCAGCTCGTCACCGGTCACTTCGGTATTCCTTGATCAATTGTCGCCCTATCTGTCCAGCGCCAATGATTAGGAGGTAGTGTACGAATCACGCATGGTCATTGTTTCTACTTGTGGGGCTGGATCTTGTTGAATAGTAGTCATGGGTTACTTAAGGACCGTATATAAATTTTATGTGAATATTATGAAGGGTCGTCAGCCTTTCGTTTTGCACCTCATCGACGTCATTCGCGAATCGCCACTAAAGCGATCTAGTTTTGTCGAGGCGAAAAACAACCAAGAACTATATAGCATTTTTGTTTTCACACGCAAATGAACCTCTCATAGCCTTGGAACTTCTTTGCTCAACAAATAATAGATTATAACCAGCCTCTGCTGGGAAAGAGCTGCCCATAACATAATTTGTTAAACACCGAAAGTTTACCAAACAACAAGATCCTCTCTTTTTTAAATATAGCCACCTAATTTGAAGAGCTCAATCGAGCCATAAATCAGTTTATGTACAATACTCGAAGTACCCAGCGGGCTCCCTGAACTTTTCCGTGTTGAGTATCTGTCCTTTTTGTGAGGAATACTGCCGAGATTGACCACAACCACTCTTATTTGATCTCCTACGGCGGTTGTCCAAACCGCATATTCCAGTTTGACACCTTCCTAGACACGTGCTAGCGGGCGACTAGTCTCCGATTCTATACAAGGCTTTCGTAAGTCTCGACAGTTGTTACATGCTCTGAACAGCATCTGGATGTGGGTGAAGTGCCCAACATAACCTCTTGAACGTTCTGTTCCGAACATCATCCGCGATTTTAGCATCGTACTCCGCGGCAGCCTCATGCTCCAACTCGTTGGGGTACTCCTCGTCATCGATAAGGATAACGTCGGCATCTTCCCTATTGGGGGGAACTTTTTCGGGGATATCGTAGAGTGTATATTCATGCCCTTCGTCGGTCTTCAAAGACAATTTTTCTGTATATTCGATGGGCTTTTCCTTGATTAGTTTAACCCTCTCCGACTCGTTGGTGCCATTCCATACAGCTCCACTCGGAGAAGAGTGTTTGCCGGCTGTAATGCAATCGGGTTCTAAAATCTTGGGGTTTTCACCGGCTTCTTCAGTACGCCTCATGAAACTGAGGATACTGCGCTGGTTAGATTACACATTAATCGGCGACCCGTTGCGGTGCGTATTACCACCAGCTGGGGGCGCTTTAGGGCCTTGACAGAATGAAGATTGCCCCTCTATGTCTGGCTGAATGCCTCTGAAAGATACCCGCTGGCTAATCAGGCTGACGCATTGCTGGTGACGGCATTGCAGGGAGCGATATTGTAGCTTGAGCGCTGATTTGATAATTCTTGTGTTGGTTAGACGCCAACGCCATGCGTGCATTGATGCTGTTGTATGTCTCCAGAGCGCTATTTATACGCGCCTCCAAGGTACGCAGCAGAACGGCGCTCTATCCCGTACACAGTAGGGACTCAACTAGAAGATGAGGCTGCAGGTAACAACAGTGAGGCCCGTAGCTGCCCCAGGCTTGTGTAGTGGGACCTTACTGGGAATCAGATCGAACAAGAAGTGTTGACGGTCCGCAAAGCCATGTCTTTGGATAGAACCCTGGTACACCGTTCACATGGATCCTGCCCTGTGTCTAGCCTCCATAGATTATCGACACTCCACTGCTCTGGCTTCAACAATGCCCAGTCAGTCATCAATTCTCACGGCCGAAAGGATGGTTTTGATGGTGATGGGATTACACTCTTTCTCAATACCTGTGCTACTCTGGCTCGACAGCCTTGCTTCAATGAGACCCGTCATGCTAGGGGAAAGTGTCAAAAAGATGGTTCTTTCTGAAGCTCCGGCGGAGCAAGAAACTAATAGCTTCAGTAAAGCACATAACAGACAGGGCTAAGGTTAGGTGGACTGATGAATGATATGATACGCTCATGACAACAGGAGAGTATTTAAGATGGGAGGAGTCTGGAAACGGCGCACCAAGACAAAAAGCAGTTAAGGGAGACAAAGAAGGGAATGAAGCAGAAATGTATGCCAGTGAACCCTTTGCCTGAGAAGGTGTGCTGCCTATATTTGATGAATTAAAATATCGAATCATCTATTCCCACGATGGCCCTCGTGACACAATAGTACACTAATATCAACTTACGCATTACCGAGGCCTGAACACATACACTGGGTGATAGAAAATGCACTAGATCCCTGTAGATATACACATTCAATTCCTGTGTGCCTACGAATACGCTCAATGAATAATGACAAGGAATACCCAGACAGGTGACAGACTTGACTATGGAGCCTGTGGAGCACTGTCTATAGGAGTAGATGACCATTCCCCATTATAGTAGTTATTAAATGCTCAAGTAGGCGTAGTAGCAACGGTTCCTATAAAGATCTGCATAGCTATGGCACTAGAAGCCCTTGGAAGGCACTTCGACATGCATAGTCAACTTCAATATCATGTCATTCCACAGCGCAATAGTGATTTACTACAGCTTCACGCGGACTTGAACTGTGGGATATTTGAAGTCAACCATTGTGGCTAGAGTATCAAGATTAAAATGATTACATACTATATGCCGCTCAGCTAATCCTTAGGGCTCAAATTTTAATCAAGTACTTTGACTCGTGTCTCACTATTGATGGTGAAATAATTTCCGGGTGGCACTCGTTGGCGCACTGCCGCCTATAGCAACTCAGCAACTGGGCGATCTTCTCGATTGAGCCGTGATTATCGTATTCTATACCGTGTGTGGACAACCTTTGTCAGGGAATGTCTCTGCTTACCGTCTACGGAGTCCCGAGTGGATCCTGAAACAATCTCCGAGACAGAACTCGGTCCACTTCCATCTTGAACATTTATAGAGGCATGGACTGTCAACTTGGGACAGCACTATCGTTCTGTTCTTGCAGGCTTTTCTATATTCTTGACTATTCTTCAGTTGCATCGTCTGGTAACAATGCGCTCAGTCTACGCCGTCGTCCCCCTTGCCCTGGCGCTGCGCGCCGCCGCTCTCTACGAAGACTGGCACTTTGGAAACATGTTTGCTGTTGGGCCTACAACAAACAACGCTCAAATCACCAAGCTACGTACTCGCTTGTTCCACCAGCGGTCCCTTGTGGTACTACCCAGGAGAAGCAAAACGATGCCCCCTGGCTGTCCATCTGGGTCGGCATCTCCGCTTCGATGTCGGATCAGGCTGCGGACTTGTTCCAGCCTCTGTTGAACTGGTCGCCAGACCAGCAATCCCAGTACGTTTGCCTTCAAGATATAATTACAAAAGTCAGGGTGCAATCGGGCAAAATCGCTGATTGATGTTAGGGCTTGTCCGGCTACGGCGGAGGAGTGGTGTGTCGCCACTAGCACCTATCATCTGTGTAGGTTACTGTGATGTTGTGAATCAGTGCCATACACTAATACGTGTATTCAATAGCCGGTCAGGTCCAGCAGCCGTATATCACTGTCCCCGATGGCTCGCGGCTTGACTTTACCAGTAAGCTCCACACCTTAATAACAGCCATATGAGATCAAAGGATTAACGATCGCAGTCACCGTCGATGATAACAGGATCACACAGCAAGTCTCCGTTGGTGGAAAGCAGGTCTCTGAGCAATCTGACGGTAATATTCCTACATCAGGCAATTCCCTTAGCCATAGTCAGCGACACTAACTGGTATCACTAAAGACAAATCCATCAACCCTACCTTCCTCTACTCCAGCAACGAATGCTACCTCGGCACTTGTGGTACGGTCGCTGGTTACAGCTGGGACAAGCTCACCATCCATCTCAGTGAGGCTGATCCCAACTTTGGTGAGACGCTGAACCTGTCGAACGCTACGTCGAGCGGCTTCACGACTTCCGATCAGGGTAAGACTTGGTACGCCGAGTCGATCAAGATCAATGAGGATTATTTCTATTCTGATGGATCTCAGAAGGAGTGCTCTGCTTAGGTTCATACCGATGTGATATGGTGGATGGATAATGGAGAGGGTCCTATTAAACTTATTTAGGTAGGAGGTAACTTTCTGGAGGCAACATGTGTAGGTCAGTACTGCGCACTGTAAATTATAGATAGCCTGTCTATATATAGATAATGGAAGCACTTATAGGCTACATTTGGTCCCTTTAATGAGAAGAAAGGGAATACTCTTGTCATGGAGTTGGAACAGACCTAGATCTATTATTTGTATCCATATACTAGTTATAGTTCTCTATAGCATCAGGCATCTCCCACTATTCCCGCGCTAGTCACAGTATACCACCTCCATTGCAATGACCTGTTATCGTCGTCTCAGAGATCCACCTAGGAGCACTTACTACCGCTTGCACAGCGATCAGCATACCTCAACCCATGTCCAAACTTAAACACCGGATTCCTCGTATCAAAAGGCACATCTTCCATCTGTGCTTCCACAGCCTCCATAGAGCTGGGTAAATCAAATGGTAGCTTTCCCTCAGGTGCGCTCACACCAAAGACCACATCCAAGAACGCATTGCTGTCACTTCCGTAACTAGCATAGACAGCTTTGGCCTGCTCAATAATCTCGGGAATAACTGCCGGGCGATCCATGACAATATCCACGATTGTCGGTACGGCTGAGTATATCTTCGCCTGGCGGGCTTTCTCAGTCTCGTTGAATGCGAGTGAGCCGGCATGCATGTTGGCCTCAAAGCCTCCAGGGCGAGGTTCGTAGGGTGCATTATACCGCAGAAGAGCATAGTCGGCTTCTTCGGGGCTGTCAACGACCGTGTAGTTCCATGATTCTATGAAGCTCGCGTTGAACCCTTCAATATAGAACTTTGTACTCTCTTCGAGTTTCTTCAAGGGGACAGTGTCTTCGCTGTTGCTGAGGAGAGTATACGACCTCCTCTGCGCCTCTCTACCAAGACGGACAAAGTAATCATTTCCAACAACTCGGCCAGCAGCCTCGGGGTCAACGAAAGGGTTGTCAAATAGGCCAAGAACAAACTTTTCTCTCAGTAACCGGCGAACAGAAACATCGATCCGATCCTCGGAGATGATACCTTCTTGGACAAGCTGAACAATCAGTTCTGGTCGCTCCTCGCCTCCAAACTGGTCACAGCCGGCGTCCAGGATTCTTGTCGCTCTCTCAAGCTCAGTCAGATTCTCAACACCCCAAGCCCGGGCAGGCATATTCTGCCCCAAGATATAAGTATCCGTAATGAGACCCCAGTCAGTTAACACGATGCCTTCAAAACCGAGTTCATTGCGCAATAACTCTGTCACAATTCCCTTGTTGAATGAGAAAGCGACGGGGTCATACTTCGTACCAATGGGCCGGGAATAGTACGGCATGATCTCCCTTGCCCCGGCCGCGATCGCCGCTTTAAAAGGTTTCAGGTGTTCCTCCAGATTGTTTCCCGGGTATGTTTGGTTTTTCCCGTATGTAAAGTGAGAGTCTTCGCCGTTCTCCACGGGGCCTCCTCCAGGAAAGTGCTTGGTGACCGTTATCACAGACTGGGGGCCGAGTTTATCACCTTGGAAGCCCTTGATATACTCCACGAGGAGCTCACTAGTAAGGGTGCTGTTTTCACCCCAGGTGTTACTGATACGGGCCCATCGTGGCTCCGTCGACAGATCGACCTGAGGATGCAAAGCCGCGCGAATCCCCACCGCAATGTACTCCTCCTTTGCAATCTCCGCAAACTTTCTCACGACATACGGGTCACGAAGTGCAGCAAGGCCAATTGATTCCGGCCATTGGGAGAACACTCCAGCCTGAAACCCGGTACCCAGATTTTCCGTAAAGGAATGACGGGGATCCGTCGATACAGTGATGGGAATGCCCAGTCTGGTCTGCAATGCAAGCTCTTGTATGCGATTGATAAACTCGGCTGTCTCTGTGGCGTTCGTGATATCGGTGGCGAGGTTGAAGTGCGTCATATGCTTTTCGCTGATCACATTGCCGGTGCTGTTGTGGATGTTGTCGCCGCTCCCTTCGTCATCAAGAGGACCAGCAAATAGTCTGTTATGGAAGAGCTGGCCGGCTTTTTCCTCGATGGTCATGCGGGATAGGAGATCTTCGACCCGCTCATCGATACAATACGACGCGTCTTTGTAAATTGGGACACTGTCATTGCGTCGCGACAAGGAATGGCTTCTAGGCACGTAGCCCCTGGTGGATAGGGCCACGCAACCTGAAGCCAGAGCTGCCAGGCTCGCTACTGCACTGTCAATCCGCATTGTGAATACAATATGAAAACTGAACTGGCTGACCTATGCTACCGAACCGCACACTTCCATCGGGGAGAAATACACACCTATTTAACATAGAGCGCCTTGGCAAACGAAGAAACCCCCGCACCTAGCTTCAAATATTTGGCTTTCCCCATCTCTACTCGAATGGCTCATGACCTACTCAGCCAAGACAACGGTAGATACCATCGGCATCGCCGGTTATGTACATGGTGAGAAAACTAGTTTCGGCTTTTCCGGAGATTAGGTCCCGTCTCAACTACCTCAGCAAGGGAAGTGAGTCCTGGGACCTGATAAACAGCATAAACCATGTATCCTGACGATTTCTGCAACTGACTGCTGTAATTGACAATGCTACTATACTGTTTAAACACCATATAATCCCATTACACGATGTAGAGATCACGGCAAACCCCATCGGATGCTACATTCCAACGAGAACTACGTCAATTGTCGTGCGAAGGATTGTAGTTGCCACTTTGCGGAGACCCCGCCTAAGGGATCAACTTCCCCACATACAAAGTGTTGTGAAGCCGACTTGGCTTTGTGGGGATATTACGTGACAGGGATGGGAGTTTCTCGTAATATGCCTATATCGCTCAGACTATAAAGCGGGGTTAAATGCTACCCTACGTGTGGCTGAGTAGTGGGTGTGTGTGTGTTGTCGCTGATATGTAGCATGTTGGCATTGATGGTGTGACAGACTGAAGGATGTATGCGGAGACTACTATTCTAAACTACAGCCATTCCTTATGGAATAGAGTCTTGGAATAGTTATCATCATTGAATATTATCGATCATGATATCCCCCACTCCAACAGTACACATCGCAGGCCCGATAAACTAGTCACGACGCATGTTCTTCAGGAATCCGCAGCAATAGCCTCTTCCTATCTCTCCATGTTCTACGTCCCACTTAGTTCCTGAGGGCTAGCAATGTCTGGTCTTTCCTAGAAGGTAGACACCATATTCTAACACAATAAATTTAGCTCAAAGCACGATGCCTCCCTAAGTTGCACACTCTTGAACTGGTTCCAGGGCTTGAGTCCCAACATATCATCCTGGATTCAAAGCATCCACCGAGAACGCCTCAATCACTGTAGCTCTGCCAGCGACTTCTTTCTCATACTCTTTTGGCTTATTGTGGGAGTAGTGCTTTTTATGCCTCAAGGAATCAGGAGTGGTTCCAGGCGCATTCAAAGGTGTCCCAGCGGGAATCGGAGTCGTTGGTGAAGAGATATGGGATTTCTATATGGTCTGAGAATGAGAGTTACTGCTAATGCTCGTGTCCTGTAACACGACAGGTTTTGAATAGATGCTTAATCTCGTTACTCCAGGATTGTCTATCGCTTTTTACCTCGCTGCCTCCGCAACTCTTTGCATGTCTGGTTCGTCTAGTTGATATTGCCATTGGACTTTTCCAGTGCTCCCATTGCGTCCTTACGGTCCACCCCACGCTTTCGCGTCAGGTTTCTCGCATCATACTTGTTTCTGACCTCCTGGAAGTCATAGTCTGTGCAATCATACCTACCTATCAACCAAGGAAGCAACGCTCATTCTTCGACCAAGATTCCCCAGGTCAGTCGTCCAAGGGGTCTTTATCTCACCAGTAAAGCGCACCACCCCTGTGAGCGGATGTAGGACGTTATTAGCTAGTACCTTTTAGTTAGTCATAGTCACAGGGTATTGGCACTTTGTAGCAAACTTTACATGAGACTATAAAGCCGAATGGGTCTTTATGCTTCAGATTAGCTGTGCTTCTATGGTCTATTTTTTAATATTCACTTTAGACGTCTTTTTTAAGTTCAGCCACAAACGGTGGATTCCCGGATGGAAGATTGAGTACCAAACACTATTATTCCCCATTGCTTGCCTTGCATTAATTTCTATTGTAAAATGAATGGATACACCACTTATTCGCTGCATTCTCGCAGTCCCCTAGACTCTTATACATAGTGAATATTGCACTTACAGCGTCGAATATATTGGCATTTATTATGATCCAGGGACAAGAGTTCAGACTCTTGAATGCCGTATCACTAAAGAGATGGGATAGGCTTACGATATAAGTGAAGCTCACAACGCCTGATGTGTATTTGATAGAAGGCCAGTACTCGTTAATCTGCGCTATCAGTAAGAAGTCTAGATTCCATGCTCTCGTTTCTCTACCTTCAAAAGACTGATAGACTCCTAACGTCTTACAATTACATCCTTCCATTCCGAAAGACGATTCCACAAACGTCCTCATCATCATAGACTGAACAAAGGACTTTCGCTCGCAATGCCAGTCGCTACACGTCGATCAAATTTGAGTGAATTGCACTGTCTCGTAGTTCATGTAAGTCAAATAGGTATTTATGGGTTTAGCAATAATGGGTCGCATGCATAGAACTTGAGTGGTTCGGAGCAAAATGGCAACCCATCAGACCCACTACAGACCCACAGACCATCCGCGTCCGAGCCAATGGACACCTTGAACCTTCTTCCAGGTGGGTTGTATGCCTCAGGCCACCATGCATTGGTAAGCGCACATGGCATATCAGCCTATGCACCTGGGACTACAGTAGCTGAAACACCATGATATGAAGGCAATGCTAATCAAATGGATACAGCTTGTATATAAGTACATGATATAGCCATGGTGAGTTAGCTTCATGTCTGGCAAAGCTCTGGTTTTGTCGAGCCCACCAGATTTAGCCCCATGATCTAATCGATAACGAACCCACAGGCCTATGAAGACTACTATATAGAATTACCAACAGCACGGTAGCTCGGGCATGCTTTTAATTGTGGGTCCATGTCCATTCAACTCCGAGAACCCCATAGAGACTAATCTATATCATCTCCGAGCCAGCGTGAATCAGTATAAATACCATGCTGTTTCCCTTGCAGACATGCATTCTAGTTGAGAGCAGGGACAAACGGCAGACTCACAGAGTCTCTAAATCCTCACCTTCATTATGATATATCATAGCGCTTTATCTCTAATGTTGGTCACCACTTTGGCCAACGCAGCCGCGATTATTCCTCGTGAAACTGCAACATCCTCACCCACACCATCCTCAATAGCCGTTCTAGATGATCCTATAGCCCGCCCTTGCATGGCACCTGGCGTCGTCTGCCTGAAAAAACATGCCGCAAATCTCCCATATCCCTTCTACCGTGCTGCTCCCAACGGCAGAGACATCCCAACATATGGAGATACTAAAGTCCCCGCAGATGCCTCCTGGCAAAGCGTATCAACGGCCAGCTTCATTGTCTTTGACGAGTCCCGCGCAGCCGAAGTCCTAGGAGACTCCCCCAGTGTAGAGTTTGTCTTCTCTGTGGATAATTACATACATGAGTCCCCTGTTTTCGTCCCAACCCAGAACCGCATCTACTTCTCGGCGCTCTCAACAAACCTCCCCCAATACACCATCGACCTCAACCAAGATCCTCCCACTCTTTCTCAGTTCACCGCCGACCCACCCATCTACATCCCCAACGGAGGCTTCTACCACAACAACACAGTCTACTTCTCCGTAGCAGGAAGCAACACCTCCGTGCCTGGCCTCGGCGAACAACGACCCGGAATCGTCACCCTAGACCCGGCAACCAACAAGTCCACCACCCTCCTAGACAACTACTACGGTCTAACCTTCACCGACTGCGACGACGTCATCGTCGACCCGGAGACCGGCTTCATCTGGTTCACCGCGCCGTATTACTCCTGGTGGCTGGAGCTCGCCGACATCCCCCCGCAGCTCAAGTCGGGCACATACCGCTTCGACCCAGCCACAGGCTCCACAGTCATCGCCAACGACGACATGTTCTCACCCAACGGTATCGCCCTCAGCCCAGACCGTCGACACATGTACATCAGCGATTCGGCCGCCTCCGGTCTCTCGGCGCCCATCTCGCCCGACGTTCCCAGCCCCGGCGGAGCAGGTATCTTATACAATGTTACCGGGACCCGCGCAATCTATAAGTTCGATCTCATTGATGATGGTCGTGCGATCATCAACAAGAGGCCCATCTACTATGATGCCATTGGGTCTGTTCCGGATGGACTCAAGGTCGCCCGCAATGGGTATGTCGTTACCGCGGCTGGCAACGGGTTGAGCGTGATGGATGAATATGGAGATATGATTGTGCGCGTGCAGGCGAATTTCACGGTTAATAACTTTATCTGGTCGGGTGCGGATGACTATCGTGAGGTGTGGTTGGTTGGTATGGGTGGTGTTGCTCGTTTGAAGTGGGGACTGCAGGGACAGGAGGCTGTTTGATTCTTTTTCTTGCATCTTTGTAAATGCATTATCCTTCGGTTGTATATATCTTTGGTTTGAGTGGAAATAGAGGTTTGTTTAATGGGTTTATGCTTACTTTCACATGTTGAGTGAGTATGATATTATATACGATCATGGGGATCTCATATCAGGTAGCTTTTACATTTTTTCTAAGTATTACACTTTCAGACTTGTCAAAACTGAAGACATGTATTTATAAGACTTACAGTATATACTGACTTGTGTGAAACATTACATAATATCCAACTCTTGTCAAATCTGGTAACAGTTGAGTTAGTCCACAACGTCTGGTGGAAGCAGCACCACGTAGTCCAAAGGAGCAGGTTCAATGCCGTCGGGCACCCCGATAATCTTCAACTGGTCACCCTTCTCAATTTCCACATCCCGAAATGTGACCCGCGTGGCGGAGTGACCGTCAATATAGATGGACGGTGTATGCCCCAGGGTGTTCTCACTGTTTCCCTCCCATCGCCCCACAAGGCGGTCATTAACATAGACTGTCCACTCGGATTTCCCACCATACATGTCATAGTAGTTGACGCCGAGATCATAGGTTCCCGAGGGTAATTCGAGTCTCGTTTGGGCTGTGCCCGTGGTGGAGTTTGAGGTGGTGACAACCGCGGTATAGTTAGATGCCGTCTCGAAAGGACTCACGGTGTACGGTTCGTAGCCATCTAAGGTCATAGACTCAGCCTCCACGCGCCATGGATGATGGCCGACTCGTTCCTTTTCATCTGAGATTCCCGACATGTTCCAGTAGAAGTTGTTGATGGCATCCCGCCATACGAGAGAATGTCCAGCCTGGTAGACTAAGCGAGACAGAACGTCATTGTAGCGTTGCTCGTCAACACGACCTCTAAGGGATTCCCACTGGGATAAGAAACGTTGCGCTGCCTCTGCACCATCATAGTGTGCGTCGTAGAAATGTTGGATGACGGTCTTCCCCGAGTGGAGACGGTGCGTATAGGGAACGTGATGGAACCACAACAACAGATCGTCCGGCGTGCTGTCACGGTCCTCATACACCTGTGCAATTTCAGCTGGGTATTGGCCAGCATTACCTGTGCCATTCTTCACGGTGCGGTCCATTCCAATTGTGTCGTGATCAGCACGCGTCCATTGACCCCAGCCATTATTATCCTGCGATGCGGGGTTGGGGCCGTAGTGTGTGTAAAGAATATCGGTCAACGTCTGAATGCCCAGGTTTCCTGTGTAATTTTCGTACGCAGGCCACGATGTCATGGATATGTCAGTGAGCGTATCTAACACAGTTTGATCACGCCCAAAGGTAAGGCGAATCCAGTCCTGAAGGATGTCTTGCGAGTCGTCCGTGGGACTCCACGCCAGGCGGCCATAAGCATATAAATTAGACATTGCCAGATGGCTACCCAACCATGTTGTATTTGTTCCAACATTAACCACCGCTGCCCATCCGCCCAGTTGTCGATCAAACCGTTGCCCCGAGATTATGTCGCGAACAAGTGACGGTTGATGGTCGACGCGCAGATCAAAATCCAAAAGCTCTTTCCACAGTGGAGATAAGTAGACCAGGTGATCTTGTTGGCCTAAATATTCTTGGGTGACCTGCAGTTCGATCGCCACGTTGGTCTGGTAGAGATTGGCGAATAGAGGAGACACCGGCTCGCGGACTTGGAAATCAATGGGCCCATATTTTACCTGCAGAATCACGTTCTCCTCAAATTGGCCATCTAGCTCCTTGAAAAAGTCCACTTGTGCATTCGCCCTGTCATTTGTCCAGATTGATTCGTTAATGTGATGATCATAGACAAAAGTGCGAAACATAAGGATTCCGCCGTGCGGTCGTAGGGCTCTCGCAAAGACGTTGGCTCCTTCAGCTAGCGTGCGATTGTATGTATCAGGGCCAGGCTGTCCTTCAGAGCTGGCTTTTACCAGATATCCTGCCATGTCTGGCACGCGGTCATACAAGCTATCGGTAATGTTCGCCCACCAGGAGATGACGGAGGGATCAAGTGGGTCGTAAGTGCCTAGGCCGCCCAAGGTATCTGGCGAAGCAAAGTTGAGAGAGATGCCGATCTGGATGCCATACGGCCGGAAAACATTTGCAATGCGAGCCAGGCCATCCATATTCTCGGAAGTTAAGAGGGTTGCATTTGCATTGACATTGTTGACGATAATACCATTTATTCGGACGGACGCTAGAAGGCGAGCATACTGTTTGACACGGGATAGATCCTCAACAATACGGCCATCTTTGAAGAAGATAGAAGGTCCAGCATATCCACGCTCAATGCTCCCATCCATATTATCCCACTGATTCACCCATCGGACCGGTGCATGTGCACTGGTGGAATAATCGACGTGAGAGAAGTTGCCCTGCGCAAGGAGTGAGAGATACTCAAAAGCTCCATACAGCGCACCTCTTTCATTTTCTCCCAAGATTTGAACAGTATCGCCATAAGATCGCAACCAGAAGCCATCAATGCCAAGAGCAGGGACTTCGGAGCTTCTGTTGCAGGTATGGCGGTATTGCTCGAGGGTAGCGACCAGAATCGATGAGCGCGAACCACAGTTGGACCGCTTGATAGGTAATTGCTTGCCAACGATGTTCTCCAGTCCAGTTTGCAGCTCATTAATAGCGGTACCTATGGGGCCCGAGTCGGTACTATTCAGCGTAACAATGCTCGATGGTAACGCACGCTGGCAGCGTTTGTCGCAGTGCACGGGAGCATATCGTAGCCATCCATTGAAGCCGTTCTCTGCTGTTGTGAGAGATACGAGCCACAGCAGCACGGTCAGAAATGGCCAGCGCATGTTGTCAATGTTCTCGGTCTGCTCTTCTCATAGGGCAATTGAACCATTTTAAATACCGAGATCTGCATCTTGTTCAATTCCCGGTACCTCCCACGCTAACAATACCCATGAATTCAGGCTATATTAATCCGGGGTAACGTGGGGTCATTGACCAGCCACCAAAATGTACCCCATATTTTTACCGTAAAGTAAATTGGCAGGCAGATGGGGAAACGCCATTGCGGGGAAATTGCCATGAATCAGACATGATTTTAGCCGGAAACTTTGGATAATCCTCGGTGATGAACAAGTGGTCGGGTTAGAATTTCGCCGCCGTCCGGACTGATTATCCCGGGTTCCAAGCTAGTGTCAGGAAGATTCCTAAAGTAGAGAAATAAAATTTAGAGTAAGTCTAGTGCAAGAGACAACAATACTAATTACGAGGAAAAATGGATGCTCTCCCAAAAAGGGATCCATACCGGAGCCGGGACACGCTAATCCCAAACAGGACATTGGGTGCCGACGTGGGATCATGTGACCCATTGTTTCCCTTTTGGTCTGTTTCTACCTTTGCTTTTTAATGACTTGCCCGTCACCAGACCATAGCAGTATACCGAAGTTCTGATAACGGACAGAATGAGTACTGTCGCTAGGAACTCTTTTCGTGCTCGTGCGGTACGTGTTACTCCCAATTAGATACCAAGGCCCCCCGATTAACCATCATCAGTGTGACAATTGCCGAGCCCGAAAGGTACGTGATAACAGCCATATCAGACCCTCCGACATGCATCTAACAATCTCCAGATCAAATGCGATAAGGCTATTCCATGCTCCAGTTGTGGTGCACTGGGGATACCTTGCAGGGTAGCCGGCATCTCTACTACCAGTAATAGCAGTACGAGCGTCCCAGAGCCTCGGCGGAATGAGTCGAGCCAATAGTAAGGCAGCATTGAAGGCGCCCTTGCATGCTCTTGAGGTTGACGATGGCAGCAGTGAACAAAAGATTGAGGCCCTTCAAGAACAACTTGCCGTTATCAATCAAACACTTGCGCAAATCACACAGTCTTCAGCTCCCAGTGCTGCTGGCTCGGTTTCCGTTCCCGAATCATCTACTCATGCCACACTACCATTCGAAGGGCAGTCATCCTTCCATCATGAGACACTGCTTGCTAAGGATGCGGCGCTGTCAGCCATCTCTACGTCCCACAACAGTGGACTAAATGATCATGTGTCCGCTGTCCTGTCGTCTTTGAAGAATAGCCTCACGGAGGAACCTTTGTCTCCCAATGGCTGTCCGACAGAGCCAGGTTTACCGTCATCATCACAAGACCCAAGACCATTACTACCAGTAGATCTGGTTGTCGCGGTGGTCAGGGCTGTAAAAGGTATGGATGATCTTTTGTCGCCCATCATTTCACCGACTGACTAGATAGCAAAACCTCCTTTTTTTCTTGTCAGCCATTCCTGGAGAGACCTTCTCCAAGTCGAATCTCTATGCCAATCCATCTACTTCCCAATAAACCCGGTCCCTGCGGGTTCTTTGACTCTATTGTATGGGCTTCTCTATTATATCATTCGTGATTATCTTCATGAGGGACATCCAGACCTCGCGCGATATGACCTGCCGTCCAGTGCAAAGGTTTGCGAGCGTCGCTTCTATCTGGGCTTAAACAGCGATGAGCTCATGGCGGACCCGACAATCGAAAAGATCCAAGCACTTTTGATTGGGGTAAGAAACTTAAGAACAACTCTGAACATCCGCTAACATGACCAGATAATCAAAGCCCAGGAAGAGTTTGATATTCAGCGTTGCTGGACATATCTATCTCTTGCGTTCAACATGTGCCAGACTATTGGTTTACATAGGAATTCTACTACCAACGGTGACCCATCTACCCTCGCCGAGACGAAGCGACATGCCTTTTGGTTGCTCTATACCATTGATAAGAACATATCACTGAATCTGGGGTTCACGTCACACTTCCAAGATCATGATATAGACGCAGACCTCTTTGCTCCCTCAGATCATCACCAATATCGTTCATGGGACCTAATGACCCTCGTCACTGCCGAGTTTGCGACAATCCAAGGAAGGGTCTATGATGAACTTTACTCTATTTCCGCTTCCAGGGCCAGCGATGAGAAGAGATTGAATTCTATTGAGAAGCTGTCTCTTGATCTGATTGCTGTTCGAGACAAACTGCTAGCGGTAAGCATTTTAATGAAACCCAATGCACCAGCGGCTAACTCCTTCTCAGATTGATGTCAGCGCGGGCCTTTATGCAGATTCACTGCATGGCATGGCTGCATGTGCCGATTTCATTACCTACTCGGTACTGACGGTTATCTATCGAGCCGAAACACGTCCTCGAAATGCCATGGCAATCTCATCCCGATGCTACGAGGCTGCCACACTAGCTTTGCATAGCCACCTGAAATGCTTCACCTATTTCCGCGGCCGCCAAACCCATAAGCAAATTGAATACGTTCACTGGTTAGCACATTGAACATATACGTTCGAAAGCCGCTGACACGCATACAGGATTCTACTTTATCCATCATTTGCGCCGTTTGTGATTGTCTTCACCCATGCGATTACCACTGCCAGCAACGCCGACCTTACTCTCCTCCAGGAGACGGTCAAGTCTCTCGATCTCATCAAGGGGCTATCACGTGGATCGAGGCATCTGTATACAATTTGTGATGCTTTTGCCAGAGCGGCACAAGTTCTTGTGGAGTCTCAGCAGACTCTGATGGGTCTGGAACAACACCAGGATGGCTCGCTCGTCATTCCCACTACGATAGATGGCCCAGCCAACATTTCTCTGCCAAACGTGCCGTGGCCGGAAGATACATTCGACTCTACTATGAGCCAGGAAGACATATCCATGTTTCTGAACGACTTCATCGGGGCAAACCGATCGGTCATGGATATATTGAATTCTAATTACATGAGCGACACTTTAGGCTAACAATCTCGCATTCAAGGTCCAATGTCTATCGCTATCTTACACACCAAACAACTGCTACCCTTCATGACGGGCTGACGTTGAATCTTAGATTACGTACTATAGCATTCGATTAGCTTCAATGATTCTCAAGGCGATGCATGATGACTTACCGGGATGAAGAGGTATGGGACCCGGCGTTCGTATTCCGCCCACGCCTCGCCGTATCTTTCCCGGCATCGCTGGATATCCCGAATGACGCGGTGGATAATCATGGTCGTGAAGAAAACCGAATAGAACCATGGGAATGGCGAGTTGAATCCTGTAATCAACCCCCAGGAAAAGGCGAAAAACCAGTCGCAAGTATAGTGCACTTTGCGTGCCTTACCGTCTACATATTCCGTCAGCATGATCAGACATTATTGGCATGTCCCTGTTTAGTAGCAACTTACACCATCCACTACACAGAATGGAGTCACCAGTTACGGTGGGAATCTTCTCTGGGTTTTCGATGTATTTCCAAGGGAGTTGAGGGAACGTCTTCCGGTCCACCCAGAATCCGCGCTCCTGGGCTCTGAACATATTCTTCTGGCTGTTGCATGTGTCCCAGACCCAATAAGCAAAGAGATACATCGCGAACAGGGCAGCCAACACAACGCGGTTCCAACGATAGGTCGATGGGTCGTGAGATGCGAGGTACAGGGTGCAGTGGCAGTAGCTCATTGGCACACCCGCGAGATTCCAGAAAATGAGCATGAAACCCCATTTCTCGTAATACATATCCCTATCTGGGGTTAGTTCCAACTACTTTCAGCGAGACGGTGGCAATCGGACTTACCAACTGGTGATAATTAATTCTTCGCCCTTGGCGCAGGCGTTGGCGTACAGGAAGTGGGCCATCAGCACGAAACACACCTCTCCGGAGACATAGCCCAATTCTTCCCACTGCTTCAATGCGGTGGCCAGGGATAGGAGGAACAAGATGTACCATGGGATGCGTACTTCGAAAAACATCTTCATGTCGAGCCATTTGAAGAGCCGAGGGTTCAGTTCGGCACCCATGAAAAAGTCGTAAATATGTGAGCCAGTCATGCGATGTTGCGCCCCTCGGGCCAATGCCGACACATAAGCGACAATGGAGACCAGGAAGCCTGAGCAGATCGCCACCGACATAATCGAGCCGAACTCGTTAATCAACGTATCAAGACGAAAGATGCCGGTGAAGTGCAAGGCCAAGGAGCCTGCAATGGTTATATACCAGGCTGATACCGCCGAACAATAGTAGTCAAGCTGCTTCCCGTTCAAATGAGGCAAACACTTTCCTTTGCCGTATACTCCGGGCAGGTAGATGTATCCGATCCCTTGGAGGATCAGGAAGGTCCAGTAGATGGCCCATGCTCGCCGATGAGGGAACGCGTGGGTGTATGCCAGGTCGAAAAGATGGTACAGGAATTCACCGATGGTCTCACCATTCTGCGGTGTTGGAGCACGGCCATCGTAGAGCGTCGCACCAATGTACATGTAGTACATCAGTAAAGGAAATCCCAACATCAACGCTGTCACTCCAGCTGGACCACCGAACTCCATGTGAGTCTCTGGTGCAGACGAAGGCTTCGATACTGGCTCCGAGGAGCCATTGGCCGACCCATTTGCACGACGGTTTCGAGGCATATCTGCTGGAAAGCTATATAAATTGGTGAGTTTGGGATCTCAACATTCCATGTGCGCTGTTCGGTTCTTGAGAACGAGATATATAAAGTGCCGGGTACTCACTGATTACCAGTCGAACTAGACGCCGACATTTTCCTCACTTTCGCACACAACGCTTTCGGACCCAGAGCGAGACTTTGGGCTACAACTGGCGAAACAAATTCATCTTTCCTACCCTCACTATTTAAATGAGCCCTGAAGCCCCTTACTTTCCTACTCGGATCGCCACCCACTGAAAACCGTGTGATATTCGAGTTCCGTGCTCTCCGCGGTCTCCGCGGCGGCCTCGGGCCCCACCCGCAATACTTACCCACTGCGAAATTGTTTCATTTTATTTGCTCTCTTTGTATCCAAAAAAGAACAAGCAGAGAGAGACACAGGGAGAAAAGGAAATGCCGGAAAGGCTATGTTCATAAGCATTGTTGTGCCTCCGCCCGATATGAGGACATTGCCGATTCTACAACCCTGGGCGGAGTAGCTTGGTGGACACCGAACCACCAGTCAATGGGTATTTACTGGTGACCTGCTCCGTACAGCACGGAGGCATCAAGTCAATGCTTCCTCGTTCAGAACGTTATGCATCGGACAAGTCACAATCTCAAGTCTGGCCAACTAACGATACCTGGATAATAAATAATAGACATACTTTTGAAATAAGTTTCTCTACCGCCTTAGAATATCAGCGTACGATTGACTGATTTTATTTTTCCTGAGACTATTAACAAACCAGGATGAGCTGCTAGTGCCCTACTTAGGAATATAATGTGAGCAAAGTTCGTCAGATCAGACTTACTCTGCTTGTGAAAATATCACATTGAGTGGCCCGATTCGGTACTACCTGCATGGCAAATCCCAGTAGCGAAAATCTGGTTGGATGGGCCACGTTCTAGCCTCAGTGGACATCCAATGGCTACGAGTTAATCTACCGCGAACGCGCGGTCGAATGCAATGAACTCTGCAGTGTAACGCAATATCCTGACAATGGGAATCAGCGATGCTAGCGGACGCAAGGTCAGAGTCAAGTCTCCAGGGAAGCTATTAATGCATCCAAGGTCACTGGCCTACCCACTGCACTTCTCACCATGACGTTGGACTCATCTACTCTGAGTATCACCAGGGAGACGGCCCGAATGCCATTAAGATGTACAGTTTAAGCGCTTTTATCCTCCTAGGGGGAGTCCTGGGGCTCTATGTCCTGTTGAAGTCAAAGGCGTCACGAGCCCCTCTGCCTCCAGGCCCCAAAGGACTGCCCATTATCGGCAATATTGGTAGCGATCTTCCGCGCGGCGGGAAAGACTGGGAGCATTGGCTGAAACACAAGGATTTGTATGGTATGGACAGTATTCCCGGCCACCTCTTACTCTGCGTTGAAATTCTCATCTGGATCGCCGCCAGGGCCCATTAGTTCGATCACGACGGCGGGGCATACCCTCATCATCCTAAACGGCGCCAATGTGGCAATGGAACTGCTGGAGAAGCGATCGGCACGATACTCAGCTCGACCGAGATTGGTGATGGCCCATGAGCTGTAACTACCTCTTGCTCCATCTCTTAGACTGTATACAGACTACGCAGGGGCTATTCAATTGTGCGTTGCTAATACCTGCGTACCTCCTTCCCTAGTTCTGGAGCCGACATCTTTGTCACCATGCATACTGAAAACGCTCTCGTTCATGAACAACGAAAACGCATACTCTCACAGCTGCGCTCGGAACGCGCGTTATTATCGCTTTACCCGCAGGTGGATACGGTGGTCCGACGCTTCCTGCTGCGGACGTTGCAAAAACCAGAGGAGTTAATGGATCATATCAAAACGTGAACGCAACGCAGCCCTTGTACTTGAGGTCTGTTAATTATCGGCTAATGTGATCCATAGAGGAATCGGAGGAGTTATACTAAAGATCGCATACGGTTATACCGCCGGGTTTCATGGTCGGGATCCCCTCATCGATCTCGTGGAAAACACATCTTTTGCATTCGGCATAATAAACCAGCCAGCAGGTTGGCTGGTGGATAGCATTCCCGCCCGTAGGTCACCCTTCCTCGGTGTGTGCTTGGTGGTGGCTTACAAGCTGGGTCAGTGAAGTACATGCCGAGTTGGTTTCCGGGGGCAGGGTTTAAGAAAAAAGCCAGGGAGTATCGACGCGGATTTCACACATTGGCTAATTGGCCGTTCGCCTTTGCTCGACATCAGATGAAGGAGGACAAGTATGAACCTTCATTCGTTTCCAGACAGATTGAGCAGACAGGCTCGACACTTAGTCCCGAAGAGGAGCTGAAGATCAAACGCTCGGCAGCTGCGGTCTTCCAGGCCGGCTATGATACGGTGCGTGAAGCTAGCAAAGCGTCACCGCGGGGCCATACTGATTGAAGCTATAGACGGCATCTACCATCACATCCTTCTTTTTGGCAATGGCGCTGTTTCCTGACGCACAGCAAAAGGCCCAGGAGGAAATCGACCGAGTCATAGGAGCGAGGCTCCCTACGCCTGAAGATCGGGTGAAATTACCCTATGTTAATGCACTTATCAACGAGGTCCTACGCTGGAACCCAGTGGTTCAGATAGGCATCATGCACGCAGCCACAGAAGATGACATTTACGAGGGCTACCTGATCCCCAAGGGGGCCCCGATCGTCCCCAATATTTGGTGAGCTGCTTTCCCTTATCTACGATGCCGTCAATACTAATCTCACGCCTCATGACAGGGCATTTGCGCACGATCCAGAGGTATACTCTGATCCCATGTCGTTCCGGCCCGAGCGCTTTTTGGCATCGGACGGACACACCCCAGAACGTGATCCGCACACGCTGGTCTTCGGATTTGGACGCCGGATTTGCCCCGGCCGTCCGCTGGCGGACTTCAATAACTTTCTCACGATCGCACGGTCACTCGCGGTCTTTCGTATTCGAAAGGCCATGAAAGATGGCAAGGAGATCGACCCCATCGTAGATATCAGGAGGGGATCGTCGGTCACCTATCACCGTTCCAAGTGAGCATCCAGCCGCGAAGCGCAGAACACGAAGCCCTCATCCGCTCCATTGAGGTTGAAGGGCCTAGTTTACGAAGCGACTCGGCGACACTTGAGTCACTCGTGGTATAGAGTGTATACGTACTATATGTACTGGCTTCCCTAGAACGACCGCAGGTTTCCTATTTTGGACGCCTCCATCTTAGTGATGTACTCAGGGGGCAGACCAGTAGCCTTATATTACCACTTAGATCTACAATTTATAGCTATTACTGAATCTATATTTTAGCTCTCTCCGCGGACCATCAGGGCTGATATTATGTCATTCATATTTAACTGTATTTACTGTACCTCTGGATTTGCTTACTGCGTAGTCGCGCGGCTTTCCAAATAGGAATTGGATTTTAACCAAGTTTCCAGTTCTGTATTGTGTCTAGCATCAATGATATGAGAGTATCAGTATTTTACTACTTAACAGTTTATACACGTCCAAAACAGTCTAATGGATGCTGTTACAGCATCACCGAGAAACTTTGTCTTAGAGATTACGTTGAACAGGGCGAGAATCCTGCCCCAACTAATAGCACTTTTTTTTCTGATTCCGTGATCTTTTATTATGACCCACCTATTCTCGGTACCCGCTGCCGAAGTAATTGGGGCCAAGTATATAGCGTCGCCATCATTTAAGCGTTCGATAACCCCAGATATTCTACTACATGTACTCATAATTTATTCATACCTACAATCAAACAATATGTCAACCGATCAATACGAGTACTCGTTCTTCCGCATCGACAAAGAAAACGCAATCCAGTCATCAGCCCAAAAGTACAAACACCTGCGTCTCCAAGCCCTATCCATCGCACCGACGTCTTTTTCCTCTACCTACGAGCTCGAATCCTCCCTCACAGATCCCGAATGGGTGAACCGCCTTTCAGCGAACGGACGAGAGACTTTCATATGCGCTGCGAGACCCACACAAAACAATGAGCCATGCTCACAGGTCCCAGAGTGGGTCGGCCAGCTAACGCTGCGGGGCCCACTGAGCCCCGAAGACTTCATCCTACCCGAAGAATCTGGACAGAAGAAGCCCACTGGAGAACAGGACACAGAACTCTGGCAGATGCTCAGCTTATTTACGCTTCCGGACCATCGCGGCCGTCGCCTCGGGAAGAGGCTGTGTCAGGAGGCCTTGAGGTACCTAGCTTCGTATAGGGACTCTCCGCGAGAGCTCTGGGTGCGGTTGATGGTGAAGCCTGAGAACTATGCGACGGTAAGCTTGTATCGGGGGCTGGGGTTTGCAGAAGCGGGGAAGTGTACGCTTGCTGAGGCGTTGGTTGCGAATGGTGATGAGGATCTGTTACCGGGAGATACTACTGGCGAGAAGTATACTTCGCGGAGTGGATTGATCATGATGTTAGAGATTTGGCGGTCGTGAGTCGTTGATTTGTTTGCTTTTCGTAAAAGGGTCAGTGAAGGCAGTGCCATTCGGATTTGTTTAGATGGAGATGTCATCTTTCGGTAGTAGACTAATTCCCTCTTTTTGATATGGGTGAAACCTGTCCACTACTTATCTTGTAGACAGTGTCATCAGGGAAACCCATCGGAATGTGACTCTAATGTAATGGCCCGTCTTCAATGGTGACGTTATAGTTCACAGTTGAAAGTCGGATCATCTGATATCGCCAGGCTGAATGCCGCTTCAACGTCCAAGCGACGGAATCCCGGTGCACAGCCTAGACATACCCCCCTGGAGAGAAGTTCTGCTCAAAATGTACCTTTAGCATTTCTGCGTATCACACAGTACAAATAAGAGGCGGAGATAACAAACCATTGAGAAATCGGTCCACGTTTAGGATCTTGGCACTCCGCCGCTGTGAAGACAGAGAGGGCTCAACCCCTTGACATAATGTCATGTCCCTGCATGATTTGAACGAACTGACTTCCGACAAGTACATGAATGACTGCACTCCTCCAATAACAAGTCCATTCTCTTCAAGCCAGCCCTCGATATCCCGAGGATCAAACCACGTTTCATCATTAGCCTTGGACGGTATCTCTGGGACATTCTGGACAATGCCAAAGTCCGTCGGCCTGTTTTTATAATGCGTTCCCGCACCACCCAGTCCATAGACATATGCTGTCTGGTAATCGGCATTCGTCCGTAGCAAGATGTCGAAGGTCGCAATCATCGTGTTGGCGTCAGAGTAATGGAAAGAGTACTGGAAAACGCGGGCGACCTCGGCCCCGTCCGCACAGGGGTTGGTGAGTAAGCCGTGAGCACGCTTGATGCAGCTGAAATAGAGCCGCTGAGCAAAATTCTTGGGCAGTGGGACTTCCATTTCGTAAAAAGTAGATGGAAGCCCTAAAGGAAGCGTAAGAATAGGCGTTGGCGTTTCAATAGGTACAGCGGCTGGTAGCGGAAATTCTGTCGCGCAAGAGGTGTAGATGTTGGGAAAGCAGACTGGCCCGGATGGGTTAGGATCACTGCTTGAGTTGCTATGGTGGACGTGTCCATCATCGCGTCGTGACTCGTTAAAGGGCTCCACAATCTGAGAAGCAGATAAAAAGTCGCGGGTAATACTCTGGAGCTCGTGCGTCAGATCCGGCTGTGTTAGACTACTTTCCGCCTTGGTGACGTGGGGTAGCATTTCAAAGAAAGACTGTTTCATATGCCTGATTCGACTTTCAAGAACCTGCACGTAGTTCATGCGCAAAGCATCTTCCTCCTCTTTCCGAGACCTGTAAGTCCGTTGTGCTTTCCGGACTTGCTTCCGGCGCCTCTACGCTCCAGTCAGATAACCAGTCAAAGCATAATAAAGATGGAGCGAGCAGTAGGTTCCTAAACATACCTCTACTAGGCCTTTTTGCGTAGGGTCAATCGGGGGTCTGCCTCGCTTTCCTGTACGTAATCGACGAAGGCCATCTGAGGTTGAAGAGCATCCCTCATCTTCACCTGACTTCCCAGGTAGACTGTTCAAACCTGCCCTTGAAACAGACCGGCTGGAAGACATCGTGATCGTATACAGATCTCTGAATTTATGTACTCACCGGGTTGGCTTCCTATCAGATTAATCGCGGGGAATACAGAAATGGGTGGCTGCGGTGGTACTGTACCCACATCCCGCAAACATTCCTAGGGAAAAGCCAATGAAAACTCACCTGAGCGCTGTGTAGTATCACTATTGGTGTGCTAATAATAGTTATTACTTAGTGACTATCCAAGTTATTTAGATTACGGAGTAGAGACCCTATGAGTACAAAATCGTACAGTGGGTACACTGTACAGCACCTGTGTTGGCATGTTGCAGAGTCTAGGAGAGGAAAAGCGAAATGCCCTAATCAAGACCGAGTGGTAGAAGATCATAAGATCAATTAATTACCTGAGCAACTTTAGTAAAGAATAACAGGATAAAGATGGGATAGAAGCTAGTGCCCTTACTGTCTTTTATGTCAACACCCTGAGTTTCTTATATTCTTGGAAGTGAGTGTATTCAGAGTTTCAATATAGTCCTCCACACTCTCTGTACTATGTATGTAGGATCTCGAAAGGGATTGCTGCGGAATGTATTGCTGGCCACATGGAGATAGAAAGCAAGGAGATTTACCCCGAAGTACCGATTTAGCATTCGGTTTGACTATATATCTTTCGTCACGTAGGTTGTATTGCCAAAGTATTGAAATGTTTGATGTCGATGTCATGACTCATGGACTCATAGTGGGCAGAAGAGAAGCTATACCACCTCGGGCTAGTGGCACGCTAACCCCAGAACAGACTAGAAAGCATCATCTCCCTTATCACCAACTGACACTATCGGCTTGCATAGTTCTGGATCAATCTCGACTGATGAGCGATTTCTCTTGCAACCTGGCGATGATTCAAAAAGTTTCCTCCGCCCAGTGAGGTTTCCACGATCGGCAGTGACAAGGTTCAAGATAAGGACCCTCCCTGATACGACGTGCTTGGATCCTCCGAGTCTATTCGCACGTCAGGCATTCGCATCCATGGTAGGCCTGTGTCTCCAGGGGGCAAACGGCGGCCAGACAAAAATCTAGACAGACCTCCCCATTCGTCTTGCGCGACGATTAACATTCTGATGCAATCTTGATATCCAAGATGGTCTCCGCTGCTCGTTTCACTGGCTGATCGGTCGATCATGACGCAACAAGGTCCATGGGCAGACAAATGAATGGAACATGACGTCGACGGCTTCCTTCCTTGTTGGGGGTAAAACACCCCTAACTGACGAGGACAGGTACGATGGGAAACAGTTAAGGACACCCAAGGTCGATAAAATCTCTCGTTCACCATGCACCAGCCGTCCCAGTCTCCCCGTCCATACCTACTCTCACATCATCCGGGGTGAAGTGAAATTCATCGCTCTTCTTCTCACCCTAATATCTAGCTTATCTTAATCCTGTAACGTTCTGAATTATTCTTCTATCTACATTTCTTTATCCCACAGTTATCGTCATCCCACGCAATAGTACATCATGAGAGACACTAGACGCACCGGCCTCAACATAGCATTTGTCTACGATCCAAAGGATTACTATGAGTCCATAGGATTTTCCAAGAGCGAATGCGCCGACCTAGCAGACGATGTGACCATCAACGGCGTAGCATCAGCCCTCGAGAGTCTCGGCCACCGCGTGGTCCATGTTCCCGGGATCAAGACTCTCGTCAAGCATCTCTCAGCAGAGAATCACAAGCAATGGGATCTCGTCTTCAACTACAGCGAGGGCGTATTCGGCTCCGCCCGTGAGTCGCAGGTCCCCGCCCTGTTAGAGGCGTATCAGATCCCTTTTACCTTTTCCGACTCCGCGACGCTCGCAACGGGGATCGATAAGGGAAAGACCAAGGTGAGTTGTACTCCGCAGCGTTCTTCATTAAACACCAAATCCTAGAGTATCTAATACTGATTGATCTACTCACATTACTTAGATGCTATTAGAACACTATCGAATCCCAACGAGCCCATTCGTCATCGTCCCCAGATACGGCGAACTCGTAGATTACGCCACTCTAGAAGACCAAATACCGTATCCACTCTTTGCGAAGCCAATCGCCGCATCCACATCCAACGGCATATCGCCATCGAACAAAATCCTGCGAAAAGAAGATCTCCAAGATGTCGTCGAGGACCTCCGCACCCAGTTCAAAGACCAAGAAATCCTCCTCGAGAAATTCCTAGACGGTCGCGAATTCACCGTAGCCATCCTTGGGACCGGCGAACAAGCCGAAGTACTAGGCGTCTCCGAGGTGACATGGTACAACCCAGCAGGGAGAAAAAGCGACGACCTCTCCGTCGACTTCGCGACAAGTTTCTCCAAGGAGGGCAAGGGTGACGGGCATGACATGGGCCACGTTCATGCGGACCTGGCAGATCCTCTGGTCAAGGCGGTAGCTGAGATCGGACTCTCCGCATATCAGGCACTCGGTTGTAAAGATGCAGGTCGGGTCGATATCCGCCTGGATGGTGCCGTGCCATATGTCATCGAGGTATGTCTCCCACCGAAAGATACAATTGCATGCCCCCTCTTAACCTGCAATAGGTGAATCCGATCTTCGGACTACGACCGGATTATTCCTTGTTCACTTGGATCGCGAAAAACAACGGAATGGAATACCAGGACATCATCGCGGAGGTTGTCGACAATGCTCTACTGAGGCAGAAACCGGCGATGGTGCCGAATGGTTTGAAGAATTAATCTCATGCCGTATAGACTATATCCTTGAAAGACAGCCTCTAATAAACAATACCGGGGCCAGAGCAAAAAGGGGGATGTGAGTAATACTTACTATGGCGTTGTGGCGTTATTCAGGTGTTCAGCTTGGGAAATATAATAACGCGATTCCCACGGTATCCATTCGTAGACTTCAATTAGATAGATAGACACCCATTTGCAACAGCATAGCTCGTCATCGCTATTTTCAGGATATTATTTGGTCGGTGCTTGAAAGGAATCTCTCGTCTAGAGTTGATATTGACCTTTCCCAGGTGCGACAAACCCTGATGCGTTTTAGGGGAAGAAGAGACAACACGCAGACAGCGTCATACATATGCCATATACCCTAGACTTACATACTAACTCGGCAGATATACGAGCAAGGATACGACTAGGTTTAGTAACTTTAAACACAATAGAAATGAAATCAATAAGATTGTTGTTATTTTAATGGGCATAATCCCGAACCCATTTCCCAAGAGCCTGTCACGCAGGCAAATCAACAACGCCAGACACCATCCATGCCAAACCGAACCTTATATAATGATAACACGAATGATCCCTGGCCCTAGCGCCAACTTGAAGGGTATTTGTATCCAAAGCACAACATTAAACATAAGCGCGTCATGTCTCCACAGGAGACGGGCCACGAGAAGAAGAAGAAGAAGAAGAAGAAAAAAAGAAAAGGCAAACTATTTAACTGCGGAAACTGTACATGCGCACTTCACCATCCTCGCTGCCGGTCGCAAACCGACTGTCGCCGAGACCGATACAGGTCACTGGTCCTGAATGGCCGGTGAAGGTGCGCTCGCATTTGCCGGTTCTGGGATCCCAGATCTTGACCATCCGGTCTTCCGCGCCCGACACAATCCGGAGGGTATCGGCACCGAGCGCCCAAACGCCTTCGAGATGACCGAAGAAGGTACGCAGGCAGCGACCGGTCGTGGTCTCCCAGAGTCGGATGGTGGAATCCAAAGCGCTGGTGACGATGTAGCGCGGTGGGGCTGGACGGCCATTGTCAAATGAGGGACCAAAGACAGACATCTCAGAGAGGTTCGACTCCAGTCCGAGCGCTGCCTGGAGGGCGGCTGGTTCCGTATCTCCCGATGTGGTGCTCATGTTATCGTTATCACATTCGGCGTCGTGCTCTTCGAACTCGAACTCCCGGGGCAAAGGAACCACCTGCTGAACTTGGCCGACATGGCCATGGAAGGTGCGTAGACAGGTCTTGGTGTCCAAGTCCCACAGGCGAACGGTGCAGTCATCCGAAGCCGAGAACACCGTCCGAGAAGTGGTGTCCACTCGGACAGCATTGACCCAATCGGTGTGCCCGCGCAGGAGAAACGTCGACTTGTCCTCAAAGTTCCAAACCTTGACCGTCTTATCGACGGAGGCTGATGCAAGAATCGATGCGTCAAAGTGCAGTCCAATTACTCCTCCACGGTGACCCGTGTAGGTGGAGATACACTCGCCCGTACGCCAGTTCCACACCTTCAGACTGCGGTCCATACTGCCGCTGATCAGTTTGGTGTCGTCAAACTGGAGACAGCGAATACCAGATTGATGTCCGCGGAGGGTACGTAGCTCTTCTCCGGTTTCGGTATCCCAAATCTTGATGGTCGCGTCGTATGAGCCAGTCGCTAGAATGTTGTCCTCGAATTGCAAGCACATGACCCCGTTGGTGTGGCCTTTGAACACCTTGGTGGAGCACCGTCCATATTTCCAGTTCGTGCCGACCTTGAAACGGTCCTTATAGACCTCCTTCCACGGCCGGTAGCGAGTCGTATAGTAGTCATCGTCTGGCTCCGATCGAGCATCCAATGAGGAACAATGCCGCTTCACGATTGCCGTCTCGTCATCGCTCAAATCCGCCTTCCGTTTTTGAGTATTCGAATCGTCTGCATGTGTCGCACTGCATTCGGCACCTCCTGCGTTCTGCGCGGGTCCGCTGACGTCCCAGTTCGTGGCACGCAATTCAATTTCACGCTTGGACTCTCGCAGACGTTTCCGCTCTAAAAGAGGAAGTCCCCAGCCACATTTCTTGCATTTGCGGTGGATGTGCTGTTCGCACATACGATGCCAAACCACATCATCGTCTGCAAGTGCCCGCCAGCGGCTGGACACCTGGGCGGCTTTACACAGCGAAGTGGTGTCGAGGTAGCACAGAATTTTAAACGAGATCTCCGGTGGAAGAGCGGTCAGGAAGTCGATTCGGATGAGGTCTCGAACGGTAGCGGACACGAACGAAAGTTGCGGGAAGCAGCACTGAGCCATGATCCCCTGGAGGATCAGTTTGCGGTGCTTGGCCGGAGCGGCCGAAAAAAGAGACCATACATGGGCAATGCCCTGTTGGTCCCTGGGAGGCAGCGTTTCCAATTCCTATAACCCATTAGCTAAGAGAAACATGACAAGCCCTAAGAAGCCCTACCCTCTGTAGTTTATCCATGGACGGCTCGTCTGCCTGTCGTCTGCATTTAAGGTCTGGCCGGTGGCGATAGCAAAATTTCGAGTTTGGGCTGCTCAAATCCTCCAGCTTGTCGGTTCTTCGTGAGCCTAAGGGATCGTATTGTTCGGGGATGTGTTTGACGAGAAATGGCGTAACATTCTCGTTTGCAAGCTTTGCGGGAGTCGTCGCAGCGGCACCGAAACTGTGGGGCTTTCGATGGTTAGAATCGGTCTCGGGTTCAATTTCCTCAGCGGTGTCCGATGCGCCGCCAAAGATGGACTGGAACGACTGCTGCTGCTGTTGTTGTTGTTGTTGTAATGATTGTTCGTGCGAGGGATGCGTAGGTTCTCGCGTTGGTTGGGCCATTTTCATCAAGAAAGTCTGCGAAGAGTCGCTACCTTCACGCACTGATCGGTCGTCGAACTGCATCGTGTGACTGGGACGAGGTCCTACCGCCCGCGCGCTACCGTGGTAGCAGCCGTAATGAAGAAGGGCAGAACGGAAGGTCGAGAAAAAACAAAAGGACAACGAATATTACGCCAGCAACCACCTTCGTCTGGGTTTGCCGCAGTCAAAGTCAATATTGCGGTACCTGGTCGTGCGCCGATAGGGGAGTGACAGCGGCGACCGTCGGGAATTGATGGGTCGGGTCGCAAGATAACGAGATTGAGTAGTTGATAGGCGGGGAGAGGGATGGCGACAGCGAAAGCGGCAGAGAGAGAGGATGGAAGAGAGGAGTAGGGTCTTCTTCTTTCTACTTTCAATGGTCCAGCCAGATCCGAAAGACGTGCAGAAGGATGCGCCCGAGAAAGAGATCAGGGGAAAAGAAGACGATCGGAGAAAGCATTGTACTTGTACATCGGCGACCTTGTTGGCTCCTTCGATCACGCAAGCGCCATCCAGCGTATCGTGCTGCGCTAGTCCCCTTGCGGGGAGCCCTCACGTGACAGCGATGGCGCCATAGACGCTCTTAGTCGCATCAGCACGACATCTCGACCCGCCAGAGAAGACGACGAACTGCTTCTGTGTTGCACAATTCGTCGCCATTGTCCGCCCTTATTGCGGATCCCCCAGAGTTTTCAGAAGCTACTCTGGCTCTGTCTTGCGCTATTCTGGGATCCATCGCTTGGCGCTAAATTCCCCAGTGGGCTGGGTGCCAGCAGCGACGTACTCTACTCCGACGACAATCAGTTCTACCATTGGGCCGTCGTGCTTCTGACCAACCATTGCTCTCCCAGATCTATACGCTTGCTAATTTTTCTTTAATTTTTCTTTATGGATGTTTTGCCTCTTGTGATGATTACCTAAGTTAGTGCCGGAAACAGCCTCATCACCTCATTTTGAATACCCTGTTTCGTGGCAAGATTTCTAGAAACGTGGAGTCCTTGAAACATCACATCATCTCGGCTTCAGAACGCGGCAAGATCAGACAGTCCTTCCATATTGAAGGCTTCCTGAGACTCAATTTTGATTTGGACGTCTCACCGCTAGAATCCGAACCACACTAGTCCCTGTTAGTCGGGCTATTGATGGTCGAAACCACTGGTTGTTTAGGAAGGGATAAACGTTGCTTGGCCTCTCCAATGGAGTGATGATGGCCTAAGTCTGCGCACTTCTCACGCCAGATTCCCTGCTCCTCTGTATTCCCCTGCTCCAGACCGGTCGCTCGGCCGCTCGCAGTGTTGTGCCGTCCATTCATTGGACACTCAAGCTCATCGGCGAGTGATCTTATGCAAATCACTTGCGGTAATTTTCCATTATTATTTTGCCTACCAGATTGATCTGGAACATCCTCAACCATGTCAGACTCAGAGTCATCCGCGATATCCAATAATGCTTCTCATCACTCCCCGGGACAGGAGAACTCAATGCCTCAGCTAGAGACACTCATTTCGCATTTGGTTGCGGCGAAACGGTCCCTGTCGTCCATCAATCACGTCTGGCGTGCTAATGAGATCGTCACGGCCGCTCGCTCTGCATTGGAAGAGAGCGTTGTAGTCTCGGCGCGTACGGGTTTCCTCCGCCGGGGGCTGAATAATCAGCTGCGCCTTCTGTATAGTGTCCGTGCCGAGGTCCAGGAGGTCTCTTTGCGCGGCCGGTCAGAGTTCGCTACCGTGCTAAAGAGCCTTGATGCGGCAGATGCAAGACTGAGAAAGACGTTGGATTTGTTGCGAGAAACCATTGTCCACGCGTCATTCCGCCCAGACGGTGAAGAATCCAAAAGCTTACATGACTTTGTCGATGAGCGTGGGGTGGACGAGCTACATACAACCCTCAAAGGCTCAATCGATCGGACCAACGCGGCTCAGACGGACCTAGAGTCGTCTAATCGCGCTTTTGACGATGAGTTACAGTCTATCAAAGAAGCACTCGGCAATTACCGGGCAGCGACGCAGCTCGCGTCATCCCGAACGTCCGCCTCTTCGTCATCGCCATCGACCTCCAACGCTAGCTTGCCGTCTCTTTCGTCAATTCCATCCATGTTGCATTCCCTCGAGATGCATGCCCAAGAAATGGCTAACCTGCTTGAGTCCTTAGTGCGCCACTTTGACCTCTGTGTCACTGCGGTCAAGCACACGGAAGGTGGCGGAGCAGCTGCCCGATCCATTACGGGTGACGTGCCCGCTACGGTGCATGTCAACGGGCGTGTTGGTCCCAATATCGAGGAAGGCATCAATGCCAACTTGAATGCCCCACTGGACCCGCTAAGTGACTCGGAATATCAAGAAATGGTAGGCGTGCTAATCAAGGATGCGGCCGAAGCGGAGGATGTGGTTATGGAGATTCAAGACCGCATCGGCGAGATGGAGACGGTGTTGGAAAATGTGTTAGCCCAACGGGATAGTGTCCTGTCGGTATACAACGCGACGACCAGTGTCTTCAAACACCTGTCAACACTCGCCTCGACCCAATTATCGGGATATATAGCCCAGGCGCACAGTTTTACTCGTGCCTGGCACGAAGAGTACGAGAAAATACAGAATGGCTTGGCCGAGCTGTCGGACCTCAACACACTGTATGACGGCTTCCTGGAAGCGTACGACGGGCTTATCCTCGAAGTTGCGCGCCGACGGCAGGTGCGGCACCGGGTGGAGAAAGTCCTCCGCGACGCGAAACAGAAGCTCGACCAGTTGTATGAGGAAGACGTGAACGCCCGCGAGTCATTCCGCGTAGAGCAAGGGGACTACCTCCCGTCGGATATCTGGCCCGGGATTGGCCGAGAGCCAATGCGGATTGAGTTCCGTCGTATATCCGGAGGTAATCTAAAAGGCATAGCTGCGGAGCCACCAGACCAAGAAGCCCCGGCAGTGGACCCCAAAGAAGATACCCGGGCAGTTTCCCCGGGAGATGGCGGCGAAGATGCTGAGGTCATTCCGGAACTCCCAAAGGCCCTTGTTGAGGAAGCTATCGCTCGATTCAATGCCCGAATGCGACATCTTCCCTGATCACAAGCTGCGCCATGCTTAGATAGCTACCGATCTTACGATATTCGGTTTTAGATAGTATCTTGTCAGATAACCCAGACAAAGTCAGGCGTCTCACCGACCATGCGTGGGCTGGGAGGTACCGATAATGCTTCGAGTAGGTGTTCTGGTGCCGCTACATGATCTAGATGATGAATTCCAAAAGCAGGCTTAGTCCTAGTCCGATAGACACGCCAACCCCGTCACTCCATAGCCACCACGGACGCATACTCCATGTTCGCGATGTAAGCGCCGATTGGTACGGATATGTGATGATTGGGTGGTTGATATGAGGTTCAAAGAGAGCTCTGATAGGTCATGGAACGCTTTAATTTTTTTTTATTCTCTTTGCAAATCTATATGCTCGTGTGATGGTCCTTATATATGCGTCGAACCATTCTCTCTATCCATCAAAAAATCCGGTCATAAATCTCATGAGATCGTGCGCAATAAAACCCCGTCCTAAGCCCGTAATAATGCTGAAACTTTTGTTGAACCCAGATAGAAAGTAGCGAAGCGAAATCACGTTCATTTCTTCTTTCGTGAAGAAGTAGACACCAGACGTTTCTTCATGTGCTTTGGCATCTTGTTCGCACGCTTCTCCCGTTTCTCTTCCTTTACCTTCTGCTTGTGGTCACGCTTGGTGTCTTTGTCCACGAAGCGCTTTCCGCGCGGAGTCCCCTTGTCAAAGGGGTCCTTTTCTTCGTCGTCCTCTTCGTCTGACCCAGAGCCTTCTACGGAGACTCCGCCGCTCACATCAGAGCCAGCATCACTCTCCGCGTCGTCAGGTTGCGCAGCGGATTTGCCACTGGCGAGAAGATCCCGATAGACGAGGTCTTCACCTTCACCCGCATGAACCTTCTCGGCATCACGCTCGATATCGTAAACCTGTTCTAGTGTCTGGGGGATATACTGTTGGCGGAAGACGGCAGTGTCTAGTTCCTCGTCTGGTATCTCGGCTCGGGCCACGAAGAGCTTTTCAATGGCTTCCTGCATTTCTTCGCTCTGATCCACGGTAGCTGGGCCTTCGGCTGAGATGACATACTCGAACACCATCCGCTCAGGCAAGACATCGACGGATTTACGACGGAAAAAGTCGCTGATGTTTTTGATATCCATACGCAGGAATTCCAAGCTCCGAGGGTGGTCATGCTCGACACTCTGACTGACATCGATGATGTGGAGCTTCTTCTTGTGGTAAAGCATGTTGTACTCGCTCAGATCTGCGTGAACCAGACGACATGTCTGGTACATGACGCGCATGTAGCCAAGCAGATCGATGTAGAGCTCACGCCAGCGGGTCTCAGGGTTGGGGATGTCAAATTCGACGTCCTTCAGACGAGGCGATGCAACTCCCTTGGAGTTACCTAGGAATGCCATGACGAGGACATGAAGTCGCAGGTAGACCGGCTCTGGGCAAGGAATTCCGGCCGCGTGGATTCTTCGGAGGTTGCGCATTTCCTTCTCGGCCCACAGTTTCACCATCGCCCGGTTGTTGCTCTTACTGTAACCCTGTCTGAATCTGAACTCGCCACTCACGTACTTATCTCTGTCCTTGAAGACTAGAATGCTGGTTTTGTAGACTTTAATGGCCCGGTGCACGGGAGCAGCATCCTCCTCATCCTCCGGGAATAACATAGAGTAGTAGACGTTGGCTTCTTTACCCGTGGAAAGACATCCGTGAATCTCCGAAACGATGTTGCGGTTGATCATCTGCAGCAGAAGCATTCGTGTACGGGGATCCAAGACCTGCTCCGAAGTTGCTCTATCGGCTCGGTCATTGCCGCGGTCCCCGCGAGCCGCCAATCCGGACTGTACATCATCAAGCTTGAGCTTTGTGGCATGACGAGTCAACGACTTGATCTGGTCATCAACTGATGCACGGGTGTTGATGCTAGGCTTTTGCGGATTGGTCTTCGGGTAAGTCCACTTGGGAGCATTCGGGTCGGCGGCGAGTTCGTTCGCTTTGCGCTGGCGGTTAAAGGCCTTCGTTAGATCGGCGGGATTTGAGGAGGAAATGTTCTCTGCCTCCAGGTCGTCGTCTTCGAAGATATCATCGTAGTATTCCTCCTCCTCGTCCTCCTCGTCCGCCTGCACCGCAGGATCTTGCCCCGCTATAGTGGGGGTGGTGCCATCTTCATTGATATATCCTTGATTGGGGATGTAGGTGTGCGAAGGTGATAAACCATCAGCCAGACCAGGAGCCTGGGCACTTGAATCCGTCGACGCCATGGCGAGCTTCGAATTCCGAGAAAAAGGGTGGCAAATCGACTCGATCGTGGGCGCTGAAATCGGCAAAGAAAAAAAAGTTACTGATATATTCGATTAAGTGTGGACCTTGTGCGTTCACCGCCCGGCAGAACCCCGCGGGTCGCAACGCGTAGGCAAAAGAAGGCAGAGCGATCGGCCAACGCGTGCGTCGCAAGTAATCAAGCAACTGTCAACTCCGTGCTCCAGCACCTCGGACTCCTACACCACCTGTAGTCCGCCCTTGCTACTCGCCGTCAGGGCATCGGCTCCTGATTTCTACTGTCGGTTGCGTGATGATCTGGTTGTTGTGCCTGCCATAACCTCCCGTGTCAAGCGCGCCTTGTCAACATGTACGTCAAGCAAATCATTATCCAGGGCTTTAAGAGGTAAGTCGCGCGATATCTGAAGTGACTGCGGAGACTCTTCGGGCATCCAGACTAACCGTTCATTATCTCCGCATAAAAGCTACAAGGATCAAACGGTCATCGAGCCCTTTTCTCCAAAACACAATGTCATTGTTGGTCGCAATGGCTCTGGCAAGAGTAACTTCTTCGCGGCCATTCGCTTCGTTCTCGGCGATGCCTACACTCACATGGGCCGGGAGGAACGCCAGGCTCTCTTACACGTATGTATCCTGATTACTCCGTCCGATTACGATATGCTTATGCTGAACAGGAAGGTTCGGGTTCCGCTGTGATGTCGGCATACGTTGAGATTATCTTCGATAACTCCGATGATCGGTTCCCTACTGGTAAACCCGAAGTCGTGCTCCGTCGTACTATTGGCATGAAGAAAGACGAATATACGCTGGATCGTAAGAATGCCACCAAGAACGATGTGATGAATCTGCTCGAGTCCGCTGGTTTCTCGCGGTCGAACCCTTACTATATTGTCCCCCAGGGTCGAGTGACGGCCTTGACCAATATGAAAGATTCGGAGCGACTGAATTTGCTGAAGGAAGTGGCTGGAACACAGGTCTACGAAGCGCGTCGTGCAGAGTCTCTCAAGATTATGCACGAAACAAACAATAAGCGGACCAAGATTGACGAACTCCTGGATTTTATTAACGAGCGTCTCGCGGAACTAGAGGAGGAGAAGGACGAGCTGAGGAATTTCCAAGACAAAGATAAAGAGAGGCGCTGCTTAGAGTACACGATTTACTCCCGCGAACAACAAGAGATCGCCAGCTACCTTGACAGTCTGGAAGAGCAGAGGCAGACTGGCGTTGAGGACACTGACCTGAACCGTGACCGTTTCATTCAAGGCGAGAAGGAAATGGCGCAGATTGACGCCGAAATCGCCGAGTGCAAGCAACAAATCGAGTTCCTCAAGGTAGACAAATCGCAGTTGGAAGACGAGCGCCGTGAAGCATCCAAGGCGCTGGCGCAGGTTGAGCTGCAGGCCAAATCGCTCACCGATAACCAAGCAACTGCTCAAGCCCAAAAGTCCCGTCATGACGAAGAGTTGAAGTCGGTTGAGGCTGCTATACAAGAGCGCGAGGCGGAATTACAGCAACTCATCCCAAGTTTCAATTCTGCAAAAGACCAGGAGGATGCCGTCAAGGCACAGTTGACCGAGGCAGAGACCTCCCGCCAGAGATTGTATGCCAAACAGAGCCGGAATTCCCGCTTTAGGAACAAGTCCGAGCGAGATAAGTGGCTGCAGGCTGAGATTAAGGACAACTACACGTCCATATCCACGGTACAAGGAGTGATGGCCCAGACTCAGGAAGATATCAAAGAGCTTGAAAACGACATTGCTCTCCTAGAACCGGAAACAGAACTCTTGCGAAAGCAGATTGATGGTCGAGGAGACACCATTCAGTCTGTGGAACAACAAGTCCAAGCGGCGAAGGATGAGAGGGATCGCCTTATGGACCAGCGAAAGTAAGTTTCTTCGTGTTTTTGTCTGTCTTTCTTCCCCACCTTGGCAGTCCGCTAATACTTCTTCAGGGAACTGTGGAGAGAAGAAGCAAAGTTGGATTCGATTCTCGTGAACGCTTCAAACGAAGTAGACCGCGCAGATCGCTCTCTATCTCAGATGATGGATCATAACACTAGCCGTGGTATTGCAGCCGTTCGCAGAATCAAGCGTCAATACAACCTTGAAGGTGTTTACGGCACACTTGCAGAACTCTTTGATGTCAACGACCGGTACCGAACAGCTGTCGAGGTCACGGCGGGTCAGAGTCTGTTCCACTATGTGGTCGACTCGGACGAGACTGCCACCAAGGTGTTGGAGATCCTGCAACAAGAAAAGGCTGGAAGAGTCACGTTCATGCCCCTGAACAGGCTAAGGTCAAGGCCTACCAACATGCCCAGGGCTAGCGACACAATACCAATGATCGAGAAGCTCCAGTACGATCGGGCATATGAGAAAGCATTTGTTCATGTATTCGGTAAAACTATCATCTGTCCGAATTTGCAAGTTGCCGCACAGTATGCCCGAAGCCATGGTGTGAACGCTATCACTCCCGAGGGTGACCGTTCAGACAAGCGGGGTGCCCTTACTGGTGGTTTCCACGATTCGCGCCAGTCCCGTCTCGATGCAGTTAAGAACCTGGCCAAGTGGAGAGATGAAGTTGAAACCAAAAAGAGCCGCGGTAATGAAATTCGAAAGGAACTTGAACACTTGGACCAACTCATCACGAGAGCTGTAGGTGAGTTGCAAAAGCTGGAGCAGCAAAGACACCAGGTACAGAACAGCAGTGGTCCAATGCGGCAAGAGCTGCGGAGCAGCGTGACCTTATCCAGAAGAAAAACGATAATCTTGAGGCTAAGCGAAGGGCTCTGCGCAATATTGAAACCAACTTGGCTGCTGTGACAGATCAAGTCGGTGCCTTCGAGGCAGAACTTAAGTCGCCATTCCAGAAGGCACTTACAAATGAAGAAGAAGCACGCCTGGAAAGTCTCAGCGCTACCGCTCAAGACCTTCGACGGCAGTATCAAGAACTCTCCAGCCAACGCAGTGAACTGGAGGCCCGCAAGTCTGTCCTAGAGGTTGAGCTTCGGGAGAATCTCCACCCTCGTCTTGATCAGCTGGTGGGCCAGGATATTGATATGGCTGATGATGGCAGTCAGGGTAACCTGAAGGAGACCCAGCGCGAGATGAAACGTCTCAACAAGGCGCTCGAAAAACTCGGCCAACGTCTCCAACAAGTGGATGAGTCCATTGAACAAGCCAATGCTCGCATGGCTGAGCTTGGACAAAGAAATGCAGAGACCCGGCGGGAGCTGGACGAACTGGCCAAGTCCATTGAGAAGCACCAACGACGGATGGAGAAGAGCATGCAGAAGAAGGCTGCCCTAACCAAGCAGGCCGCCGAATGTGCAGCAAACATTCGTGACCTGGGTGTCCTTCCTGATGAAGCTTTCACCAAGTACAAGAATATGGACTCCAATGCCGTTGTCAAGAAGCTCCACAAAGTTAACGAGGGCCTCAAGAAGTACTCACATGTCAACAAGAAAGCGTTCGAGCAGTACAACAATTTCACGAAGCAGCGTGAGACTCTCACTACTCGAAGAGAAGAGCTTGATGCCTCCCAGAAATCGATCGATGATCTTATTAACGTACTCGATCAGAGAAAGGATGAAGCCATTGAACGGACCTTCAAGCAAGTTTCCCGCGAGTTCCATAATGTGTTCGAAAAGCTTGTGCCTGCGGGTCGTGGTCGTTTGATCATTCAGCGCAAGACCGACCGCGCCATGCGGCAGGCAGACGAGATCGATTCCGAGGACGAAGAAGCCCAGAATAGCGTGGAGAATTACGTCGGTGTTGGAATCAGTGTCAGCTTCAACAGTAAACATGATGAACAACAGCGTATACAGCAGCTCAGTGGTGGCCAGAAGAGTAGGTTCTCCGTCGCGCATTTGACAGTGACATATGTACTAACCCCTTGATAGGTCTTTGCGCCCTTGCGTTGGTCTTCGCTATCCAGGCTTGCGACCCAGCCCCGTTCTATCTGTTCGATGAGATCGATGCCAACCTCGACGCCCAGTACCGTACTGCAGTTGCTCAAATGCTCCAGTCGATCTCGGACTCCACGAATGGACAATTCATTTGTACCACTTTCCGGCCCGAGATGCTGCATGTGGCCGAGAAGTGTTACGGTGTCAGCTTCCGGCAGAAGGCTAGTACGATCGACGTAGTGTCGAGAGAGGAGGCATTGAAGTTCGTTGAAGAGCAGAAGTCATGAGAGGAGCAGGTGGGGAGGTCCTCTTTGATGGGTTCACGTGTCTTTACTACTCCGTTGCCGGGATACACAGGGTAGCAGGCGTATTATGACGGGCAATTCTTCTATTTATCGCTTTTTCTTCTAATTATATCACTTCCTTTGTATACGGAAGGTTTCTTTGACCCCTTTCTCTGTATTTTTATTGAATCGTCGGGCTCTTGCTTTGAAATTCCCCACAGTCAATTATTTAACGTCTGGATAGCTTGATGCATTCGCTACGACTTATGTGGAACTTTTGCTTTTATCTCAGACATACGTAAAATCAGTATTCCTGTCTCTGTGGGCTTATAGTCTGGGCCGTGTCGTGCTAGATACCTTGGTCTTCCCTTTAAGCAATTGTAAACACTAGTAACAGACCGGCAGATCAAGCGTTATATTTCACTATAACTTGGCAAGGCCTTTGGCTCACCAATTCCTCGGGCGCCATCCCCCCTAGTAATGATGCATTTCGCATTAGCCGTCATGTATATGTCTCGTGGGCGTCAAGTAGTGCCCATAGTAGATTCTAAGTGATTTTAATTTTTATTTATTTATTCCTAGTTTTCTTTTTTGGATTTAGGGAAATCGAGAGGCCAAATTATGGGGTGCCTCTCTAGGGGGTGGAAATATATATCTCAGCTTGATAGGACTGTTAGCACATAAACTATCCTATCACAACACAAACTACACAGGAATATTAAAACAACTCTGATAACTGCCGTCAACGTGTGCAATGTATCCAAACATCTCTCGATGCAAAAGCAGATCTACATCTAACATCTAATTTCTGAATCCAGCCGAAAAGAAACCCTAATTTTTCAAAGGTTCCCCAGTCCACTCCTGCAAAATATGCTCAGGAACCCCCCTCACAAGAACATGCATATGCTCCAAGCTGCGCACGCTCTGCAACGCAGTCCAATTCTTAAACCAGAGGACATTCTCTTTCGGATCCGAAAACGTCAAGTTCCCCTCCTGTGCAAGGCGCGCGACAAAAGTGCGGTGCACGAAATCCTCAATCAGGGCGCGGGACTCGTCGGTTACATCCCCATTCTCCGGCTTTACGGGGACAGGAGTCCGCAGCCACACGACGAGATGGTTGATGTCCGGGGTGACGCCGTAGGGCCAGTCGTTGCGGAGAATCTTGTAGTCGGCGGGATCGGCAAAGGGGATCGGGTTTCTGAAGGGGAAGACCGCCCCACTGTCTGTTGTGGCGCCGGTAGTAGCGGCGGTGGTGGTGTCAGGGTCCGGGAGGTGCCAGCCTAAACGGCGTTGACAAATGTAGTTTGTGATGGTGCCATATTGGGCTTTGATATCCGCTGTCCAGGCGAGATAGCGTTTGAGATCGGAGGGTTTCCGCTTTAGAATTCCGAGATCATTCCGGGCTGTTTCGTGGTGAGTGTGTGGGGGGATAATCAGTGCGTGAGGGAAAATTAAGAATGCGGAGCCATGAAGAGGGGATTGGGAATAAAGCGTGAGGGGAAGATTGATAAATAGACATATTTTGTTTTTTCCATGTTTATTTTTATCATAATTTTTAAAGATCAAAAATAAGAAGATAGGACATACCGATGATCGCCTTGAGATCTTCCCAGTCATGGAGGACGAATTCCTCGTCGGTCTGTGCAAGAACCTGACGATCGACGTCGGTGAGGTTAAAGGCTGGAGGAGCCTCTTCGCGGGTCATGGTTATAAGAACTATTTACTGAGATAGAGTCTATTGGGGGTGGGTTGTCTATGGAACTCAAAGAAATTGAAGGACGGATCGGAATTCTGGATCGGGAAGGGCAAGAGAAGTAAAAGTCTCCATTCGAGGGGAACCTGAGGCAGACAATGGATATTGGCATCGGGAATCTTTACCCCAGAAAAGCAAAAGCCCCCAACAGGGACTTGGGATGTCGACTCGGATTGGTTCTTGGACAATGATGGGTGGACTCGTATGACTCGATATGCTTAGATTAGACCATAATCTATTGATCTGACAGCGGAGGCCACAATGACTCCCTGAGTCGTACCATCTTGCCACCCGACTCGGAAGCCATTGGGACAGTGGATGGCCTGCTAAGGTAATTAATGTCTACATTCTCGTACAGGAGAGATCCCCGCACACATGACTGTCCGAACCCTCGGCGTCAACACCTGTTTGTCTCCCCGTGATTTCAAGTTCAACCGATCGGTCAACAATACGTACCGTAAAATTACCGTCCTCGTCGAACGAAGAAAAGGAAGATCTGCCGATCCATTGTGCCTGCCTCGGGTACCTCGCCGGTAACGGCCCCGTACGGCAGCCCATCCCAAATCTTTCCGCTATTTTGTTATCTTCCGCGTCTTTTCCTCTTCTCCCTCCTCACTTTCTCCTCCATCTCTGTCCTACTTTCTCAACGTTTGTATCTCTTATTATTCCCATTCTCTGGGGTCGTTGGAGGAATTGTCAACATGAGGTTTGTGTTTATTTCCCCGCGGTGACCTGTCGCGCAATGACTGACATTTGACCGCCACCCACAGTGCCTTTACTTCGGAGAACATGACCTCCGCCCTCCTCGTGGTTGGCACAGCCATTTTCGCTGTCTTGGTCGGCGCGAAGCTGCTCGGTGGCAGTGGTAGTATGTGATACCTCAGCGCTACCCCAATCCGCATCATATGATTGTGCTGACCGGTTCCTTACCTGAACCAGAAGCCAGAAAGGTCTTGAAACCTACCGAGTTCCAGAACTTCGTCTTGAAGGAGAAGAATGAGATCTCTCACAACGTCGCCATCTATCGCTTTGCCCTGCCCCGCCCCACTGACATCCTGGGTCTGCCCATTGGTCAACACATCTCTCTCGCCGCTACCATTGAGGGCCAGCCCAAGGAGGTTGTGCGCTCCTATACCCCCATCTCTTCCGACAATGAGGCTGGTTACTTCGATCTCCTCGTCAAGGCCTACCCCCAGGGTAACATCTCGAAGTACCTGACCACCCTGAAGATCGGCGACAACATGAAAGTGCGCGGTCCCAAGGGCGCCATGGTGTACACCCCGAACATGTGCCGCCACATTGGTATGATTGCCGGAGGAACCGGTATCACCCCCATGCTGCAGATCATCAAGGCCATCATCCGCAACCGCCCCCGTAACGGTGGTAACGACACCACCCAGGTGGACCTAATCTTTGCCAACGTCAACCCCGACGATATCCTGCTGAAGGAGGAACTGGAACAGCTGGTCAAGGAGGATGATGGCTTCCGTGTCTACTATGTGCTCAACAACCCCCCTGAGGCTGGACTGGTGGTGTTGGATTCGTTACTCCTGACATGATCAAGGAGCGCCTCCCTGCGCCGGCCGCGGACATCAAGATCATGCTGTGCGGACCTCCTCCCATGATCAGCGCCATGAAGAAGGCGACCGAGTCTCTCGGATACACCAAGGCTCGCCCCGTCAGCAAGCTTGAGGACCAGGTGTTCTGCTTCTAAGCATTTCTGCCTGTTTGTGCTTGACAGCTTATATAACAGATAAAAAACATGTCTTCCCGTCGCCATGTTAGCTCAGATGGATGTGCAGAGGCTCATGTTTGAGATATGCCATACTATGTTGGTGTTGGACCCGGAAAAATGCCTTTACCGTTTCGGGATGATAGATTTAGATGAGGTACTCACTCTAGCGGGTTTCACTACCATTTAAGTACGCGCGATACCTAGAATTTGATACGATGATCTCACTTTTCGTGCTGTGCCTTGCTTGTAGGGCTTTAGCGTTGCAATCCAACTGTATGAACCCGATGTAAAAATGCGATCTGCTTGATTGGGAAAATGGCGGTAATGCGACTTCCATTCAAATCCTACCTAACCCGTTTAGAGAGTATATTCATGCTCATGTACTTTGATTTATTAAAATAGTGTACGTCATATAGCATGGGGGGTTTTAAGGTTCATAAACCTCCATGATGGAATCCACCAAGGCCAGGAACTTCTCCCGATACTCATCAGCCGTCGTGGTAATCGTCATCGGACCTTGACGGCCAATAACATTGAACGTCTGGATGACTCCCGTCATCGCCTGCGCATGCAACTTATGCTTGGCCCAGAAGAAATCCAACAGCACCGCACGATACTTCCACTTCCCATCCGTGGACGCTAACCCAATACGCCACTTACTCCGCTTCCCGATCACGTCGGGATTGGAAGAGGCCGGGAAGCGAACCAGGAACAGGGAGTAGTCCACCGCGTTGGCCGACGCAAGAAATGCCGTGTCGGCCTCTATCATCCGCTTCATATCGTCGTAGTCCGATTGAGTCAGCCGGATCTTATCTGGAAACTCGTCCGCCAGTCGACTTAAGGTTTCTTGGCTGACGAGTGGACCGGGAACTAGATCCCGCTCGGGGAAGAAATAGTCAATCGGTTTCAGGTCGTAGGTCTCCCATTTCTCGGCGGCTGGGTCCTTCTCCTTTCCGCATAGTATGTTCTCCATGATGATATGGTGCGCTGGGGTTGTTTTCATGAGGGTTCCCAGTGATGTGTACGCCGCATAGATATAATCCGTAATCCAGACAAGGATGGAGTCTGGATGAGTGCTTATGTATTCATAGTATGGCTGGAAGAGATCATGACGGAAGAAGGAATGTTCGAAGTGCCGGGGGAGGCTCTTGACGAGGAATGTGGAGTTAGACGTGCTGAAGAATGTCTAAGTACGTATGAGTTAGTACCGGTACCTATCCCTTCGAAGAAAACATTGCAAAGGGTTTGTGGAGCGTACGGATCCAGAAAAGCCCAGGTCTCCCATCGGAAGTAGAGGAAGCGCCTTGTCTTCACTCAAGAAGCTGGCTCTATATTGCTCCTCCGAGATCTCCCAGATCTCATTCCGCAGCCTTCGGAACACATCTGGCTCATATCGAAGAAGCTTCAGGGAGAATACGCTGAAGAAAGCAATGATCCGTCCAATCAAGGTCTTGCGAAAGGTCTTGGGATCTCTAAAGAGCGCGAATTGTATACTCTTGGCGAGGGCTACCTGGCGACGACGACCCATTGTGACGGTGACAGTGTATATGAGAATGAAGAAACAGGCGTACACATAGTGAGGACCGGATATATGTACATGGTGAAGAGATGCATGGTCCAAGCACGGTCAAGACCAGGTGTTGACGTCCAGCATGGTGACGTCAAATGGCCCCAGGGTTGAGACGTATACCTAAATAGGGTTAGGGTGTGATAGAATCAGGTGATCATCCATGCCACTGGCAGACCGTGACTCACTCACCGCCCTGGGCGCAAGCAGAACTGCCGCATTGAGTCAACGAAGGACGGAAAAAAAAAAAAGGGAAAAAAAGTTCCCCTCCAGCGCTTGAATTCCCCTCCGTTTATGGGTCGGTATCTCTTTAGCGGGGCCCGGCGATTTTCCAGCGCCATTTTCCAGACTGTGCAGTCCTGCGGTCCACAAAATAATTGCTCTCCCTTATACAGTCGTCCCCGTCCCCTCTCGCATTTTAATCCCAGGCGCTCGCCCTTCCTTTCTCGACGTTTTAGTACGAGCACTCCTGTCGCAGCTATGGCATCTGCTGCGGACCTTACTGTCGCCGTGGAGGGGCTCAAGCTCCAGTCCACCACCGAGACCTCGAAGTTCCCCAACTCTTTTCCTTCCTTGAACCCCGTCGATATCTATAGAGAGCATATCGCCGAGAAGCTGGGTGCGGCTTCCGGCATCGAGTCAGAGAAGATCTATACTCGTCTGCAATGGAGTAGCACATTGGACAAGGGTGATCTGTTGCTGCCGGTACGCTATGATACTAGATACACTGCTGGGCTACAGATGTGCTAACGCGTGTTGTATCGATAGGTCCCCGCCTTGGGTATCAAGGGCAAGAAGCCCCAGGATCTGGCTGAAGAGCTCCGCCAGAAGTTCCCCGAGTCCGACCTCGTCCTCCCTCCTACTTGTGTTGGTATTCACTTGGTGTTCTACTTCAAGCCGCAACCTCTTACCCAGACTGTTGTGAGCCGCATCTTGAAAGAGAAGGCGGCCTACGGTACAAATGGCAACCAGGGTCTGCGTGATCCCTCGGACCCTTCCAAGGGCCAGAAGAAGATGATTGTCGAGTTCTCCTCGCCCAACATCGCGAAGCCTTTCCATGCCGGTCACTTGCGTAGTACCATCATCGGAGGTTTCCTGGCCAATCTGTACACCGTTATGGGATGGGACGTTATCAAGATGAACTACCTTGGTGACTGGGGTAAGCAGTACGGTCTGCTTGCCAACGGTTACAAGCAGTTCGGTAGCGAAGAGGCGCTGAACAAGGACCCGATTAACCACCTGTTTGATGTTTACGTGAAGATCAACCAAATTGTTTCCCAGCAGGAGGGTCCCATTAAGGAGCTGAAGGAACAAATCAAGGCCAAGAAGGAGAAGAACGAGGATGTCTCCGAACTCGAGCAGGAACTGCAGAAGCTCGTGGATCACAGCGAGGATGAGAGCGCTCGTCGCTACTTTAAGAGCATGGAGGACGGTGATGAACAGGCTCTGGCTCTCTGGCGCCGTTTCCGTGACCTCAGTATCCAGAAGTACCGTCAAACCTACGCCCGTCTGAACATTGACTTCGATGTGTACTCTGGCGAGTCCCAGATCAAGAACGAGAGCATGGCTACTGCCTATCAGGATATGGAGAAGGCCGGCGTCTCCGAGAAGTCAGAGGGTGCCGTCATTGTTGACTTCACTAAGCATGGTGCCAAGAAGCTTGGAAAGGCTATCATTATCCGTAAGATGGTACTCCTCTCTACCTTACTCGTGATATTGGTGCGATCACGGAGCGTGATGAGGCCTACCACTTTGACAAGATGATCTACGTCGTTGCTGCGCAGCAGGATCTCCATCTGGCCCAGCTATTCAAGATCACGGACCTGATGGGCCACAAGGACTTGGCTAGCCGTTGCCAGCACATCAACTTCGGTATGGTCCGTGGAATGAGCACCCGTAAGGGTACCGTCAAGTTCTTGGATGATATTCTGGGAGACGTTCGTGACAAGATGCACGAAGTCATGAAGAAGAACGATGAGAAGTACCAGCAAGTCGAGAACCCCGAGGAGACGGCCGATATCCTGGGTATTACTTCCGTCATGGTGCAGGACATGTCTGGCAAGCGGTATGTTAACTACGGTCCTTCCAAGTGTGTCTGAATCTTGACTAATTGAGGCAGTATCAACGGTTATGATTTCAACCTGGACGCCATGACCTCCTTTGAGGGCGACACCGGTCCTTATCTGCAATATGCTCACGCCCGTCTCTGTTCGATTATTCGCAAGTCGGAGCTGAATGTTGAGGAGCTCGGCTCTGCGAACCTGGATCTCCTGACGGAAACCCACGCTACGGACCTTGCCCGTATGCTGTCTCAGTGGCCCGATGTCCTGCTGAACACCACCCGCACTCTGGAGCCGACCACCATCCTTCAATACCTGTTCAAGATGACTCACAGCCTGAGCTCCAGCTACGAAGTGCTTAAGGTCGTGGGCAGTGAGCCAGAGCTGAAGAAGGCTCGTATGGCTCTGTACGAGTCCGCTCGCCAGGTCCTGCACAACGGCATGAGGGTGTTGGGTCTCAGCCCCGTTTCACGGTATGTCCCTATGAGTTGAGCACTGATTGTCCACGGTATGCTAACATTTGTTGTAGTATGTGAGGAACGAAAGAAAATTTATGATAAAACCGTAGATTACGGTAGTTTGATAAATACCAGCATCTGTTTCCTTTTCGTTCTTAGCATTACATTGGAGAGCAATTGATTTTGGACCAAGAACTTTAATGAATGGCTTGTTGAGAACTTGCACGGCTGTACTCTGCGTAGACCAGCTATTTTGGGGCATTTTGATCTGAATGGAAGCATATACAGTCGCAGCCTCAGGCCGTGACTCGCTCAATGCGGGGAACCCCGAGCGGTGAGGTGGGCGGTGAGATATACTGCCCCAGTGCCCCTCCATGTAACACCACGTGAGAGGCCAAGCGGGACGTTTCTGGACAAGGACGCCATGTGATTGGCTGATCGCGTGACTCAGGGCAATGAAAAACCGTCCTTTGCAAAAATTTCTGCTGAATCTTTTGGCCTCCCTCGAGGCCGTCAAAGCGACTATTTTCTGGGGATCAGATATACACTTTGATAATCACAATTGCCCACCATGGCCGACATTCCCGAGCTTGAGCCTCACAATGCCTTCGATACTATCCTGACCCTGGACTTCGGGTAAGACTCTTATGTCTTGCATCCCTTCAGCGGGGATGCTATTCGAAATATGAAAAACCATGCAGCTCGGCTAATTCATATGTGTTCGCTTTGATACAGGTCTCAGTACACACATCTGATCACCCGCCGCCTCCGTGAGCTCAATGTCTACTCGGAGATGCTTCCTTGCACCCAGAAGCTGGCGGATCTCAAGTTCAAGCCCGCTGGTGTTATCTTATCCGGAGGACCCTACTCGGTGTACGAGGAGGGTGCGCCTCACGTCGACCCCGCCTACTTTGAGCTAGGCGTGCCTATCCTCGGTATCTGCTACGGCTTGCAAGAAATTGCTTACCGTCTGGACAACACCAATGTCATTGCTGGCACTGCGAGGGAGTACGGCCTTGCGCAGCTCAAGGCCAAGAAGGTCAACGGCCATGTTGACCGCCTCTTCGATGGCTTGGAAGACGAATTCAATGTCTGGATGTCCCACGGTGACAAGCTGGGCAAGCTCCCCGAAGGCTTCCACACCATTGCCACCACCCCCAACTCGGAGTACGCTGGCATTGCCCACGAGACTAAGCCCGTCTATGGCCTCCAGCTGCACCCCGAGGTGACCCACACCCAGAACGGTGTTAAGCTCCTGAAGAACTTCGCCGTCAACATCTGTGGCTGCAAACAGAACTGGACCATGGCTCAGTTCGTCGACCAAGAGATCGCCAGAATCCGCAAGCTGGTTGGCCCCAAGGGCCAGGTTCTTGGCGCTGTCAGCGGTGGTGTCGACTCCACTGTTGCGGCTAAGCTGATGAAGGAGGCCATCGGCGACCGTTTCCATGCGGTCCTTGTCGATACCGGTTTCATGCGTCTGAACGAGTGTGAGCAAGTGAAACAGACTCTTGCTGAGCATCTCGGTATCAACCTGATCGTGGCCGATGCTTCTAAGGTCTTCATGGAGGGTCTGAAGGGCATCAGCGACCCCGAGCAGAAGCGGAAGTTCATTGGTAACAAGTTCATCGATGTCTTCGAGGAGGAGGCCAAGAAGATCGAAGATGCTGCTGCTCACTCCGAGACTGCCGGCAAGATCGGATTTTTCTTGCAAGGCACCCTTTACCCTGATGTGATTGAAAGTATCTCCTTCAAGGGTCCCAGTGCCACCATCAAGACTCACCACAACGTCGGTGGTCTCCCCAAGCGCATGACTGAGGGACAGGGCCTGAAGCTGATCGAGCCTCTTCGCGAGCTCTTCAAGGACGAGGTCCGCGACCTCGGAAGACAGCTTGGCATCGCCCACGAGATGGTCATGAGACACCCCTTCCCTGGACCTGGTATTGCCATCCGTATTCTGGGTGAGATCACCCCAGAGCGCGTCGAGATGGCCAGAAAGGCCGACCACATCTTCATCAGCATGATCCGGGAAGCCGGGTTGTATGACAAGATCGGCCAGGCCTTTGCCGCCTTGGACCCCAGCCGCGCTGTCGGTGTCATGGGAGACAAGCGTGTGTACGAGAACATTGTTCTCCTGCGTGCCGTCGAGACCACCGACTTCATGACCTGTGTCGCTTTCCCCTTCGAGCATGAGTTCCTCACCCGTGTGTCGACCCGCATCGTCAACGAGGTGTCCGGCGTGTGCCGTGTCGCCTACGACTACACCAGCAAGCCCCCAGGCACCATTGAGTTGGAGTAATTGGTTTGAAATGAATAGACAAGTTACGTTGTTATGTCTTCTGCATGTTATACGGAGCCTTTGATAGATTTTAAAAATATACACTATTAGTTCATGAGCAGCTTTGTCCAGGTACAATTATGAACCTTTGAAATATCCTAGAAAGCT